TTTCCACAAAAACACTGGTAAAATAAATTAATTATTCACATATATACATAGTAAAGAAAATAACTACTAACGGAAATTGTTTCCCTAAAATGCGTTTCGAATTTTAAAAAACAGACACTTTCCGATCAAAAACACTCACCTCCAATTTTGAAAACACTATTGTTCACTTGAAGCAAAAATGTTTAAAATTGCTAAAAACATTAACTAAAATTATACTGCAACCACAATACACATAACCGCAATTAATACTCGTATAAAAAATCTTCAAGCTTAAAAAACACACTTTTAAAAAACGATACTTTTGTACATTATATTCTTTTCAAGAGAATATTTAAAACGCGTTTACGCGACCATTTACGAGCGCGGCTAAAACAAGACTGAACCTGCAAACTCTCTTTCTCTCTCATCACGCGGGTCTATAGCCGAGTGAGTGGTATATGGAAGGAGTGGGGATGAATTCATGTAATGGCGTTGTAAGGAGAGGCGGACCCAAGGCGGGCCAATAACATTCCCAAGTGTCTCGCTCTCTCTCTCTCTCACTTGCGCGCGATTCGAAAAATGGAAACACATAAAGGCGACAGAGAGTATACTTTAGGGCATATCACTCGGAACCTAAAACAATGAATCGCCTTTGAAATGAAATAACCTGTTTAAAAAATATTCAACAGGTGTTTGTTTTTAGAATACATAGAAAAAAGTTTCAAGTAATTAAGAATGGAAAAATAAATTTTTCAAGCAATTATAGAAAATAATTGTCGTTAATGTTTCGTCACAGTTTCAAAAACTGAAATTCAACACGAAACTTTCTAAATCTGCGGATTAGGCTGGTTAAAAACAACTAATAATTATTAGTAAAATCATGGCTGACTTTTTGCTTCAGCAATTAGTAAAAAAACTAATTATCAGTAGATAATTACCAAGTATTAGTAAATAAATAACTGTAAAAATAGTCAAATTTCACCATCTGAATTAGTTACTAAAAATGTCAGTCATTTTTATATAACCCAAGAGTGAATTTAACTAATAATTATTAGTCATTATTAACTATATTTCATTAGTAAAATATTACTATATTTGAATCAGTGGCCAACTTTTTGCCTATCAAATTAATTATTTTAAACTAATTCAAATTTAGAGAGAAAACAGTTTTAAAAAAAAAGAATATACCTATATTTGTTTATACTCGTACAGCCAAAACTTTTGCTGACAGAATTCCCAAAAGAATGGGATTGAATTTGCAATTATTAGAAAAAAATCAAATTTTTAAGAAATTGGAAAAAGTTGACATAATTATTTTTCATTTCGGATTGCTGAAACCCGCATATATAATGCATAAATTAGAAAGTAAAAACTGCTGCAGGGAAAGAAATATATATTATGCTTTATATTCGCACTACCGCGAGTATAATCTCATAAACAATCTGTCAAAATTGAGAAAAAATCTGTAAAAAATTCAAATTACAAATAATAAGAGAAGAACTGATTTCAAAAAATGGAAAATATTGACATTTCTTCGTCACCTTTTATTAAAAAAAACTTTGATTCAAAAAGAAAAAAACAGTAGTTTTTATTAAAGAAAAATATATGCATCTTTTTGTTCATAAACTACTGAATAAACAGATATTCTGTTGAAATTTCACAGTGTCGCGCAGACAAACGAAAAATTGATAAAAAGTCTGCTCACCCGAAACTTATGCGTCAGCGCCACCACTAAACTTGTTCATCTGCACTCCCAAACTGGGTGACCAACGTACCCAGTTGTAATTTTCTAAACTTTTTGGGAAGTTTGTCTATCGAAAACGGTAATGCTACGCACCCAGTGGCGGGCGATCAGACTTTCCATGCAGTGAGAAGCGAAATTTTGTGACAGTGGGAAGACAGACTTCTCAAAGGTTTTTCCGTGTAAACGAAAATGTTTATTTCTTTTTAAAACTGCGCAGTTTTAAAAAGAAATCTCCATTGAATTTCAATTTTTGACTCGACGCAACCGCAGAAATTCTCACATATTTTCTCATTTGTATAAAATTTTTATTCTCTTTTACTATAATTACAAACAAAAAAATATTTTCTTTTGAATTTTTATTTTCCAACACGGCATTTTTCTAATTTGTGAAAATTTTATTTTCTTTGGTTTCTATATGACAATTTTTGGCCGAATTTTTCCCAATTTTGCTATTGCAATAAGTATTCCGATTTTTCTGCATTGTATTCGTATAAGTATGCAATTTAATGATTATATATACTGTAAAATAATTTAATTAACAAATTTCTAATTTTTTTATAATTTTTAATGTATATATTAGAGGAATATTTATTAAATCTCTACATATACTAACATTAGTTATAAATTCGCTTTTGGTCATCATTTAATTGAAAAAAATAATAATTAATTGAAACTAATACTTATTATTAATAATTTAGGTTATTTCTTTAGCAAATATTATAAACTAATTAAAATTATAATAAAATATATAAATAAACTGGTCCTAACTAGGCTCCCAAGTTAGGACCAGGCTAGAATCGCATCACCAGCCATTGTTGGTCCAACCTACACTGCCAACCTAGGACCAAGCTATTAACAGGGTAAAATAGGTAGGACCTGGCTAGGACCAATTTTAATTTTCCACACGGGGTGCAAAAACTGGTCTTTAAGCAGATTTTTTATTTCTAATCCTTTTTCAACTTATAATAATTATATGCAGAGACCAATTTTTTGCCAGATTTTAAAGAAATTTTTTTTGCACAAGGAAATTTTTTTTTGCAAAAGTAATATTTTCATAAATTACAAAGTTGACATTTTTTTCGAGTTTTTTTGGTGCAAAAACTGGTCGTTTAACAGATTTTTCGCAATTTTAATCCTTTTTTAACTAAATTATATATAATATGTACAGACCGCAGTTTTTGAAAGATTTTAAAGAAATTTTTTTTTGGAACAGAAAATTTTTTTGCAAAAGTAAATTTTTTATTAATTACAAAATTGACATTTTTTTTAATTTTTTTGGTGCAAAAACTAGTCGTTTAACTGATTTCTCTTATTTTTAACCCTTTTCAACTAAATTATATATGCAGAGACCATATAGTTTTTGAAAGATATTTTAAAGAAATTCAAAAGAATTTGAAAATTTTCGTTTTTTTCCTTCATATTTACATTCTCAATTTGCTTAACAATCTCGAAATTGATCGATTTTTTCAAATTTTTTTAATCGTAAATTTTGACTGAATTCGTTATTTATATTACAAATTTTAACCAGAATTAATTTGCGAAAATTTAGTTTTGAAACGAGTTTAAAAGTTTCTGAAAAATAAACATTTGTCGATTTCTTCTACAGAATTATTTCAAAATCTAAATTTTATTGACTATAAATCATGAAATTTTTTCATTTTCCTATACTAAATTTTACGCGAAAATCAAGTTTTTAAGCGAATTTGAAAATGTTTCAAAATTTAAAAATGGTCGTTTTTTGCGTTTTTTACATTCTGATCACATGATGTTTAAGTGTTTTTTGATTGGCAGAGTTTTGGTATAGCATTTGTTTGCACTTTCGCGAACCAATATATTGTGCGTTGATCTATAAAAGATGAAAAGTCGACGAGTCAACGCGCGCGATTTTCGCTTTATCGTATAATCGACTTTGATTGTCATTATCATCATCATCATCATCATTGTTTATATAGCAATCGATCAAGATTACGACGGCGACGACGACGACGCAAACCTACTGAAAAGAGGAGAGAAAAACGCAATCATATTCGGATGACTTGTTAATAATACAACTTTTTTTTTTTTTTTTTTTTGTACAGAAAACTGCGTCTAAAGGAAAAGTTGTTTTTGTTTTTGCACAAAATTTTAGGAAAAAAGTAGAAAAACATATTTTTTTGAAAATTGACAAAACACTCTATAGAGTTTAATTATATGAAAAAAATGCATCTTTTATACATTCATGTTGTTAAAAATATAATCTGGGCGTTTACTACACGAGTTGTTTAAATAATGAAAAACTGTTGAGTAAATTGATTTAAATTTTACAATTTTTGAATTATAATCATTTAGGAAGTGAGATTATCCTGGTATATTTTTACAAGTGTATTTAATAGAGACAAATACAGCAAACCGGATTCAAATCGTTACACTTTTTTAAAAAAAATTGGATTTCAATAACTTTACACCGAAATATTGAAAATTATATATCTATATAGATATATAAAAGTAAAGTTATTAGTTTCACTCTCAAAAAGTTTGAATACTTGAATATTTAATATGGAGTTGATTAAATTAAACTTTAAACCAATTACAATATTAAATTTTAAGAAAAATTGCATCAAAACCGATTCATATTTATTAAAATATATATAATTTCACTTGGAAAATTTAAAAAAAAAAAAGGTCAGTACACGGAGAAAAAAATCAGGGCTTTTTAGCATGGAGTGGTCTGTACCTTTAGCGCATGGGCGCTTTCTTACGGCGAAAGAACGAATTTGTACGATTGCAGCAAGAGCTCGCCCTATTTTAGTAAGGAGCCTTGCTGCAATCGTACGAGTTCGTTCTTTCGCCGCAAGGAAGCGCCCATGCGCTAAAGGTACAGACCACTCCATGCTACAAAGCCCTGATTTTTTTCTCCGTGTAGCATTTAATTTTTTTACAATTTATTTTATTAATTTTTTTGTTAATTAAGAATTGTGTTTTCTGGTAAAATATAGTAAAATATAGTACATTGGAGAAAAAAATGAGTGAATCATATGTAATTTTTCTCGAAAAATTTGAAATTTTTATTGAAAGTAATCAGAGGCTACATTCATATACTATATGACGTCACACTTATTGAAGTGTGACGTAATATTATAAAAATTATTGACAACCCCTCACCAGCAATATTAAATTTATAAAATTTAAATCTTGTCAATGTATTTTTTTGAAAAAATTAAAACAAATTTATTACAACCTTTAAATTATTTTTTTTTTTATTTTTGGACCTTGGCATAATAATAATTATATAATTTCGTTCAAGTTTGAAATTAATTTTATTTTAAAAAAATACAATATAATTTAAATACCATTTTTAATAATCTCCCCCAAAAGCTACTTGTGCGCAATATCATTAAATTAATATTCAGTTTTGCGTAAATGATAAATTCATAGGTGATAACTGATTCCTTGGAGCATCATTACGATGATTTAGTTCAACAATAGGATCTGTTTCATTCATATCTTCGACCTAAAATATATATTTATTTTACATATAAATCAAATAGGGGACACAATAACGATGAGGTTAGTATAATATGCTTGGGCCATAATGCATTGAAAAAGATGTTACCTTACGCCCAAAAAACTTTTTCTTGAGTTATATTAATTCCATTTTTTCCATGTGGTATGGCCATACTAAAAACCGTTGAAAAAAATTTCCCAAATTTTTTCCGCGTCACACTACTCTTGTCCCTGATAAATATTCCGAGTATTTTCAACTTGATTTCTAATGAATAATAACTTGAATAAAAACTAAATCTCTCAAATTATCAACTACTACCATTTTTTTCAAAATTTAATACATAATATGTATATTCATTTCAAACAGAAAAGAAGAATGTATTCAAGGATTTTTGGACCAATTTATAGTTGAAATGGATGAAATTCTTTATTTTAAAAGTGAAGTCTTTAAAATTAAAGTAGGGTAGACTGCGAATACAACTTTTTTTTGCAAACATGTTTTTTTAGACAGTAAATCCGTTTAGATGCATATATATATAAATATAGGTCAATTTTGTAAGGCTGAATTGGTCATCTCCAACAACTTTCTATAAAAAAGCTTTTGATATTTTAGCGTAAAATAAATGTTTTGTCCTTTTTTCAAAACTTTTGATTTTATAACATAGTTAACAGTTGTAAATTTAATAAATTAAAGTTTTATTTATAAATAAAAAAGAAAATTTAGTGTTTACTTGCTATATATATATATATATGAGGCATTTTACGTGAAATGTCCTAAGTTGAAATTTCAACTTCTTGAAAAAAATTGAAACTCGAGGAATTTGTTGTTCTATCAAGTAGAAATGTGACCCAAAAAATATTTTTGATTTTTTCGAAAAATTGGAGGGGGTAGAGGGGGGTCAATTTGACCAATTTTGCCAACATCGGCTACTTTGTGAATTTTTTCTGAACATACTTGTAATGGGAAAAATTTTTTAGAATATGTTTCTGAAAGGTTTTTTCGTCCTCTTTCCAATGGTGTATTTTATTTTTTAATATTTTAAAAATTTACCCTAATTTTTGATAATTTATATTTAATTTTCAATTTCCCAAAAATCGGTCCGTTTTTTTTAAAAATAAATTATTGCAAACGAAAGCTGAGGTTTTTTCCTATCGGCATGTAAATTTTTAGAATGCCCTTTTTTTTTGTTTTAGAGTTATTGAATTTCAAAGAATAAATTGCGGCGCGCAGCGTCCCGGGCGCCTCGTCTCACGCCGGTTGCCATGGGTTGCCACGCGGCTCAGTGCAACCGCGACGCAGCGCGCCGCAATTTATTCTTTGAAATTCAATAACTCTAAAACAAAAAAAAAGGGCATTCTAAAAATTTACATGCCGATAGGAAAAAACCTCAGCTTTCGTTTGCAATAATTTATTAAAAAAAAAACGGACCGATTTTTGGGAAATTGAAAATTAAATATAAATTATCAAAAATTAGGGTAAATTTTTAAAATATTAAAAAATAAAATACACCATTGGAAAGAGGACGAAAAAACCTTTCAGAAACATATTCTAAAAAATTTTTCCCATTACAAGTATGTTCAGAAAAAATTCACAAAGTAGCCGATGTTGGCAAAATTGGTCAAATTGACCCCCCTCTACCCCCTCCAATTTTTATGTACATGACAACAGAAAATCACATAACCACGGACATTTATTTATAGAGTGATGATGAGACCTTTCTATTATAGTCAAAATTGCAATGTTCCAACTACTTTCCTTTCCAAAAGATGATTTAATTTAACTGGGTTTTGTCTGTTTGACATTTAATATTAGCCCCAGTCTCCCCTATATACAATTTTTTTTTTCTTTTTATAATATTTACAATTTCCATGACTAATTAAAAAATTCCCCGACTTTTGCCTGACTGCAGTGGCCCTCAATGTTATCGATTGAAAAAATGTAGATATAAAATGGTATCAATATCTCAAAATTAATTTTATTTGGACGTAAGATCATCTCTTTCACCGCTTCAGGACACATATTTAAAAAAAAGTTGACAAGTTTATTTTTAAAGAGTTGACAAAGTATTTAAAATTTTTCACACTGAGAAAATGGAAATTTTAGATAATCTACTGATGTAATTTAAAAATTATATAATTCAAACTTACTATCATTGGATTATCTTCAATTTTAACTCTTTTCTGTGCTATTGTTTTAAGAAATGCCTTTGCTTCATTTTTCGTTTCTTCAAACTGCAAACATTTTTGAGCATAATGATTTGCTTGGTCCAATTCGTCTCGTTTCAAGTGATATTGCGTTAAATACTTGTAAGCATGGCTTAATTCTGCTCGATCAGCATTTCTGCATTCATCCGTAACAAATTCCGTATAAGCAGCAGCAGCATGATCATATTCCCCCATTTTTTCATACAGTCTAAAAAGTTTATAAAGAAAGATGTATATTTCGGTTGAATATAGTTGATTTATAAATATTTGAAATGAAAATGAAATGAATCTTTTCAACAATTCGATACACGAATAGAAAATTATAGTAGCAACTTTCATATATATTATATATATATATATAGTATTTCTCTGTAAATAATTGGTCATACTACATTACTATAATAATTAAGACTGAGCAAATTTACATTGTAATAAGAAATACTTACGTGGCTAATTTTATTAATGCCATTCCTTCAATATCGCCAACATTACATGCCTTATAATAGCATTTTAAAGCATCTTGTATTTTATCTTGCTTCTCATATGCTTCGCCCAAGGCAAGAACCATCCTACTGTCATGAGGTCGCAATAGCTGTGCCTGCTTATAATAGTACAAACCGTAAAAAGGCATTTTTAATATTTCATATGTTTGACCTAATCCATACCATGCTCTGTAATCCCGCCTATTCACTTCTACAAATTGAGATCAATATATATATATATATATATATATAATAATATTCTGTTAGAGGACACACACACACACACACTATAGCAAAAATGCCTATTAGAATTAAATATAATACTAATTGATGTCAGTGATATAGTTTTCTTAAAGTTTCAATTATTATTATCTATTAATTAAACAATTGATACACTGCAAAAAAAAAGCATCTTAAAAGTGGCTACAAAGTTTTAACCAACTTTTTAGTTACTTTTAAGATGCTTTTTTTTACAATTGATACATCTATAATTCTCTTTTATTATTATGAAAATAACTAATAATTTGTCAAGTTTTTTTTTCAAATGTGTATGTAAGGTTTCTATTAGTCAGTCATGACACATCTTCTTTATTTCAAAGACACTCTCTGTTTTATAGTAAACGAATGTAAATATATAAGGTAATTTTGTTTTATTAAATACAAAAAATGTTGATTGTATTTCAAAATTATCTCACATGTCCCACATATTATAGTTATCTGCATTTGACATTATAAAAGACGTATCTTTGACAAGTGTTTGAAAAATTCTTCAAATAAGTAAATCTTACAAACTGTGTCAAGAAGAAATAAATATTTTCGACTTGGTTGTAACTATTAGTTTACTATAAGGGAGTCTCATTTTGAAATAAATGTCCTATATATTACACACACATGCATGGAGAAGACTGGAGCAGAGTTTCTAATAAAATTACGTTTGGAAATGGTAGTAATTGTATTATTATATAGTTGAAATTACTATTCCATGTAAAATCTACACTTTTTATGAAATAAATATTACAATTTCTCTAGTATATATTAATTATTAATAATATTTAATATTATTATTTCTTTTAAAAAAGGAAACAAAAATTTTATCATTTGATGAACAATTTTAATATGTAAAATTGTAATTTTTGATTGAAAAATTATGTTCCTATACTTTTACTCCAATTTTTACTCTGTGCAATAATTTTGTACAATTTTTTATTCAATTAAATCTTGAAAAGCAATTAAATACTAAATATAATACATACCAATAGCTTGACGATAACTGTGAATTGCACCATTAGTATTTTTCATTTCCATAAATTCATGACCCAACAAAGTCCATGCTGACAAATACTGTGGATTAAGTTTTAAAGCTCTGTGAAAATACATGACTGCTTTCTGGTGATCTGCTCTTAAACTGTAATAATTTCCTAAAAAAATAAATTTTCTATTTACAGATTCAAAATGAAAGCATTTTAAAATCATCTGGTAAAGCAAAAAAAAGTAGAAATATGAATATAAATTTTTCAAGATTAAAAAATTTACTCAAATATAATTATACAATTTATAAGAAACTACTGCTGCTTACCAACTATACAACAGGTTTCTAATCTATATTTATCAATTTCAGTAGCTCGATGTGCAAGATGGGCCAATTCAACTTTTAGTTCTTTGACATATAACAAATTAGAATAAGTATCCATATTATCCAGGCAATAAGGATCTTCTTTAATAATTGATTTAAAGGTCTGAATCGCATTATCCACATCTATAATAAAAATACAAGTTTGTAATGAATATAGTCGGCTTAATGCAGAAGAGTGTATTATGTCGAAAGTAATTGGTAAACTAAAGGTTTACATAGGGTTCAAACAAATAGTAAAATCTGGAAAAGGCCTAGAATGTTTACAAGTTAATACGTTTTTCAAATTTTCTTTTTTTTCTCTTTTATAAATTTGAAATTTTTCAGATGCACATTTTTTTTAATTTTTAATCTTTTAAGTTTCAATCTTGAATTTTTTTTTTTTTTTTTGCGAAAAATAAAATATATTATTTTTGACTTTTGGTGATAGCAAGTACACTACACCACCACTACCACCTACTTTTGTATTTAAAAATTTTGAAATTGGTATAAATGACATTAAAGTTTTTTTTTAAAAAAAGTTTACTCTGAATTTTCTCAACTCTGAAAAGAAAGACTTGGAAAAATCCTGGAATTTTAAACTAGGATTTCCGCAGTAGGAACAGCCTGGTTTAATTTGTTTAAATATTTATTAAAAGCCTTGAATTGAAAAAAAATGATTTTCAGACGTTTCCTTTTTTTTTCACTAAAAACCAAAGCAATATATTAAATAAAACTTGGCAAATATTACCTCTTCTATAATGTACTGCAATAGCTGTTTGGGCTGAAACGTAACCATTTTTTTTAAATCCAGCTGATTGTAATGCATGGTATATTTCTAATCCTTCTTCTATAAGTTGTAATTCTAAATACATATGTGCTATAAAAAAATGTTGCATCCAATGATTAGGTAAATCAAGGCTTTCCAATTTTTCACGGTCGGTAATTAATGCAGCCAGTTCCAACCACGTGCCCCAGTGCATCGGTTGTTCGTGAATTGACTCAACCAACACATCTATAGCTTCACTCGTAAGCTGCAGCTTTTTCAAAGTTACGCCAAATAAATATAGACCAAAACCATCTAAATTTCCAGTAGTATGATCTTTTCTCAAATCAGAACAAAGCGACTTTAGGTTTTCATTTTTTAATGGATCTGGAGGTATATCTGTCATGTTATCAACTCTTTTCTTTTCTCCCGACATGTAACGAGAATATAAATGTAAAAATCGAACTTTTGGCGAGCGACATTGTTCAGTAAAATATGCAGCACGATCATATTCTTTTAAATCAAAATAACTTTTCCCCAACACATATAAATCCTCTTCACAATTGTTGAATGTTTCATAATTAACTTTTGTTTGGAGTGTATTTGCTTTAATATTTTTTAGGGAATAGTTTAATTCTGCAAGCCTAAAGAAATAATACATATCAACATTGTAGGATTATAATATGATGAAAAGTACTGCAAGTTTACTTCAAAATACATTCTAAAATTTTGTAAAGTTCTAAAGTTATAAATACACATAAAATGAGAAAAAATTCTCTGTATTATTTCTTTACCATTATGTACAAGAATTTTTTTATTCTGAATTTAAAAAAACATACCATTTTGTTGAATGATTTAAACATCGTTGCGAGCATTCACTTATAGCTTGAACCAAGTCTGACTTAACCTCTTCAATATTCAATTTTATTATACATTCAAACATTTTTTCAAATACTTGCACTTTTTCTTACACAATATTAAAAGCAGAAAGTTTTCTTTTTTTAATTTAAATTAAGATAATTAAAAAGAAGAACTATTATGAGTATTTAAATACATAATGAAAGTAGGTTTTTTATAATTATAATTATAAACATAAATAAAACTCGGATAATCAACAAGGTATCTTTTTTAAGTTGAGTCCACAACAATAGAGAAACATATTTTTAGTTAGTTTATCGATATTTGCGATTTCGAGGTGTGACGTCAGAGTTAGGGTACATACTTCCGCCGCCCGTGTAAACTCCGAAAGAGAAATATTCCATGACTAGGACTACAAGAGAGATAGCAATAGCACGCAAATCATACGAGTTAGAAAAGGTCAGATATGTATATGTCGTCACTTTCTATCTCATGCATCTCATTCGCAAATCCCCAATGCATTTTGTATTATACATTAAGCCCTAAGCACAACTGAGTCGGGTACGGGAGACGACTTCGGGATATGGTCTTTCTAACCTCAAAATGTATGTAAATCTTACATATCCCGTAACCGTCTCCCGCACCCAACTCAGTTGTGCTTAGGCCTTTAGGGAGCGTTCAGACCTTCTCATGCAAAACTTATGCATGCAGGTTGCCATAGTAGCGTTCAAGAGTGAGAGAGATAGAATAATATCCTATCTCTCTCACTCTTGAACGCTACATGGCAACCTGCATGCATAAGTTTTGCATGAGATCGTGTGGCTGTACCCTTAGGCTGCGGTTACACCTCTGCAGGCAGCCTGCCTGCCTGCAGGTTGTCATGGTAACGTACAAGAGTAAGAGAGTCAGTGACTTCAAACTTCTCCCTTACTCTCGTTGCTCCTGCCTGCGCAGGCAGGCAGCCTGCAGAGGTGTAAGGCCAACGCAGAATAGATCTGTAACCGGAACCGTAATCGTAAGCGTAACCGTAAGAATAAGTTAAAGAAGGATAGGTATATTGTTTATCCTTCTCTAACTCATTCTTACGCTTACGGTTACGATTGCGGTTCCGGTTACAGATCTATTCTGCGTTGGCCTGTAACCGCAGCAGGGGCCTTAGGGAGCATTTACACCTTTGACCTTTGATAAAAATTTCCAGAAAAAAAAATTTTTCATTGGAGTAAGAGAGACAGATATACAGTATGCCTCTCTTACTCCAATGAAAAATTTTCCGTTCTGTCCAATTTTTACAAAAGGTGTAAATGCTCCCTTAGCTGCTCTTATTGTAGAAACTCCTTTATAATAACAAACAAGACAAGTAATAATTCAAATTTTATTTGGTCCATGTTAAATCAATTCTTATACTACTGTTAAATCGAAGCAATGTTTCTATGCAAGTTTCGTATACATTATAGTCAAGTTCAAGAAAAGTCTGAAAGTTGTAACTAAATTGAAAGCAATCTTTAAACAATCGTCTGTTCAAATAAATTCTCATTATGGCTGAAATCAAACAAGACACCACCAAATCAGAAGATTCTGAAAACTATAGTGTTGGTAATAGTGCAGATCCAAAAAATATGCAAGAACTAACTCAATATGTAAGTTATTTATTTTATGTTGAAATTAATTAATTTACAATTTATGATAGTTGTCATAAATAATTTAGGAAATTAAAAATCATATCACATTTTCTATTACTACTATATATTTACCGTAACGAAAGTGAAGTGTATTTAAAGCTTATTTTTCCGTCAATAATTGTTTTGTTTTGTTTTAAAATAGCCTCTTTTATTTACAAATATCCAGTACAAACCGCGACAATAATTGAAATTGCATTTATTGAAATTGTGTCAGTTACTATTGTTGCTATTCCTTGTGAATTTTATTAATGTTTCATTATTTCTATGTAAAAGGTGTGTCTTGACTGAAATCGCGCAGAATGTTTTTCTTTTACCCTATATACCATTTCGGTATTGAACCTAAAGTTTTTATAAACCTTGGCTTGTTCAAAAAATATAAATATATAAATATGTGATTCTCCTAAAAAGATGAACCACATCACTTATTGTTACTTATTATATTTTCATCATTTACATTAATTTTTTCCACATTCTTTATTTAGTTTGCATTTTTTGAAAAATTAATCTCAGAAGATTTATTTGTCTTTACAAATTTTTGTAAAAATTACAGTAAAATTTTTTTTTTAGTTTTTGTTAAAACTGTTGAGAATTTTATAATAATATTTTCACGTAATTGGAAACTTTTTAATGTAACAACATTATTATTAATTCAAATACAAAAATAATACAAGATGATTTTGTTTAATAAAAGTCAATATTATATTAATTTATTATAAAAAGTCGTATGACAAAAGAAAACACACCCAATCCTTATACTTTTAAAGCAAGCAATACCCAAATTTTTAAATTTAAATTATAATATTATAATTTAGTATAATTACTACAACTTTGTTTGTTTTTCATTTTAGTTGTATTATTCATTATAAGTGAAATTTGAAACTATTTTATTATTTTAATTTTTATTAAAAGCGCAACAAAGAAGAAAATACTTTTACACAAATGTGTGGAGCCATTTGGGGGGAAAATAAACAGTTGATATTATCTAGAAGAGGTTCTCTGAGTATTGTAAATATTTTATTTTGACAATAATAAACTGTTTACAAAAATTTGGGATAAATGTAAACAGAATTTGAATTGCATTTTAAAAGAATGTAATTGAATGAATTTGGTTCTATTTCACAACTACACTTCTTTTTTCAGTTTTTCCATCCTTTAATACGCAGTAGTATACTTGAGATAAAGTTTTTTTTTTACTATTGCTTATAACTACAGTGGTGCGTTTACATTTACCCCAAATTTTAGAAAAATTTCAAAATCTTGGGGTAATTGTAATATCAGTTTTATACGATTCAGGCTCATTAATATTTTCTTGTACCTCATAAAATTTTTCTAGAGAAGTAAAGTAACTTTTGTTTTTGGCGAAAAAATAGACATTCTGTTTACATTTACCCCAAATGATGATACTTATTAAATTTGAATTTTGTATGAAAAAATCTCAATTTCCAAAAATTGGAGCTTCACCCAGTTTATCACGTCACTTATATTTTATACAGAAAATATTTATAACTTTAATTGAGAAACATTATTTGTTTATACAAATATATTTAATTCAAAAATATATTCTTTTTCGGTTTAAACTAAAAAATATGTTTAAAATATTTGTTTGCTTAAAAAATCGCAAAAAACTTGATTTGAATATCGATCAAAATTTCAAAATTAATAATGATAATATGTTTAAAATATATAATGATTTCTTTTTTTAACCATCCATCATTGCTTTAGGTTCAAACACTTTTACAAAATATGCAGGACAAATTTCAATCCATGTCTGATCAAATTATTGGGAGAAATATCCTTTTTATAAAACTAGTAAATAATGCAACATGAATGTGAATTAAAAAATTAATAAAAATTATACAAAATTTCAATTCCAACTAAACATAGCTGAATAAATTATACTAAAATTTCACATAGTGTCAATACACTTGCATTCAATTGGATTCAAGTTTTTTAATGAAATGAAATATTTGATTAAAATAAAATTATTTATTTTTTATTCTTTTGGTGTTAATTTGGTACATATTCAATGTTTAACAGTGTAAACGCGGTGTAAGCAGACCTAATTGATTCAGAACAAACAAAGCCATTATAGTACTATGCTTTTCATAATAATTATGATGTATGTTTCAATTTTTATAATAAACTATATTCTATTTTGAAATTTTTTGTTTGCACACTACAATATGTACACTGTAAAAAAAAAGTATTTAAATTTTAACTCCCCAGGGGATTCTATAAAAGTCGCACCTATTGGGGAACAGTTAATGCCAGGGGAGTTGAATAAAGAGAGTAAAAACTTGACACTCAAATGCCAACTCCCCAAGGAATAAATAACTCGCGTGGGTGTTGATCAAGGGAGTTAGTAAATTAACTCTCTTCTGGAGTTGATTTTTAACTCGAAAAATTTCACTCCCAACTCCCGAGTCCGTTAACTCCCTAAATTTTTTACAGTGTATAATATAACTTGCTGCGAAAAAATTTTCTAAAAAGCAAAAACTTTCAAGTTATACATTTGTAATTTTTTGGAATAAAAATACATAAAAGAGATCAATTTTTAGAAGGGTGTGCAAAAAGCTCGAAGCTCGATCGAGTATTTTCGAGCTTTTCATTTTTCGAGCCGAGCCAAGCCGAGCCTATTCGCAGTTCGAGCTCGGGCCGAGCTGAGCTTTGTAAAAAGCTCGAATAATTTCGGGTACTCGAAGCTTTCGAGTACTCGATTTGATTCGAGCCCTTGAGAAAATCCAAAATTTTCTACTTTAATTTTTAATTAAATTTCTTTTGTATAAAATTTTTTTTTTTGTTAATTTAAAAGCTCGAATTAAATTGAGTACTCGAAAATTTCGAGTACCCAAATTCACTCGAGTACTCGATACATCGAGCCCAGCTCGGCTCGAAAAAATTGCGGCTCGGCAATAAAATACTGTTGTTTAAGTCTGCATTACATATAAAATAATTAATTAAAGAATTGATTTTACTTTTTCACAATAAAATGGAAACTTTTAATAAATAATGTAAAAGTAACACAAACATAAAACTTTAAAATGACTTCTTCTGTGGTGACTCCAGAAGGAAAAAGTTGGTGCTGAGAAAATAATTTATATTGTATGTATTCGTAATGAAAGATGGAATTACTTTTCATATTAATCCTTAACAAGACTTACTTGATGACATGGGGAATAAAATAGATGATTTGGAAAAAAATATTGCTGATCTTATGACACAAGCTGGAGTAGAAGGAACAGAGAAATAAATCTTATTTATATATTGATAATTAATGTAATATTGTTCTTGCAAACAAGAAAATAAAAATTTATTTAACAAAATAAGTCGTAACTTTTTATTTTATCATCATATAATTATAATATCAGTAGACTGAGAGATTTATAGTTTCAAGTTTTCACACATATGCGCTGGTACCACCGCACCGTTCCAAGATAAGTAAATTGAAAAAAATTGTAAAGAATGTCTAGTATATTTCCAATGTTATGTTACATTGTCATCAAAGTTATATTACGTGCTTCTTGAGAGGTAACTTGCCAATTTTCCATTGTATAATTAGTATAAATCTAATTTTTTAAATGTAATTCATGCCATTTTTCAAGTTAGAAAATGACTATGAAAGTTGATATTTATTTTTTAATATGCAAGGAATTATTTTGTAAGAAATTTTGTAACTTACAGACAACATTGTTTCCTTCTTTCTCGTTAAGGGACAATCAAGGAAATTCGGTTAATAAACATTATACAGTTTTATGCCTAATTCTCACTGGCATCGTTGTTTGCTCAAATTCAGATTCTGTTTCTACAGATGTTTTTTCAAAGTCTTCAAGTTGAGCTGCTGCTTCAGATGTGAAAGTATTAGAGTTGGCTTTATCCTGTAATAATTATAGAATATATAAACAAAAAAGCATGAAAATAAATATTTAATAAAAACTTTGCCAAGAAATCATTATTTGTAAATTAGAGAATTGCAAATGTGATCATATAGTGATGAAAACTACCCTTCTTTCAAAATATTAAGAAACGGGACAGAGTGTTTCATAATTATGTGAAAATTTTTTTATGAGCAGAGCCAATTAAAAAATTAGTGAAACTGTGGACATACTCAGAATCGAGTGTTACACACGCAACTTACATCCTACATAATAATATAGGTGCGTGCAGAAAGTTGAAAAAGTCAAACAGAGTCCGTTTGAATTTCTGTAAATGCATGGAGTACTCGAAAATTTCTAAACCAAATTTTCTGAGTAAGCTTGCTATAAATTTACATTGCTACCTTACAGTATATAATTAGATAGCAGCTAAAAAATTTTATTTTTGAAAGTCATTCCAACATTTTCTAAGGAAAGGAGGATCCTTATATGTGACTGTCCACGAGAAAACGCGGCTTATTAGCTCTTAAACGTGAATTTCACGATTAAAGTACTATATACGATTGAAGTTAACTAAGCTTGACATACCCATCTTTAAATCGATATATTGTCGAAAGTAATTGATATTTTTTACTTTTGACTTTTGCATTTGAAAAAGCAACATAAAATCTGTCGATTAACATAAAAAACTCAAAATTGATTTTTTGGACCTAAGCCATGTTTTCTCGTGGACAGTCACATATAATAATTGCGATTCCAGGTTAATAGTGCGAAATTCAATATGATGATCCCTTTCAAAACCATTGTCTAAAGTTGTTATATAATTTCTCATTCACCGTAGTAAGTTAAATTTTGATTCACAAAAAAATTGCAATTTTCAGAACCTCAAAAGTCTCCGTCTCTGAATATTATTTCGACGATCCTATCACTCTTCTGCAAGTGCAAGTAATATATACTCACCTTCCAAGTAGTAGTTTTCCTTGGTGTAGCAGGAAATAAAAATCTGTTTGTTAAATTTGACAATGAATTAGCTTGACGAAATGATTTTCTCTTAATTGCATCCATACGAGTCATAAAGTTTGGTATCTGCATTAATTCCCGAAATTCCTGTATAATGTTGAAAATCAATTATTAATATATTAACACAAATGTATTAATGTCTAGATTTTTTCAACCAATCCATTTTTGACGCTTTTAGATAAGCTAATGTGACAAGTCCAACTATCGTAATAACTTACCTGTAAATCTTTTACTTCATCGATGTCAGAAATATCTTGAAAGCCTTTGGTTAGCAATTCAACGGCTTTTGTGTGAAATGAGAGCTCAATAGTTATAAAATCCAAGAGAATTGATTTTACGTCATGTAACTTTTGTTTTTCAAATGAATCAATTTGCTCCTCTAAGCCTTTGACCATTCGCGTCATTTCCATTGAAGCCTTTATTAAATCAGTCTCTGCTTGCGACTATCACATTCGAGTTTAAGATTTTAAATATAACTTTGTGTTGGAATATATTTAGAATTATATTAATTGTAACAGAAGAATGAACATTAAAATTTTTTTGTGATTTGTTCTTTAAACATAAATACAATCGCTTTATTTTAGGATGATTGTTTTAAAAATTTAATAAATTTTTTAATTATAGCTTTAAGAGAAAACATTTTATTTATTATTAGTTTAATATGGCAAAAGTAATTAATTAATTTACCAAAAAATATAAATACAAACTTTACTAAGGAGGGGTAAGGTATTAAATTTTTATAAATGAATGCATAATATCTCTAGGATATTGTGTTGAAAATTTCAAGTAAATCGGATCAAAATTGACAGATTAGAGATATAAAAGTATATTTTAGTTTAATTCAGGCTTCATGTCTTATTATTAAATAATTGTCTGTAATTTGTTTATTTTTATATTTGAAATATATTTTTTGATACACCTTATTTGAAAGAGCCATTAGATTCCTGAGCCATAAGAAATTTCCATTGACAATTTTTTTAAATTGCGTTTTAACGATTAAAAATAATGTTAAACTTTAATTATTGTGCATCTGATCATTATTAAAGGTTGAAGCATTTTTCTGAAACTTGTTATTTATCAAGTCCGTGTACGCAATAATTCAAAATCTACTGGACCAACCGTTCTGAAATTTTGGGCAGTACTTCTTGACAAAATTTCTTGAGAAAATCGTGTTTTTGGCTTCCAATTACTACGAAAAATTGAAAAATTAAAAAAAAATCCTTTCCAAGTTACCTCAAGAAACATCTCATTTAACAAATGCATTTTGATTTTTTTGTTTTAAATGATTCTGTTGTTGTTGTTGGGAGTTACAGTGTACACCGCAAAACAACTGTTTTTGGATGCGCCTGAGACGATTCTCATTCACTCTCTCAATTTTCAATATTTTCCGCATGAAAATTTGGAAAAATATTGTTCAAATGTTGCAGTAATTTTTGTTGGAATATCAAGTGTCCAAACTTTGGAGCATTTGAAATAAATTATATGCAAGATGAAATAAAAGGATACAATTAATTGTCGGTTTTTCGGATTTCGTTCTCGTATTTTATCCAATTGACGTCTTCGATTGAATTCTCTTTCTTGGGCAGAAAATGTATTTTTAATATCTTCACGTGCAAGCTTACAACTTGTAGAATATTGGAATAATGGAGAAACAACTTTCGCATCAACACGTTTTACTGCAGCATCTCTAGAAAATACGTATATTATAATTTTAAGTTTCTTGCAAACCCTATCGTCATCCCATCCATATTAATTAACAATTAAAATTTATGAAAATTGATGTCAAAGTCGATACGATTTTTCCATTGAAGCTCAATATGTAAAAGTCCAATAGACTAGAATATGCAAACGGTATCGCAATCGTAAGAATGAGTAAAAGAAGATGTTCGTCCTTTGCTTATACTCATTCTTACAATAGCGACTCCGTTCATGTTCCCGATTTTAGAATCTTTGAACTTCATTTTAAGAATCATGTTTTAAAAGTCACCCTAATATCTGCTTTAGTCCTAATTCAAATAATGTTCTCTTTTATGAGTAAATAATTTTTTTTTTGCTTAAGATAAGAAAAAAATCTAATTCATATTATTTATATTTTTTACCTGTAATCACTAATAACAGCAAAAGTGGATGAAAAATTATTAAGACACATACTTAAGGAACGATTCATGCTTTCCGATTTAGCATAAGTGTTGATTACTTCAGCAACTTCGTCATTCTTGTCCCTAAGTCTGAAACACAAAATTTAAAAAAAAAATTATGAAATCATTATAAAAACAATTCAGTGTCCATAATTTAAGATTTAAGAGATTCAAGTTAAACGTCCAAGTACACATAAGAAAGAAAAATTCTTCTCATAATTATAGTGTCAACTAACAATAATTTGGAAATAATAAATTTCATAAATGATTTGACGATTTTAACCGCACCGAAAGATTAAAAATTAAACGCCGGAAGAACTGTTTCAAACTTTACATAACTTTTTATTTGTATGATAGGCAATATGTAGTCTCGTTTAATTAACTTTGTACTTTTTATGTTAAAAATGGCAACATTTTACAAAGTGGTTCTCAACGTCACACAAATTTCGATTTTGAAAATAATAAATAAAATATATCCAAGAGAATAATAATTTGTGTGAAATTTAAAAAATTATTCTTTACCGTTTTGAAAGACAAAAATAAAACAGTATAGTTTTTATACAATTAAAAAAAATTTGTAAATAAAAACGCATAAATAATAAAACGTTACACTAACCTTGCTAACTTCCGTGCATATGCAGCAAAAACCGTATGAAGTTCAGAAAAGTTTTTTTCTGTTGTAGAAATTCTTTCCTGAACAAACTTTGCTTCTTGTTCACTGTTATAAATTAAAATGTTTTTTTAAACTATCAATTAAATCTTGTAAATAATAGAATACTTTAATAAAATAAAAAATCAAATACCATAAATTAGTTTGTGATCGGATACGCAGCATTATTTATTTTTATTATATGAGATAGTAATTGACAATAAACTTTCTGCTGCCCTTTGCTTCTTCATGTACACATCGTTTATAAATGAACCAACTTTTTTTGACAGGTGTTGTGTGTTGGGAATGTGTTTGGTTAGACTTCACTTGTATATTATATAGGGGAGAGTAACATATGCTTTTAAAATTGCTTTTTTCAAACGTAATACAATCTTGCTTGAAACAAAAGTTATTAGAAAGTATACGCTAGCTTATACAAATAGTAATTGGAAAATCGCATTTACAGTATATATTTATCATGAAATTTACATATACTGTAACTATTTTAGATATTAAAACTGCAAAAGAAATGAACAGAAAATTAATAAATTACATAAAAATAATACAAATTCCGGTTATAAATTTAACATTTTTTATAATCATAGAAAAGAAATTATAAAAAATATCGGGAATTGCGAAAGGGGCCTTTCATAAACTACGTTACCAATTTTTCATACTTTTCAAACCTCCCCCCTCTCGTTACCATTGCGTTAAATGCAATTTTATAAATTATTGAACCCTTCCGCCCCTAAATTGGCAACGTAGTTTATGCCAAAGGGCTTGAATAAAATATGCAGGGTAAACCCTGACGGAATACGATTAGATAGACAAAACAATAAATTAATTTTAAAAAAAACTTGTCAATCTAATGTATTCGATTTAAAGCAGGTACAGAGATACATGCCATAAAGTTTATGGGGGGGGGAGGGCGATACTGGTTTTCCCTCGTCAAATATATATCTATATATGCTTAATTTAAGTGTTCAAAAATTAAACTCCTTTGCACGAACCCTTACAATACTTTTGCGATAAAAAAAGAAAAGCCAATGCCCTAAACTTCCACAAATGTTTTTCCTCAACGGCACTCGGATACAATTATTGTTTCGCATCATCCTTCTGCCATTTCTCCATCATGGGTTACTTAAAATTTTAATTACGATTTAAATAAAAGATAAATTAATAGTGTTCTACAAAAAGTAAACTCTCTAAATCTGAATTGGCGAAATTTCACCAATTGCCAGTGATAAGTGTACCACTAATTATTTCAGAAAGCTTATAAGTGGTATACTTATCGCTATTTCAGATTTAGAAACAAAATTAAAAATGTGTATATATTTAAATCGTATTAAAAAAATTTTTTTTTTTATTGTCGTTATAGTATATTTGGGTGCGGTGCGGTGTCACAAAACTGCATTCCAACAGTTTCTTTAGGTGTTTCTTTTGCCTGACCTTTAATGTTAAAATTCTATGTAACCGAATGAAGGTAAATAATTAAATAATAGTTTAAATATATTATTTTAAAATTATTTATATATTTATATGAAAGATTATTTTTTTTCAATAGGTGAATAAAATGACTATTGTTGTAGTATGCTTTTTATGTAGTTTAAAACATCAATATGTTTCAAAATATCCATATGATTTACTCCAACAAATTCTTTGTGATATATTTTTTGAATTTGTTTCTTTTGCCAAAGAAGACAAGCATTTAAACTCCTCAAATTAACCGTACCGTCTCCATCACCATTGATAAGTTCAGGATATCCGTCAATTGACGTACCAGGTTTATAGTATAACCTAAAAATAATTTAAATATTTGTGGAAAACATGGAATATGTGAATAATTTTGTGCTAGATTAACTTGAAAAAACCACTATATCCTATACTTTTATATATAGTATTCTGATGTAATAATCAAAATGAGCATATAATATACGCAGTCTCCTACGCATGGTAATATTAAAAATAATATCAACATAATATTACTGCTTGCACTATAAGGAAATTGTTTTTAAAAATATTCATTTTTAATTATTCAAAATAAAATCAAGTCTTAATAAATATTTTAAATCTATAATGAAAACTTGAATAGCAGGGCTTTGTATATATAAGTAATGATGAATTGTCTTATTATATGCGCATTTACACTACAAAAATCAAAAACATGTAACATTACCTGCAAATGAATTTTTATTTTTTAGGACCTGCAATATTACAGTGTTCTTATTATATTATGTAAAAATGTCCTCTGCAAGATTATATTACACTGTGATATAAAAGTAATATTCAGTTAATAGGGTCATTTGGGGTAAATGTAAACGGAATATCTATTCTTCACCAAAAACATTAGTTTTTTTTTGTTAAAAGGTAAAACGGACGGATTTCTTTTGCATAAACTTGTTACTTTACTTCCCAAGAAAAATTTGATGAGGTACAAAAAAATATTGATGCACCTGAATCGCCTAAAACTGACTGTTTACATTTACCCCGAGATTTTGAAATTTTCCTAAAATTCGGGGTAAATGTAAACACACACCACTGTAGTTAAGCGAGGTTTAAGAAACAAGTTATTTCAAGTATACTACTGTTTTAAGGGATGGAAAAACTGAAAAAAAATTCTTCGTATATATATAGTAAATCAACCAGTTGACTGATAATGTATCATATAAAATAAACAATCATCCATTACAAAATTAGTAATGTAAAAACTTGAATAACTTGAACAAATTTTAATAGATTTTCATTTAACTTGGTAAAAAGAAGTTTTTAAGGTTGCTGAATAAGAATCTAAAATCGAATTTTTAAATTTCAAAATGGAGGATCCAATATGGCGGTCAAACATAAACTATGACTAACTGACTAACACGAAGGAGGTATGAAAGAAGACCTAATTTCCTTTTCTATGTAATTTTACATTGCCAACTCTCTAAATCTGAATATGTGAAATTTCACTTATTGTACGTTATAAGTTGTCTTCTGAATCAATAAGTGCATATTATACACTTATAAATAAGTGAATTTTTCACTTATTCTGAGTGAAATTTCACTTATTATAAGTGTATATGCACTTATTGAACGAGAGAGCGACTTATAACTTACAAATATGTGAATTTTCACATACCTATTCAGATTTAGAGAGAAAGTAATGAAATTGTCAAATATAGAAGCAAATTTATTGAATTATTTTCTTTTAAAATGTAGTTCAAGTTCTGTTTACATTTACCCCGAGTTTTCAAATTCTCGGGGTAAATGTAAACACTTAATTATTTATTAACTAAATTGACGAAAATCAAAAATCAAAGTCAATTTTTGTTAGGGCATTAGGGGCCATTCATAAATTACGTAACGCTTTTTTTGGTCATTTTATACCCCCCCCCCCTCCCCATGTAACAAACTTTTACATATACATTAGCGCCATTTTTATAATGAGTGTAACAAATATCTTGACCTACCCCCTGAAGTGTTACGTAATTTATGAACGGACCCTTAATAAGGAAGAATTACATATTTTTGTTTGATTTTTAAATTTATTTTTATATGCAAATGCGAGACAAAATACTGAAACAGTAAAACTTTGATTTTCAATCTTTTTTGCATTAAAAAATAACTTACACTATATGGCATTGCCAATTGTCAAAATAAAATATTGGCAATACTCAGAACATCTTGTAGGAGAGCTGAGGTAAAAATATTGTCGTCGTACTTATTTTTAAATTTGTAAATTTAGCTGAAACATCTACTGTTTACATTTACCCCAAATGACCCTATTACGTGGTGAAGAGAGAAACATTAAGTGATTTTTAAAATTTTTTTAAAATGTTTTCATTTCAACTATGTAGTAATATTACAGTACCTAATATTATTAAGTGTAATATTAAAGTAATATCGCACCATGCAGCGGATATTTTTTCATCACAATAAAATCATTATAATATTATAGGTAATGTTACGAATATTCTAGATATAATATTACGTGCTGCTTGGGAATATTTTATAGTATTATTAATAATTTAATACATTTATATAATACCTTTCAACTGTCCCCACTTTGACACCATGTAAGCAATGCAATTTCACTTCTGGAGCTTCAAAGTATTTTTGATATTTTTCGTTATCTATCCGGAATTCCCATCCATTTGGAACATTTATATCTCTGCAAAAATTGTTATGAAAACTAAATTTAGTTTTTTTATTTATCTCAATAAGTTGACCATATACTTTTTGGAACACCCACGCTTTTAAAATATATATCATACTAAAAAATTGTATGATCCATACAGATTATAATACATTCTTCACAAAAATATTAAACTTTGATTTGTACTGTTTATGAAATGTAAACTAAAACTTGAAAGGTAAGGTGTTGTAGCAACTCCTTGATAAAGAATATATTATATATAGAAATGTTTGTGCTTGAATTAATACATTTCAAAAGTTTTAAGGGCATTTAATTATAAAAAAATATGTTTATAGCAGACATCAAATCTAATACGTTTCTTATGAATATTTTTAATTCAGAGTATCATTTTAAAACAAAAAAGTTCAAATGAATCTATTTTACAGAATATTTACATGAAGAATTCCTTCAGGTTAAGTAGAGTGTAATTTTTTTGATCTGTTTGCACCAAAATTTCAGAATTTTTCCAGAATAATGTTGAAGGTAAAAGCCATCCTAAACTTGGACTTGTAATTTGTTCATTTCTCATAACACTTTCTCGTAAAACATAAGCTCCCAAGTCATCACCTACAAATTACCAAAAAAATATTAGTACATATTTATGAAGATTTAAACATAATTTTATAAGAAGTTTCTTCAAAATTTAGACTGATTATACGGTTTTCCAAATGCACAACAGTGCGTGTATATGTTATTATCTTTCGAATAAAAAAATTTTGCTCGGCAAAGCTTATAACAGAAGAAAGGTTTTGTTATTTTATTGTACCAAGTTTTGGTGGTTATAATATAACTATCGTCTTTTTTTCTGTTTAGATATTTTAATTATATGAATAAATTATACTTGTTGTTTAATTAGTTTGGAACGTCATCATATAGAATAACAAGGAAAAATATTTGTCAAGTTTTTTTTTATTTATAAATTAAAATTTTTAAACCAAAGTGTCTTTTATAGAATATAACATTATTAATTTTGCAAAGGATACCGCTGTAGCGTATAGTAGCAGATATCATTTTTTAAAAATGATAAACAGTAATCATGCTTCAATTTTCAGAGTAGAGACATTTGATTTATTAATTTGTTTAATTATGTAATTTATTAATTAACTTTTGTCATTACTATTGGCTCAACTCTTTTCAGTGTCATGAGATGTATATGGCAATCACAAGATTTATTAATATTTCCTCCAAATTTTATTCAAAAAACTTTTTTCATTTCAGAGAAAGTCTGTGAGTTTTGAAATTGTCCTCTTTCCTACATAATTCCCTTAGAGGAATTTGCAGAATCGTTTTACTGTATTTTAAATAAAAATTCTATAATGAAATATGACGTATCCATTCAATGTTTTTCAAGTCATTTGGATGATCAGTATTATATAATAGTTTTTAAGCCCAACACTTTGAAAAATATAGAGTTTCAAGAAAAACACGTTTAAAATAGATTAAAGAAAAATCAAAGTTAAATTTTTATAACTTACAGTTAATTAACGATTCTTGATATGACCTTCCTTTGCCGATGCAAAAAAAATTTTTATCTACTGTTAATTGTTGTTAACTGTAGGGTGATCTTCCCTTAACAACAATTTTTATAGGTCATTTTGTCTAAAAAAAAATATTCTGTTAAAAATTCAAAAAATATTCACTTGGAATTAAAAAAACAAAATTTATTATTGAAACATAATCGGAGAAAGTAAAATTTGCTATAATTATTATTAAAAATTAAGAAAGCAGGTTATTGGAGAGTGATATTCTTTTATTACATCTTTGAGTTGATGAAATTGGTGTATACTGTCAACAATGCAATTGCATGAAGAAAATAAAATTTACTAGTTATAATAGTTTATTTTAAATCCAAAAGCCAGTTTTTACGGAGTGATATTCTTTTATTTATTACATATCTTTGAGAGTTGATCAATTTTGTGACATATTTTGTGTCAACAATCTTTAAAATATTTTAATTCGTAAAATAATTACTTACCAACTGCAAAAACTTTTAATGCCTTGACGGAGCCTCCCCAGACTCCTGCTAAAGTGATTAAAGAACTCAAATATTTATCCTTCCATTTCTTAGTTTGACGCTGTAAAAATATTAAAGACATAGGAGCTCCCATACTATGAGCTATTAAAGTTACTGGTGCATTACTATTTATTGTGTATGTTTCTTCAATAAGTAATTTTAATTTTACAAAAAATTCTTCACTTTCATCTGAAAATGCACGTACGCATTAATTAAAAATAAGTGTAATGTTATTAAAAATAATTGAAAATTTTAAACATTCTTAATAAGAATAGATTAAAGTAAATAAGGCGAGGGTTCACTTTAAAAATTTATAATTGACTTTCACAAAACGACCCGAGTCGAAATTTAAGCCCTACTTTCACCCTGAATTTTCAGGGTCTATTGATTGTTAGGAGTAGTAAAGTAGGGTCTAATTCTAATACAATTAGACCCTACTTTGACTCCCAAAATAGGCGGAAATTTGCCAATCTTCCATTTGGAGAAGCAAAGGAGGGTCTACTTCTAAGAAACCTATACCGTACTTTTAAACCTCGTAGACCCTACTTTCATACTCCTAGACCCTACATTCTAAAAGAAAATTTTGAATTATTTTTTAATGCATTACTTGAAACACTGCAAATGCAAAAAGTACTCCAAATTCATAAAACACATAAAATTCCACTTTTACTCATCCCTAGTGCTTCAATTGAATCTGAGCAAATCTTCAAATTTTTCTTTTTCTAATTGTAGGGTCTAGGAGTATGAAAGTAGGGTCTACGAGGTTTAAAAGTACGGTATAGGTTTCTTAGAAGTAGACCCTCCTTTGCTTCTCCAAATGGAAGATTGGCAAATTTCAGCCTATTTTGGGAGTCAAAGTAGGGTCTAATTGTATTAGAATTAGACCCTACTTTACGACTGCTAAACCTGAATAAGCCCTACATTTTCAGAGGCTAAGTAGGGTCTAAATTTCGACTCGGGGAATCATATTTAAGAATCGATAGTATAAGCAAACCTGCCGTTTTATTTATTAGTGAAAGGCTTTCGTAATACATTCTTTTATAATAATTTATGTGCACAATATGTTAATATGTCTCCTAAATAAAAACACATTATTCAAGAGAGTAATTCGTCAATGGACGGCAGAGACTTTTACACCCCTTTGAATGTTCAGTTAGTGTTTTCTAATTGCTCTCGCGAATAATGTTTACTCATTAAGGAGCCAATGATATTTAAGAATTGTTATAATTTATATACACGGAAAAAACTGCATGGTTGGGACAACCATATATATTGAAAAATACGGGATATCCATACTTAAGGTTATCACACTCATTTCTATGGATGTGTCAACTAAAGAAATGGATGTGGTATCTATCAAAATGGATGTGGTATCCATAAAAATGGATGTGATAACCTTAAATATGGATATCCCGTATTTTTCAATATACATATATGGTTGACCCAACCATGCAGTTTTTTCCGTGTATTAGTTCATCTGAGCGTTGATCGAGTAATTTGATCGGATACTCAAATGAACATTTTTTGATCATTGAAAGATTGAGGCAGTGTTTACATGGATAAAAGTATATGAAAAAGCAAAGCATGTAAACACATCCTCACTATCACTATATATATATATATACAAAATAAATATTTATCTTACTTGGTCCTTTTCTGAAGTCATATGGCGCACCCCGAAGAGACAAATTGCGTACATATCCCAACTCATTTACTAGCATATTTCCAATATCTTTAAAATAACTACCAGGAAATGCTTTGCTAGGGTCCAAATATTCAACACTAAAAGGGTCACCCCATCCTGGAATTCTTATATCTACTCCTTCTTGATTTTTTGTTTTTCGTGTTGTGTTATCATAATTTAATTTCATATTATCAATCTGTTAAAATTGAAAACGAAAATTTCCAATAAAATATATAGTACACAGGGTATGGGAAAAATATTGTTTCCCCTGCATATTTATAAGTGCACATGCATTTTAAAGCAAAGTTTTTGAAATGTACAAGTATTGTTGCGCTTAGAATAGTAGGTACTTATATATTATTCAACAAGGGAGTGCAAGTCCAAGAGTTCATATATAACTCGCGGAACTAGATCAGCCAATTTTAATTTTACGTGTTAGTCTCTAACAATAATGCACAAACAATATATAAAAAATGTGCCCTTCTCACCATCAAAATTATAAACATAAATTTATATCTAATTACCGTTTATGATTACGAGCAACGCGAGTCCCTAAAGTTTTTTAGTGCAATGAATGTGTTTCTTTTCATAATTTGTCGCCTTAGCTCGCCGATCGGAATTTGAATTAAAATGTGAAAAAACTGAGCAAACGCACAAGAACAGGCCATTTAATAAATATCAACCCGTGTCCGCGAAGGGCACAAAAATAACTTTTGACATCTACTGGTTGTTAAAAAGCTGTCAAAAGTATGTCAAATTTCAAAAATGGCACTTTTCACGACTTTTACATTAACTTCCACGAGTGAGTATAAATGTTTCCTGCACTCTCTAAATCTGAATCAGCGAAATTTCACTGATTCTCAGCGATAAGTATGGCCACTATTTTCAAACAGCGTAGGGGAGCGTGCGGGGTAATGAGAGCTTGCGGGTAATGGGAGCTTTTAAATTTCACGTACTTAAAAGCCTTAAAATTCGCTGCAATGTCTATAGAAAATCTTCTACAATCTTTGTTTATATCGTTCCAAAACAAACGATCACATTCTTGACAAATTTTTAGTAAAGAGAAGAGAAAATATATTTTTTGAGTTTTCGTTGTAAAATACAAAATATTTCTAAACATCACCATAAATAAGTAGTTAAAATCGTATTATTTAGTTATGTTTTTCCATTATATTATAGGTAAATATGTGTAGATATGTATACATGTATAAAAATCGAGATAATAATAAAATTTGTTTGTGTTTTTATTTTTTCATTCAAATTTTGGCCTGTAAGAATTATGTGGGGTAATGGGAGAATAAGTGTTAGCCCAAAGAATTTTCGTTACCATGCTACGGCTTTCGTTATTTCTGTGAAAATTGTAAAAGATATCACCTTATGAAAAAACTTTTAATTAAAAAATAATTTTTGGTGAAAAAATTGAAAAATTTAATTTTTTTTTTTCAAATTTTTTATTGAATTATAATTTAGAAAAAAATTTATTCCTAAGTCTAAAGTTTTGGCTTCATTGTAAGTATTAACACTTTTTTCTATTAGAAAACAAAAAATATTCCTAAAAAATAGAAATTTTTTAAATTTCAAGTGAAAGCTGCTCCCAATACCCCAAAAATTGGATGATGGCAAAAAATGTATTTTTTGTTGAAAATTTTTTTTTCCAATTTAATTTCTCTTTTTAAGTTTCTAATTAAACATAATTAAAGATAAATAACGAAATGAGTAGAAAATGACGAAAACAATGTATTATTATAAAGATAAGTTGGTTTTTTTAATAATTTTCCTTAAGGGGCTCCAATTCTCCCACGCTCCCCTATAGTTTTATAGGTTTTTTATAGCATAAATTCAAATGGTGAATATCTAATTATTATTTTTATAGTCTATACGTACCCGCGTGGAACTATGGACAACATCATGGGCCAAATCTACTGAAATATGGTCGAAATAGAAAAGAAAGAAAACCATTGCTGTTGACAGTTTCCTATACTTGAAAAATACACGTTCCACATCATATTTACAACACGCATCTATAAAGTCATGCAAACCACTGGATTCAGAAAAATTCACTTTTTATAAATTAACGGCTTTATCACATGAAATTTTTCTGTTTTTCAACTATGGGCAAAGTACAGCAAATCACAGGAGAAAAAGCCTCCATTTTCATCGAATTAAATATTCGGTTATGAAAAACCTGATTACAATTTAGTATTTGAACAACGCGGACAAAGGTTCATAAATAATAAATATTAAATCTTTTTAGTTTTTAAACTATGAGCAAAAACAGTTTTGGAAATTATCGATTTCAAAATGTACATTTTGATCAAATGTCTTCTGGATTAAAGATTTTTTCTATTAAATGTCTTTTCGGTCAAATTTCTTTTAAACAAAACACATATTACTCCATTTTTTCAATAATACATAAAGTGCCTGACGAAATTGATACGCAAAAATGGAATAATCTCGAAAGCAATAAACAAAGATGGAAAACTTTATTTCCAATTTTTGAATCGTAACATAATTTGTCTCTAATAATGGGCAAAAATAAAATGCATTGTTTGGACAAATTAATGTTTCGCAGCTTTTAAGAATTAGTTTAGAAATTTAAAAATTTACAAGTCTTAAAAGTGATTAATTTTCTAAAAATGTAATTCGCAGTATTGTCTTTCATTGAACGAATTTTTTTCATGGTTTATTAATTTGGAAATTTTATGTTCACAATTTTTAATTTTCGTTAAATTTAGAATTTTTACGTCACAGGCTTAAAGGGGATGGGGGGCCTACAGTTTTGTGACGTGGGGGAAGGGTTAAAAATTTTCCAAATTTGCGTGACATAATATTTGAATGATCCCTTTCGTCTCCATGCATATTTTTAAAAATGTTGACCATGGTTCAAAAATTCGGAAATTTAATATTTATAAATTGATAATTTGCAACAAAATGTATTTTTTTTTCTCTGACCATAGAGTGGCAGAATTTTTCCAGAGTTTAAAACTGTTTTAGTCATGGTTAAACTATAGGATTTGGCAATTAGTCATTGTCGACTAGCTTTTTTTTAATGTTACTGCCACCTGTGACCGCAACCTGACCCAACACTGTATATTAGTTGGCCAACCTATACTCATATTAACATTTCCACGCGGGTAGGTCTACAATTAATTGTTTAAAAGATTAAAGGTTTGAACTTTTTAAAGTTTCTTTTCACTACAGTATATTTATAAATATATATATATATATATATACATACCCAACAATCGATAACAACTGGAACTAATAATTCTAAATTTAACCAAATATTGAAAAAATCAGATGACGTTTTTTCACAAATGTAATGAACTACTGATGGCTTATTCAATTTTGCTTCAACCTGGCTACCTCCATCACCTGGAACTGTATGTACAATTCGTTATTTTACCAAATGAATCAACTTTTAGCAGATTATTAGTCATTTATAAAGAAATATATTCATTAAATTAAAAAACATTGCAATATGTAATTCATTTTGCAGTACAACCTTCATTCAATTATTTTCACTGTTTCCTCAAAGTTTTCAACGTTTTAATGAATAAACATTATTTTATGTTTAAATATTTTTAAAAATTATTATACTAAAATGAAAAAATTGGAAATTAAACATACACTTACTTTATAATAAAGGTTTTTAATTAAATACCAATTTTAAAAAAGTAATAAAAAAATTGTCTTTAGAAAATTTAGAAACATATTTTCATCACATTAATGATAATTGAATAATATATTAGTTTTAAATTGTTAAAAAAAAGTCAGTGTTTTGAAAGTGCATCGTATAATTAAATATATGCATCTCAAGTAGAACATTTAGTTTGTTGGAAAAAAATTTCAACTTGTGATACTAGGTTTATGTCAATAATTACAATTTTTACTAGTGAATTCTACACTCTAAAAAGTAAGGATCTTGTAATCTAATAATAATAATCCCTTAAATTTTGCTTCAATTTTTCCTAACCTTATTTCCGCATTCTTGAGACTAAAATTTGAATTCTAAAAAACTAATAAATGTTGAATGTAAAAGAAATTTGCCCTAAAAAGCTAAAAATTTCCCCTAAAAACATCCTGATATTCAATGGATGTCCTAGGGATAACCACTTGATTGAGGAAATTAGGATTTCCTAGAATGCCACAGGATCATCCACATGAACATTCTACCAATATCTTAGACATATCCTAATTTCCGAATACTTTTAGAAAGTTCCCAGGACATTCTGATTTATATATCTGTTGCTGTTAGGATGAAGATATAAATTTTTCTTCTTGTAACTGTAACATCAAACACTTTTAAATTAAAATACTGCTTTTCAAAGCAGATATACAAATGTATGTATATCTAGTGTTTTATTGACAGACGACAATAAATATACAATTCAAGTCTTGTTAGAATAAAAAATTTAATTTTTGTACAATTTTTAGAAATTTTTCCTGACTTTGAATGAAATTCTTTCATTTTTTTCCTGACCATACTATAGACACCCTGCAATGTGGTATAGCTTGTAAATTTACAATATCAAGAAAAAACAAGGTTTCATGTTAAATTACATGAAGTAACGTTATAATTTCTTGGTGACATAACAAAGTTATAATAATTACAATGTCCATTATTATCAATTTTACAAGGATCTTTAAAACCACATAATTTTGATTTTGAATAATAGGAAAATTTATTTTTTGATATCATTTAATCACAAGCATTTAAGAATTAAGATTAATTTTTGTATTTTACTATATATAATATAATATAATTTTACACTTTACTCAATTCAAAGGAACGGAGTAAAAATGAAAATATTAAATAAAAAATTGTAGTAACATAACCTATAAATGAAATTTAGTCCATACTTTTGATTTACTTTCCGTTTTGTAAATTTACAAGTTTCCACGCAACATTGGATATGTACAAACACTTTTCTCCATCATACTTTATAAAATTAATTTTACATTTTTACAGTATAAATTAATTTTATATATCTTTTGATTGATTTTAGCAAAGTTTACAACTATATATTAACCGACTAGGATGAAAAGTTATTGTTTTAAATTTTCGTCTAAATACGTTTTTGTAACGTATTCTGTATCAACCATTTGTAAATAAAAAATATTAATTTTCTGCATAAAAATTGTTTCATTTTATTTTTCATCATATATATAAATCTTTTCAACTTGACTATGAAAAATTATAATTTTATTTATTAAAGTTGAAGAAATAAATTTATGTAATTTTCAAAGTTAAGCCTTACTAAATATAACGGGTGACATGTTCTTTTCAACTTGAATACACTTTGTCAAAAGAAAGTGAATAAATAATATGCACATAACATTGCTATTTAATTTGAAATGCATCACCAATCGAGGAAATTGTTATATTTGTAATTATAGTAATAATAATAATAATAATGCTTCACAATAAACACTGTTTTTCAATTTAATATAACTCCTCTTGTTTATATAAATGAAAGAATAAATAAAAATTTGAAATTCAAAATAAACAAAAATCACGATTAAAAACAAACAGAAAAAAATGACACATCATTTTTAGATTTTAAGTTTCGGCATTAACTAAATAAACTTTATTTCTAACCTCTCTCACTCTGTGGGTAGAGAAAAAATTTTCGGAAAAATATTAAAGTCAGTTTCACACCTAAAGGTTGTTCAGTCTGAGGGTGCGATTCCATGTGAGCAGAAGATCACGAGGACGAGAGTGAAAAGAACAACAATATCTTCCTATCTTTTTTGCACTCATGATTTTCTCTGCTTTTGGTCGACATTCTGCTCACATGGGATCGCACCCTTATTGTGAGTGAAAATCTATTATCAACCATTGACGACGACAGCAGACGACTACTACAAATACAAAAGTGTTACTTAGTTTTACATATTATAATCAAAAAACCAAAGTTATAAAATTTTTAATATTGAAAAACCAAAACGAAAAATAAACCATGTTTTTGAGAATTTGCCAATCAAAATTGCCACAAATATCTTTGTTGAAATCTTTGGGGTTTTCTCGAAATGTTCAAATTGTTAGATCACTTACAAATGATGGAAAACAATCTTTTACAAGGACCGCTCGTTCTCGAGAAACTATAAGCGAAAAAATTTCTAAACCTTCAATTGGAACAGGTAGCTACATTTTTATTTTATATTTCGTGAATTCACTTTAATGAAACAATTAAATATATCAGTTTAAATAGCATAATTACACAATTATGTACCGAAATTAAATATTGCCCTACCGGTAGGTTAGACTGAAATATACTAGAGAATTTACACTGAATCCTCAGTATTTGCAAATATTTTATTTATTATTTGTATAAAATTAGCTGCTTCATATAGACCAGCAAGGATTGAGAGAAAAATTCGCTAGACACCCTGATTTATATCTTTAACGAATTTTTCCAAAATAGCATCTATCATTAATGTAATGCTGCAGAATCTTTTGATGCAAAGAAAATTTAACATAGAAATCATTTCAGAATCATTGAAGAAAATAATTAGAAAAGCGCTGAAAAAATGGAGAATACTACCATCTTAACCAAAGCACAGAACACAGCGATTCTGACTGTGCTAAAAGGCAATTTTTGCTTTAGTTAATATAAGGTAATAAAAACATGTCATTTATAAAGAAGTGTATTCGCGTAATTGCACTCTTTTTATATTTATTCTTTTTAAAAAAGAAAGATAATTTTTCGTCATTTTATACGTATCTATGAAAGTGTAATTACGCAAAAATAAATTTATTATAACCTGTGCAATTCCAAGAAATAATTACTAACTTTCGGAGCACTAATTAACTTGAAGCTTGCTCGTATATTTTTTATTAGTAGTATAAAGTTTAAGTAAACCAAGTTTTTAAGGAATAATCAGATAGACAGTTAAATTAAGTTATTCCAATAGCATAATTTCATTTTCAACTTTACATTTAAATAAAGGTTACAACAGATACTCTGTTTTCTGTATTTATTTTTTTCATCAATTCATAAATCCAAGCTCACAATTAGGACATGTTGTGTAATTATGAGAATATTTGCATTTAAAGAAGTATAAAGTAATAAATTAAAGAACCATATTATATATTAAATAGAAAATACATATTCCATATATTTAGTAAATAAATTTGGTTTTTTCAACAGCTACTAACATTGGTAAAGGCGCTATCGCTGGTGGGTCCGCCTTGGGTTTAGGGGCATTATGTTTTTATGGATTAGGATTTTCATCAGAAAGCGGAATCATCGATCATGCACAGTAAGTAAAATATGTAATACATACCTATATTATCATTCTAAAATTTTCTTCTCCAACGCAAAAAAGATGACCCAAGCAACACGTAATTTTGCCGCTTGATATACTTTACTATTATGTATATGTTTTTTTAAATGTACGATGGGTTTTCATTTCTAGTTCCCCTTGCTTTCTTTAAAAAAATCTTTTAGTTTAACATGTAATATTTTCGGTTTTTGCAATTTTAAGAATAAAGGTTTAAAGATTTACTTTGATATAAAATTTTGCAGTATTTGGCCGCAATATGTGAAAGATAGAATACATTCAACATACTTTTATACGACAGCTTCAGTAGCTTCAACTGTAGCAGCAGCAGCCATGGCTTTAAGATCACCAGTTGTTATGAGGGCAGTAGCTAGTCAGAGTTGGCTTGCCATTGGAGTCACCATTGCATCTCTAATATTGTCCTCTTCAGTTGTGCGGAGTTTGCCTTATGAAGAGGGAAAATTTACTATGAAACATATTGCATGGTTATTACATACAGCCATAGTAGGCACAATATTTGCCCCCCTTTATTTTATGGGAGGAACATTAGTCCTTAGAGCTGGCATATATACTGCTGGAGTAGTCGGAGGATTATCAACTTTGGCAGTTTGCGCTCCGAGTGAAAAATTCCTGATGATAGGTGGACCACTTGCAATTGGATTTGGAGTTGTGTTTGCCAGTTCTTTGGCTACTTTTTTTATTCCTCCAACAAGTGCCTTAGGATCTGGTCTTTATTCACTTGCACTTTATGGAGGTCTCATTCTTTTTTCAATGTTCCTTTTGTACGACACACAAAACTCTATTAAAAAGGCTGAAACATATCCAAAGTACAACATGAAGGGGTATGAAGCTTATGACCCAATTAACAAGTAAGTTATAGACATTTGTCTTTTAAGTTTTTAACATGACTAGTCAAAGTTAATGTGAAAGATGCAATAACCAATGTATGATGAGATTAGAAATTATGATAGTTATAATAGATTTGCTATTCAAATTTAAATACTTTATTGAATATGACTATGATAAAAGTATCACTAACAGCTCACAGCTCACTGCTGCAGTGCTGCCTGCGCAAGCAGCCAAAATGCAACGAGTGTAAGGGAATGTTGTTTTGTCATCAAGTTTTTACTTACATAACATATTAAAAGGAACCTATATTTATTTAAGTAGTAATTTATAATTTAATTTTATCGCAAAGTAGGTAAATAAATTTAATATTTTTCCAGTGCTCTCCACATCTACACCGACATCATTAATATTTTTATTCGTATTTTCTCAATTCTTGGTGGCAGCAGTCGCAAGTAACTCCCACATTTAGAGTTTAAACATAAAGATATGTAAGATATAGTACATTAAATGAAAATTTATTTATGTGAATTTAAATTAAAAACATATTATTTCAAACTTTATTTACGTTTAAAATTAATAAAGAAATTAAAAATTCTCAATACAAATGGATATCCTTTTCTGTAACTGTAATTATATATAACTATGTACAAAAAAATTAAATATATATATGTAAAAAAAAAAGATGGGTACTCCTCTATAAGAGAAAGGTGTATTAACAAAATATGTTCCCTAATATAATATTATTTAAATAAAAATGCTTTTATTTTTAATTTTTACATCTATTTTCATTTGAGAATATTCAAATATATTTTTAAAGAAAATAAGCTTTTGGTATTCAACTTCTATTCAAAGAAATACTTTTGAATTAAGAAAAATTAAGAATATAATTTTGATACAATAGAACAAAGTGACAACTTTCTTTGCTCTTGAGTTGTAAATAAATAATAATTGTAATTTAACGCTCAATGTGCTATTATACGTTAATATAGTCAGTTTTAGAATGTGTCCTCATATATCCAGCAAATAATTGTCTTGCTTGATTTAAGACTTTATTAACATTATGTCGACGAACCATTTTATCAAAATGCATAGCCATTTCGTTATAATCCATTTGATTGCGCATAACATAGTCTCTATGTTGCAAAAGTAATGTAATACATAAAAACATTAAAAATGGATTACCACCTCCAAATTCATTTGGAGGTGGAAGTGAATATTTACTCTCATTTACATCAGATGGTATAAGATTCATAATTTCTGTTGCTTCTTGACAATTTTCTTGAAATGATATTCGAGTGGTTTCAATTTCCACATTGTTTTGATTTTTAGTATCAGTTCCTGCCTGTTGAGAGCAATTCTCAGGTCTGTAAAAAATTAATTAACATAAACATATATTACACTTGCGTAATTTAACATTTGTTAAATGTGTACATCCGCATCAAAAGAGAGACCACTTTGTCGATTTTATTTCACGAGATAATCTCATTTTTTATTTTTTATAAAATGGGAAGTAATGGTAGATTTGAACTTTAGGCTTAATTTTTATTAACCATTTGTTCAAAAGGACCCAGCACAAAATAAATTAAAAAAAACTTTTCGTCAAATTAATTGAAATCTCCAAAAGACTCAAAATGTAATTCTGAAAAAACTTTTCCTCAGACAAAAATTCAGTTTTTAGGGGTTAAATATTTAGTTAAATTGTAGTTTTTTTTTTGGTGGGGAAATGGACTCTTAAAAACCGACTTTTTGTCAAAGGAAAATTTTTTTCAGAATTACATTCCGACTCATTCCTGAAGCGGTTTCACAATATTATTATATTGCATTCACAATAGTTTTCTTCAATGTATTTTGTACAGGGACCTTTAATCAAGAACATACTCATGTCCCTTTTCATGTGCGGACGTACACAAATACACTCATACCCCAAATATTGGAATATCCTAACTGGTGTGTCAGATGTTATTCCATTTTTATCATCTTGAACTTCCTCACTATTTTCAATATTCAATGAGTTCATCCAATTAAATTCATCAGCCGCAGAAGTACAGTTTTCTTCATTTGTTTCCACATCACATTCTTCAAACCCAATCACCTTATTTTCCTTATACATGTGTATATTAGATGAAGAAGAACCAAATACCTATAACATTTTAATATTTCAAATTGTGTCTACAATGGGCATCAATTTTTAAAACGCGGTTATATGTTGTCTATTGTTGACTCAACCTAGATGGACGAACCTGGCGATTTAAAGATTCAATCTCCTGCTTCAATTCTTTTGTCATTGCAGTTGTCATGGGATAAAAATCAGTGAAATCATCCAGACAGGAATCGTTGAGCGATTTTTCATCTGCCAAATTCAAAGAGACTTCTTTTTGTTGATGATCATTTTTTGTGCACATAACTTTACTACGATTGGAACTTGAAAAATTCAAAAATTCATTCAAATTCTTGACAACTCTTAGGGATTTTTTTTCAGATTCTAAAAGTTTCTGTTCTTCTGCAAAGCTCAATTCTCCTTTCAAGTTTACTTTCATACTTGGACTTTCGTTTGATAAAGTTTCAGTACTTAAACACTCATCTTCAGAATAAATATTTTTATTTATCACAGCCTTTGCATTCGTACTTGATTCTAAAGGCAGTCCTTGTGAAGATGCCGGCCCAGAAGGTGATCTACGTAGATGTGCAATATATATTATTTTATTATATAATTTATATTATCAAACTTTCCTGAACGCTGCATTTCAATATTTATTTTGTAAATACCTAGTGTTATACGGATTTTAACAGTTATTTTTTTATCAAATAGTTTAATTATTTTCAATGTTTAACCTTTAATATACTGTGAGACAAAAGTTATTTCGCTCAATAAATTTGCTTCAAATTGGATTAAAATTAAAAGATAGAAAATGCGCGGTAGAAAATTAAAGATTATGTTTAGGAATTGTGAAAAACAATTTTTTTCAACTAAATAGTTAATGAAAATAATTCTTTTTAACTTGAGGTAAATAAAAATGAATCTTTAATCAAATGAAAAACATTGCGAAATATAAACTGTAATCGGAATAAACAATAATTATAATCCTCTCAAGGACAAAGAAAATCTTATAAAATCAACAGTTTATCAATAAACTCTCTGAAAATCTCTCCCTTGTAATATTATGTATTAGAGATTGATTTTGTTTGAATGTAATTTACTGCTACATGGAAATGTGTACATTAAAGTAAATGATAATATATTACGTTTCTAAACTACTATCCACATTAGCATTCTCCACAGAGGACTCCCCTGCAACTGCTTGTCCTCTTTTACTGCTGCTGGTCATCTGTGAACTCTGTGAACTCTGTGATGAACTCTGTCGACGAATGGCGCAAACTTTAGTATAGGCATTTCCTCGAATTTGTTTTAAACTAGAACTTGACTGCGGTGAAGATGGAGGGAAGGGAGTTTCCACTAAACTCAATTCTCCAACAGGAGGTAGAGCAGGCAATGCTGCCCAACTTACTTCAAGCATTCTCAAAGCGTCATCCAATGCAAATTCCCGCTTCATTTCCAGCAACAACCATCGATAAGTGAAGAGAAGGTCATCGGCTTGGTGAGATTTTAGATAGGCATAAAATTGCGGATCATAATACTGTATACCTATGACAAAAAATGCAAAAAATACAAAAAATTCATGTTACAACATTTATTCATTTGAGACAAATTTATTTTTTTATACACAACTTTACCTTCTGACAAATGAGCAAACTTGGTAGTCATGGTAATACCATCCAACATGAAATTATCTTTAAGCCTTCTCATCAATGCGCACAAACAAATATAAGCTTGAGCTTCGTCACGCATCATAACCAAGAGGGGTGAAGCAAGGTCACTCATGCCTTGACAATAACTGATGCTTGGATGATTAAGGGCATAAGTTGTCAGGATGTTGAAAAGACTAGCAATGTTCTGATTGTCATCGGATCCTGCATAAAATTTGTGATGCCTATCCGTTCGAAGGACATCCTTTCTAACCATATTTGTAACATATCCAATATCATCTATATTTTGACCCTGACGTATCAATGACTTCCATTTGTCTCTTAAATTTTGATATTCTTGAGATTTCTTTTTCATGTAATCAATTCTCTCACGCCCAGACATGCCATTTGGATATACGTTTAAAAGATGTTTCCACACAACTTTACGCAAACTTGGTTCAATGCCACCAAAGTAAATAACAGCTCTTAATTCCTTTGAACAAATTATTTGTCCTATTGGGTCTAAAAATTTTCTAAATTCAATATCCGTTAGTGGTGGACGAGGAAGTTCAACGTTATCGTCTGCTAAATTTCCAAGAGCTCTTTGTACCAAATTAAATGTTTTTTCCATTTGTAAAGATGATGTTGCTGCATTACTTGCAGTTTGTATTTTTGAGAGTTGGTTCAGCACCTAACACAGTGTAATTACATGCAATAAATAAATATAATATTGACGAGTTTCGAGCAAATTGCGGGGAGAATCCTTTGAAATACATATATAATAATTAAATTCAAGTCTCACCTGAAATTGCGCACCATATTTAAATTACATACTTTCCAACAATATAAATTAACATTTTTAACATGGTAATAATTCAACTTTTGTATCAGTTTTAGTTAATTGATACGAAAGAAAAGTTTTGGGTGATTTTGATTCGATTTCAAACTTGAAACAATAAAATGATTTCCTTTCCAATCCCCGCGAAACAAAAAGTCGAAAACAAACTATATTTAGTTTTGAATTTGAGACATAGGTAAATCAAAATTTAGGTTTGATTCCGATTCAAATGTAAAACAACAAATGCCGAGTTAAATTTAGTTTTTTATTTTTAAGCTTTTAATAAATATCTAAAAACTTTTCAACCACTGCGTTGATTTCAATGGAATGAAATGTAAATGCAATTTGTAAATTTGTCGACCTGCACCTGCGGAATAAAGTTATATTTGAGTCAGAGCCAACTGAACTTTTTATTTGTGTTAAAAAAAATTTCTATTTAAAACAAATAAATAATACAGGTGATTTTGAGACAAATATACTTTTATTTATAACTCAAATAAATTATATTTAGTTTAAATCAAATTTTTCTCTGGGTGTGTACATCGAAGCTGAAATAGGAGCAAAAAATCAAATATTTAAATGTGATTTTTTTTTATTTTGAGATTAGAAATTTTTAATTTGGAATAATTTATTTATAAGAAATTTTTGAAAAGTTTTTGATTTTTCAACTCTCAAAACTATTTTCCTGGAATTTTTGGTTTGAAGCTTTTGTTGTACCCCAATCAGTTTTTTGCCTACTTACTAGGATATTACAGTATATTCGTTAATAAAATAATTTACCTTATTCAATATCAAGCCCGGAAATTTTTGACTCTTACATGGAACCCCTGTGCTTTGTTGCTTAGTTGACACTTCTCGCAAATTTTCATCGTAGTCATATTTGCATGGTTTTAAATTTACTTCAAGGTAAAGATAAGGGTCTGATGCACTGTAAAAATAGCAAGTTTCCATAACTCGAACGACAAGCTATAATGAGGTCGTAAAATCTTTACCAATAATAAATTATTAAATTAAATTAATTTTTGTTCTAGTTACTTTCTCTTTGATAATTTCTTAATGATTGTTAATGATCTTCATCATAAATAAAACCAACAAATCGTAATATTTAATCAGATTTTAATAAAAATTACCTAATAAACGCTGCATCCAAATCCCAATCCGATAAAAGGAATAAATAAGTTTCAGAACCATAATCATCAATTGCACGATAAGAAATAGAAAAGTCTCTGTAAAATTCGTTGACATTTACTTGTGATTAATATTATTATTTAAAGCAGATAGTTTACATAATTCAAATCATTTTTTACTTTACCCTTTGATATCAAAGGCCTTAATTAATATACTTTGTAAAACTTCTATAGATGTAATTTGAGGATCAACAGAAAATTTTCGATATTCTGGCTGATGTCGCATTTCACATTTCTGAAAACATTATGTATTTATTATTAATTTCTTTAATATATTACACTCATCGAAATTCCTAGTTTTCAATCTTTTGGAATATGGGACAAATAATTTATGAATAATATGAGCTACATTATTTGTTAACAAAATAGAAATAAAATCTAGGTACGATAATTATGTGTCATATTTACATTTTACCAAATTGATTAATATATATATTTATATATATATATATATATTTATATATTTATATATTTATATATATATATATATATATATTTATATATTTATATATATATATATATATATATATATTAAATGTATAAATTATAATTCTCAATATCATAGTCTTCATACAGAAAATAATTAATGAAATTTAAAATTTAACGTTATGTAAAAATCAATTTTTGGAAATTTAATTTTTTATCTTCTTTTAATCATTTTTCTTACTCATTCAATATTTAAATATGAAAGAAAACCAACTGTATTGTTTACATTTTTATTATAATACAGCAACTACGAATATTAAAAAGATAATAAGAAGAATACTTGATATACCTTAACTTTAACTCTTACAGCTTCTCGAGTACTTGAAAACATCACGTAAAAATTTTTTTTATGAAAAATTGATATTTATTTTAAATTTTTCATAGGTATAAAGAATTGTTTTTTATTTTATTTTTAAAAGAATATTTAATTCTCCTAATACAGATTGTGAAAAATAAAATTTTGGAAGTAAAATAAAGTTTTCATTCATTTTTCTCTTTTCATTAATGTAATGTACTTTAAATACATACACTAATCATATTACAAATATAAATATTGATTCTAAAAAACTTTCTGGATAAAAATGTTTTTAAAGTACTGAATTCTTCTGAACTGAGTAGAGAGTAAATTCGCAACACTTTTTATCTTTATGGAGCGTTCACAATAAGTGCAAAAGTTTGGAAACAAGTGTATACAGTTGTGTGTGCAGCCCTTCTCTGGCTGTGCTTACATGCTTGCGTTTTAACGTATGTTTTCATATACTTTTATCCTTGTTACACTGTACATACACTTATTGCATAATAATTCATACTCAACTCAATAATGAGACAGAAAAAGACGGGCATATACTTTTATCCTTGTTTCATCTTGTAAGTAAAAAGGATAGTTGAATAGCTCTGTCCATATTTCACTTTCCTAAGAGTACGTTCACACGACTTTTGGAAAAACCATTTTTGTCTTTCTCTCTTCTATGACAGAGGCATAAGTTTGTCTCACTCTGCATTTTCTGTTTTTGGAAAAGTAAGAAAATGTAGAGTGAGACAAACTTATGCCTCTGTCATAGGAGAGAGAAAGAAAAAAAAACAAATATTTCTATCCTTTTTACACTCACTGCTCTCAACGCAAAACGCAGCGTTCGAACGCAATAAGCATGTAAACACCGCCTCAGGTTGTTACACCTCTGCATGAGGGTGGAGTCCCATGGCAGCGTATTGCGTTGCGTTTTGTAACTAGGCCATGAGTGTGAGAGAGATGAAAATATATGTTTGCTATATTTGCACTCATTGCCTAGTTACAAAACGCAACGCAAAACGCTGTCATGGGACTCCACCCTCAGAGGTGTAACCGCATGCATCTATTTTCAGATGAGACATATTTTAGTTTTACTAATTAATTAAGATCAGTAAACTAATTTTTAAGTAATTATTTAATTATTTATTAGATTTCATTAATTAGTAAAACTAAAATATACCTATTCTGAAAGGAAAGTTGTTGTAGAAGCAGCTTGATCGAGTTGAATATAGATATTCTGGACTAACCTTTATACGCAAAGCATGAGTTAGAAAAGAACAAAGATATATTTTGCCCTTTATTATCACACGAATTTCGTTCGCAAATCTATTGTGCATTGGACTATAGAAAAAAATAAATGTGTGTGGAATATTATAAATTATTGAAATCGTGTTCACACTTAAGGTACCGTCCCATGACGGCGTAAAAGCGTCGGCGTAAAGCAGAAATCGTGCGATAGAAAGAGATGAACAGATATCACGTTCTCACTCTCTCACATGGTTTACGCTTCACGCCGACGCTTTCACGCCATCATGGGACGGTACCTTTATTGTGAAGGTCTAGCCACTGGTTGGCAGCTGAGTGTGAGTGTGAGCGAGAAAGAGAATTCAAATTCAAATTTTTTTCTCACTCACACTCATACGTCCCCCTTGCCCCGTCCTTCCACAGTCGGGAAACCGAGCTGAGACCGTACCTTTACTTTCACTTAACAAGTTTTTCACAAGTTTGTTTCCCAAATATGATTTGAAAGTGACGTCATTTCCTAGTTAATGCCAAACGTGGCTGCCGTATTAAAAAGGAGTGGCTGTTACATTATAGAGCTGTCAAGTAATTTCATTTTTTAGGCAAATGAAAAATTATTTGTTTTTAATATTTTACCATTGATAATTGGAAATAGAGAATTATATACTGCAAATTATCCTTTTTAAAGATGTCGTCTTCAGGCGATTTTGGAAATCCATTAAGAAAGTTTAAACTTGTCTTTCTTGGCGAACAGAGTGGTAAGCAGAAAGAGTAAAACATTAAAAGTTGGCTTAAAAAAATCTGTGAAATGCATTTTACAATTTTCATTAAATACATAGCATAGACTTGAAAAGAATATTATATTAATTATTAAAAATATTGTGTTTTCACAATGCAGCAAATATTTGTGTTTCTCATTTTTTCTGAATAGTTTTCAGTTGATCAATTTCATTGCTAGTAACTTTGAGAAAATATTTTGTTACAATATATTTTTAATACTTTTTAAACCGAGAGATTTAATTTTTTATTTTGATGTAAAACTACCTTGGAAGAATTAAAAGCGGCACAAGAAATTCAGAATTTTTGAACTAACGCAATTGGGTTTTTCTATGAAATTCCAGAATCTATTGATAGTTCTATAAAGGATGTAAACAAATAGCCAAGTGTCATAAATATGTAGTCTCTTTTATTTTTTATCAGGTAGTGACAAAAAATGATTATAAAGTGAAATGGTTTATCTAATTGGAATCGAAACGAAAAATTTATAATTTATTATGTACTTGGTGTAGCTTTAAATAAAAAAATAGTTGTCAGTGGTAGACATTTAGTGTTACAAAGATAATTTAGATGTTTAAAAACATTTTAATATCAATTATGGATGATTGTAATGTAGTTATAGTTTAATAATTTTAAATATTTTTTACAGTGGGAAAAACATCTCTAATCACTCGGTTTATGTATGATAGTTTTGACAACACTTATCAGGTATTTTTCGAATTTCTTTATTTTGTAAAAACTAAAGTTAACGAGAACTTTAAAGTTTTAAGATTATTTTGTTTAATTTTACAGGCTACAATAGGTATAGATTTTTTAAGTAAAACCATGTACTTGGAGGATAGAACTGTCAGATTACAATTATGGGATACTGCAGGACAAGAACGTTTCCGATCTCTAATCCCTAGTTACATTAGAGACTCTACTGTGGCAGTTGTAGTGTACGACATTACAAGTAAGTTGACATGTGTCAATTTTATTAAATTGGAATTTAATTAAAATTCTTTCTTATTGTTTTATTTCAATGAATTTTTGCAGATGCGAATTCTTTTCATCAAACTTCAAAATGGATTGATGATGTTAGAACGGAACGTGGTAGTGATGTAATAATTATGCTAGTTGGAAATAAAACTGACTTGAGTGATAAACGACAAGTGTCTACTGAAGAAGGTGAAAGAAAAGCTAAAGAATTAAATGTGATGTTCATCGAGACTAGTGCTAAAGCAGGTTATAATGTTAAGCAGGTAAGATTGTTTTTTTATTATTTATTTGTTGTTGTGAGCCTCGACTCAGTTCTCGTTATAGACTTACGATTTCATTTCGTTTTTAAAATTGAAGCGAAAAATTTGGAGACAACAAGGTAGAGTTTGTGCATTTATGTGTGACTATTTAAATGCATATACATTACATGCTTACATTAATTTTGACCTTGTTTTCACAGTGGACGTTCAACAGTAATAAATTCGACTCTGATTAATGAGAGGTTTGCTCTATTTGTCTTGACTTTAATTTGAGATTAATTAGCTAATTACAAAATTAAAATAAAACTGCAAGTAGTAACAATAATTTGTTTGAATAATTACTAAAATGGTATTGCCACGATCATCATCTTCTTAGGCGAATTGACAAATGTTAAAACAATAATTTTTTACATTTTTCGAAAGCTTTTTAGAGTTTGTTCAGTGACTTATAATTTCGTTTAAATTGGTGCAAAATTCTAGTATTGTTCTTAAGAACAGTTGCCAAGTTATTATTTATTTTATTTCTATCAAAACCGTTTATTCTTTGATCAACGTTGTGAATTTAAACTTGTCAAACATTCGGGTCAATTCGCAACTTTGGGTGATAGACGCGGATGAAATTGACTTGGTCCGTCAAAATCGTTAGGTTAGGTTTATAATGACGAATTGTCCAAAAACATACTAATCTTTAAATCAAGAGTTTTCCTGAAAAACAAATGTCAGAAATTTAACAAATATATATACGATTCGAAAGCTTATAATATTCTACGTTAAATGATATACAATTGCAAATTTATCATAGTAAATTACATAAAAGTTTCAACTTATTTAAATTATTTATTGGCGCGTGCGTTCAAGCGTCGAGAACTCGTTGTATTTTGCAGCGCGTCCAATTAATTGGATGAGACAACTATTTCTTGGATAATACATCTAACATTTTAGCTACCATTTTAGCTGCATTATCTTTGCGATACAGTATCCAATAGTTGCAGATGAGTTATAAAGCAATTTATTGGTTCGCGCCAACTCTTTTTCCGAGTGTAACCACTAATGCGACCATTGACCATTCTTTTATGAATTTATAAAAAATCTTATTTGATTATATTACCTCTTGACTGCTATCATGTTTTTTAATGCAGAAAATTTATGTTTCTCTTTCTAGTTGTTTAGAAGAGTAGCGGCAGCTTTACCTGGTATGGACTCTACTGAAAATAAGCCTCCAGAAGACAGTATCCTTTTAGTTAAAATTTTAGTAAAGCCTGTTCACACTAAAGCACATTATAAAATTTTGTTAATTGTGACTAAACTATCTCTCAAATCTTAGAATTTCTAAAAAGTGCATGCTCTTTATTTCTTTAATTTTTCAAAATAATAATGAGCACAGTTATAATGCAAAAACAAAATTCAAAGCTGAACTGAGAGCACCCGGAGAAATATAGTCATCCAACTTGTTGGATTTTGGAGTGCGATCCAATTAACTGGATGGGGCAACTATTTCTTAGATAATACATCAAACTTTTTTTTAGATTTTGAGAGATTTCACAGCAAACATCATAGTTTAAAGCTGCCGGTAATTCATTCTTTTTCCGTGTGAGTCGTCCCATTGCGTAACTTTTTTTTCAAAAACACCTAAAGCATACATGTTACAGTTTTGTTAATGTTTTAATTTTTGAATGATTTTCAGAATTATGTATTTTATAACATTTCAGGCTTGTCATATATAACAAATCTGATACGTAACAGAATTGTCATTTAACAGACCTAGCTGACATTTTCTGTTAAATGTTAGTTCGGATATATAAAAGTTGGAGAATATTTATGCATTTTTCAGAATGCTTAGTGACTGCAAAATTCGGGAAAACCGGGAAATTCTCGTGAATTTTTAAATTTTTCCGCCAACTCGTCAAACTCTACAGAAAATTTTAATTACAATGTTGTATTCTTTAACAATTTTTAAAAGAAAAGTACTATATTATATTATATTTATTCTTATACGCACATATGGGCCATATAATAACTTTTGCTTTAAACATTAAATTACAGATATGTGTTGTTTGGGTTTTGAATTTTTTTTCAGTTGAATATTTTAAATATTTTTTTGGTTATCTTTTCAGTTGACTTTTTTATGTTTTCCTTAATGTGTTTTTAACCTGTAGTGCAAGAAGTAGTTCTCAAGGACACGCCAATTGAACTGAAATCGTCGGAGAGCAGTTGTGCATGTTAAATCTTCAACGGTTCTAGTGGTACAACCACAGTCTAATTTAAGTAAATTAAAAAATTAAATTTTGTTTTATTCATTTTTTTACAAAATTAACGAGAGGTTACTGTTCTGTAGAGTCGATAATTTATTTAATGTTTCAAGGCACATAAATTGACAGCGTTAATAGCGCACATATTGATTGTCATTTTTAGTCTTTATTTATTTTCATTCTTTGCATTTTACTTGTTTCATTACTTTATATTTATTTATTTATAAAATGTATTTTGCATTAAACTGCAAATATCAATTATTTCTTTTAAAGAAGCGTTGGAATAAAAATTGTTAAATTATTATTGTTTAACTGACATAAGATGGCTTAAAAGAAAAGATGACATTAGTCTAATTTTTGGAGTATGCATTCCCAAGAGAAACAAAACTACTTAAATTTGCAGATAGCCCGTTTTATTAGATTGCGGCAACATTGGCGTGTAAACTTATAGAAATTTCATAGCAAGATTGCTGCAAGCTATCACAATAAGTACCAAAATGTCCGTATTGTTGTGACAAATTTATAAAAGTATTATTGCGTTGAATGGAACATTTAGAAAGTGAATGACCTTTCCTGCAAGATTTGTCAATTGTCACGTCGACTTTGCCGCATCGTAATGTGCTATCTGTATTTCTAGTTTCAAATATTATGAAAAATACTACCATATAATGTATAAAGAAGCATATAATTAAGTATAATTTTAGAATCAACTGGAAAACTAAAGAAAAATTGTTTGTACGAGACACTTTTAGAGTCAAATAAAATTCTCATAAGAAAAAAATGAGTGAATATAAAAAGTCAAAATTGAGTGAATATAAAAATTACTTTCATTTTAGAGGCGAAACAAACTATTGCATGAATTATATTTGAAAAAAGATAATATTTCATAGACTATCTATTAGACGGCTTTAAACAAGTTTTATAGACTGCTTTTTTCACAATTTTTATATTAAATAAAGAAATCTTATTACAAAAAAATATTTTAAAAGTTTACTTAAAAAAATTAAAGTAAACCATAACAAGATTGTAGAATTAATTACTCCAACATTTCATAAATAATAATTAATTAAATTAATTTGTGATGTTTGAAAATTCATTTTTTAGCTTTTTGAATAATCCAGTGTATTACCTACTTATTTGTGCTATTTAAAAATGACTTATTTAGGTATAAATATAATACGAATGAATAATTTAATTATTATTGATGAATTTAGTAGGTGAATTATTTCTATAATTTATTCGGTTCATTACATTATATTTATAGAGTAGTGTATATTTGCATCGCATACTTTTCTAAAATTATGCTGGAGTTTTTATAGAACTTAAAAATAATTTTTTTTATACTTGAAAAATGAAATTGTTGCCATTATGTTTTAAACTTGAAATATAGCACAGAATTTCAGTTGTTAATATATATTTTTAGTGATAATTTTGCTTATAATATTGTATAATTTATTATACCTAAATAAATTGGGTGCAGTATGAATATTTTAGAGGGTATATTATTGAAATCTTTAATTATTATAAATAATACACATTATTATACAACTAAGACGAGAGTTTTAAATAAGTTTATATTTAGGGAGCGTTCATAAATGATGTCAAGTTTTTGGGGGGAGCGTCTCTACTAAACGTGACACAATGTATTTTTACATATGAAATTGCGCGACAGGGGGAGGGGGGGGGGTCTAAGATCCCGAAAAATTGCGTGACATCATTTATGAACGCTACCTTATTGATTTATAATTTTAATTTATTTAATAATTGAAGAAAATCGTTTAATATAATGTAGATTTAAAAAGTATTTTAACTCACAAGATGAAAAAATTTTTATATTACAAAGAAATTCTTGTTTGCTATTTATTATGGATAAAATGAAAATATCCTAAAATTTGTTCGATAATACATTGTTTTATAAATACACACAATAGAATAGAGTATAATGCAAATATTATGAAATATATCAACACAAGTAATGATGGGGATATTTTTTTAAATTAATACTCTATTAGAAATTCGCAAGTGGAAACTTATGTAGATTTGGCATAAGTGTACCAATTTTAAAATGAAAATTTATGAATATTTCATAGAATTTTGAAAAGAAATAATTGAAAACAATTAGAAGCAAGGTATTAAATTAATGATGTAGTAGATTAAAGAAACTTAAAGTTCCATCCAATTTTCAATGTGTGAAAGAATTTACGCAAAGACTCTTTATCCTATTATGGATTTTCATACGCGAGCATAATCAACTAAATTAATTAGTTACACAAAGATTATTAGTAAGCGGGCAATATAATTATTACAAATTTAACAATTGAATTTGAAAAACAAAACAGTAGAATAAAGTAAACAATCACTTTGAGCAGTAAGGTACATATTAAAAACAGTATCCCTTTCAATCTATTTGTTTTATGGATTTATAAAATTTATACAATTGTTCAAGTTTCTAATGAGGACGGCTGTGCTGCTGAAACGTAAAGGATACTGTTTTATTTTTTCCTATTACCTGACTCAAAGTGATTGTTACACTCTGTACTGATTTATTAAAAATTAAAATACCACCGAGTGATAAATTCATATATATGTATCATCAATGAGATGTAAAAATTTTCTACTTGTATATGTAGCGTTTTTAAGCTTTTGATTTTTAAATTAAATACAACGTGCATGTATAAATAATATAAAAACATGTAGTCAAGTATAATTTTTTAATTTCAACTTTTTTTATGTTTCTAAACGTTGTGTGTTACATTTATATACCAGCATAAACATTTATTATGTGCCTTAACGCTTTTCATAATAGCTGTCGATTTACAAAACCAATCATTACAAACAGGAGCAGAATCAGAAAACGACAATGGTTGTGTATGCTGAAGATTCGGTTGAAATAAATAAGCATCAGTCTTCAAATCATAACATGAAAACATTTTTACTAAGAAAAATATTAGTTTTGTTCTTGCAGTGAGAAAATATGTTTGATTCGAATAAACGATCAAGTACTTGTTTATTATTAAATAAATATTTATTTGTATCAAATAATTTTGAAGACAGTTAATTGGTATTTAATTGAAATACAATTTATTTGATTCAAGTAATTTATTATATTTCATAATAGTAGACAAGTAATCGGTTATTTGAATCAAATAAATTTTTTTTCATTGTGTTTATACAACAAATTTTGAGTGCTTTTTTTATTTGTCACTTAAAAGTGCGATAGTAAATCGATTGTCCGTCAGGCACCAGACCAACACCTCGACGGATATCCAAAAAGACGGATTTTATATTCCTGTAGCCTTATTTTGGACGTCTACAACACATGGAAACAATTTTGGAAAAAAAAAACCATGTATAACTACATTTATGAAAACATTTTTAAATTGTTTCTTTAAAATTTACCACAATTAGTGTCTTTGATAATTGGATATTTATCTAATTAACATGTGAGTTTTCAGCAAGTCTTTTGCAAATTGCAAAGAGGGCATTTTTCTACTTTCCAGATAGCACTTAATTTACTAATTTTATTTTCATATAATATAATATAATATATTGCATAAATGAAATAAGTTGTAATAACAATTTTTATTAATTTTCCCAAAGTTAATTAAAACTTTTATGAAACATAATTATTTAATTATTATTACATATCTGGATTGCTGCAAGCTTACAAACTAATTGTGGGTAAAAGTTGAAAATATATTAATGCATAAGATCGTCTTGTATTATAAGTTAAATAGCTATGGTATGATTTTAATATATTGTAGGTAATATTAATTAGTAAAGTTTCAGCTTGAATAGCTGTAAGCACTGCCTGTGAAATATCACATAACAATATACTGCGTTTTAAAATTATAACTATAGTAATATATAATTGTTAAGCCGAAATTTACATTTTCGACTGATATTCTTATAAAAGATGCAAGTATTTAGTCAAAAAAAAAAAAAAACAAAAACAGCACTTTTACCTCGGTGTATGGAAATGTCTTGCATTCAGTGCGTCAACATAATAAAAATAAAAAATATTCTAATTGAATACGGAAATTTTACAGCTTGATACAAATTCAAAATTCAGATGCATTAATCAGTGTATAAGAAATCAAACAGCAATTCAATATAAATCTATCCCAAAAATAAATACAGTATGATGTGAACTCTTAAATTTATTTTGATAGTGTTACTTTACACAGCAATTATCATGTTTCAAAAAGAAAATGTTTATTAATATCAGTAACTACGTGTATATGTATATATCCTCAAACAGCCTGTAGGCTTGCATCAAATTTTAACCGCAAGTCAGAATGATATTCTTTTACAGATTATAAAAAATGCAGATTGATATTGAATTGACTTTTGAAAGAAAATGTTTATTAAAGGGATGCGCGTTGATGTCTGCAAAGGTACTTTAATTTGGTAGTGGTTTTTATACTATTTGATCAAATCGATTCTTGAGTTGTAATATTTGACTGAACTAAAATTTGCGACCTAAATAATCTATATTATACAAATATTCTTATACGTATAAAAAACCATTAAAATATTCTTAGGATATCATATGCTATGAGGAATATTTAGAGTAAAAATTGATATAGTAAAATCCTTTTGTATTTAATTTTTACGAAAATATTGATCCATAATTTATGAACGTTCAAATGAACAAAATCTTTCGTCGCTATAAATATTTTCAAAAATCACCGACTGCAATAAGAAGAAAAGAATGTAAATTAAGCATTTAGAGATTTCATAAATTACTTTCTCACACGTTACAAAGTATTACTATAAAATGAGACTTTCTTAATTTTGAAAAGAAAATATGTAAATAAATTTCGTTCATCTGAAAGTTCAGAATTTTATGCACATCGAAAATAAAATAAATATTTCGACATTTTAAGAGTAATTTTGATTTTGTTTCAAAAAATTAAGAATGGTACCAGACGATAAATTTTTCATATTAATTCTGAACTTGCAATAATTATATATTATTTTTCATCTTACTTACAGACAAAAAAATTTGAGAAAAATCGATCCGAAAATTTTTTATTGATATTTAAAGGAATAATGCTCGATACTTTGTATAATTATTAATTGGGTTGTCTTGCAGAAATATATATGTAGCCTTTGAATCCAAGTAGTTGAAACTTACATTCTTACTTTTTAGCATTCAATTAAAATTTTTTTTACTCAATACTGAAAAACTAATAGTTTAAAATGATTGCAAAAAAAGGAAGAAGATATTGCGTACAAGGTACATGTTAGAATTTTAAAAGTTGAGTAAACATAGTATAACTTCCAATTTATAATTGAATTATCTCTTTTCAAACTACACCAATTATTAAATAATAATAGTTATTTATGATACAAGTGCGTAAAATCGTTGATTATACGAGTGTGACGTTTGCAGCTCGAGCCGAAGGCGAGTGCTGCAAGTCACACAAGTATAATCTGATTTACGCACGAGTGTCATACAAAATTTTTTGCAACACTAAAACAACTAAACTTGCAGCAATATTGCTAATATTACTGCAACTTTAGGTGTAGTGGGGAACTGTTAAATGAAGTATTCTAGAAGCTAAAATAAAAAAATGTGATTGTAAATTGTTAATTAAAAGCATTATTTCATTGTTTCTCATCAAACAGTCACAAGAATGCGTAAAGTAACCTTTTTACGCACTGAAAATCACTTTACACACTGGAATTCACTTTACACACTGCTAGCGGTGTGTAAAGTAACACTTTACACACCGCTATAAAAAGAAGTACTTTACACACAGTTTTCTGTGTGTAAAATTCAATTTTACAGGTTAGTGTTGCAAAAAATAATTTTAGTTAATAATATTGGGTTTAAAAAAGAATACCTTGTATTTCTTTAATGAAAACATAATTATGTATATGTTTACATACTTTTGTAATAATTAGGTATATTATTAATTTATTTAATTTTCTTCCCTTTATTTAATCTTGAAACCATGAAAATTATTATTAATAGCAAACTTTATAGAATAAAGATTGAATGAAAATAAAATTTCGACTTAAGTTATATAATACATAAGTATAACTATTCTATGTACTGATAAATAATAATAATTTTTTACTTTTGTGCACAAATCGCTTTTGTTAAGTGAATAAAATAATTTATGTACTATTACACGTGTTCTTCAAGTTACCTTTAACTCAAGCCTGCTTTAACGGTACTACCCAGTGTGGACTTTTTGTTATTTTAATAATTATTTTGTCAGCTTTATAAAAAAATGAAAAGATGTTTCATTAATTATATATTATGTAATATAAATTCTATATTTCCATTTTAATTTTTTTTATTGATAACTTTTATTACAAATTTTAGTAAATGTAGTAATATGTGAAGGAATATTATTATTATTGTAATTTCCTTTATAACTGAAAAAGAATACAAATCTATTTTTACTTTACTCTTCAGTATAATCAAATGGTTCTGGAGTATCTGCTTCTTTTTCTTCGTCTGGTTTTGGGCCAAACGCTAAAGCAAAAATGATCAAGTTAATCAAAGATGAAATTGTCTTCTTTTTTACGAATTTCAATAATTGTATTATTATAAAACTGATATTCATTTAGTTTGAATTATTGGAAAATCACACAACTTACCAGCAACTGGTTCCACAAGTTCTTCTTCTTTTCCTATCTGAATATGCTTAACCATAACTATTCCTCCAATTTGAATATCTTTAACAGGAATATAACGACTGTCTTCAACTAATTGCACTACTTTCATCTGCTGACGGAGAACTCGTGCTGGATTTTGTAGAATTTCAAAATTAGGTTCAGATTCCTTTCTCTCAAGTTTTTCGTCCTTTTCATCTTTCACCTTTTTTTCTTTTGAATCCTTGGATTCTTTTTCTTCTTTATCTTTCTTTTTTTCATCCTTATCTTTTAATCCCGTTTCTTTCACTTCCGTGATTTCTTTTATTTCAGTAGTTGATATATCCTAAAACAAAATGTGAAAATAGTTTTAAATAATTCTAAATTAAGAAGACTTTCTGGTCAAAAAAGAAAAAAAACCATCCGAATCTTTTACTAAAAAAACTAGACAACAAACTTTATTTAAACTTTTACTTTTCTCCCCCCTGCTATTTTCTGTAGGGATAAATGACGCTAAAAAATCAGGGTGTTTTCAATGTTTTCAGAAAAACTGTCTCCCGCAAAAATCAAGTAAAACTACTAAAAGAAACAAATTTTTTAATTCACTTCCTGCAATATATAACAATGGCCCAAAAGAATTTTTGCAATAACCAGAAAGTCCCCTTGATAATCTACATAAATAATAAAATGAAGAACTACATAAAATAAGGGGACGAAGGCGAGGCTTGGAAGGGATACTACCAGTCGGGTAGCAGTGACAAGCCTTTTTTTTGTTGGTTATATGGCCGCTGCTACCTGACTGATATTATCCCTTTCAATCATTGCTTATGCGGACTTGACTTAATAACTGCTTGACCTATCAAATTGAAACTTGGCAGTCTATTAGATATTAGCGCAACTTGAAATTTTAGCCACATTTGATTAAAAAATATTATATACCTAAAGTAAACTTGAAAAAATGAAAATAATTTTTTTAATTTCTTGTCAAACTAATGATGCGATAATATTAACAACTCTTTTTTGTTTATAAGTATGGTTGAATGTAACATGGAAGATAGGGGTCGATTTATAAAATACATATGATGAAAAAATTGTTAATTAATTTTCACTTACAACATCCATTTTTTCATGGGTATCTCGAGCACGCCTCTCTGATTCTCTTCTTCTAGCTCGAGCCGCTATACTCAGCACGGCTGTAGTAACTTTTTCTCGCTCCTCTCGTTTCTTTTCTTCTAATGGCGCTGGATAAGCATAAATACTGGGACGTGCATTCGATTTGATTTCCAGCTTGGGCATTTTTAACTGGGCATTTAAAGCTATTATACAAGTAGGGGTAAAAGCCAATGCTAAGCAATGAGCCAACGGATACCAATACCAATACTGTGTAAATACTAAAGCCCCAACGACAGCTAGCATATTTGTATGTCCAGTTCTGGATTGAAGTGAAACTGTTACATTACGTCCACCTAGAAAGTAAAAATTGAACGTAAAGAATACACACACACACACACACACATTTTTCTACAAAAATTACATAATTATAAGTATATTACCTGCATCAATTATACCCTGAGCCAATATAGCACCAAACTTTGCCATAACATCTTCATGTTTATCCACTATAACTTTGGCATAAAGGGAACGAAAATCTTTTACTCGAGGACATGTAGCCTCGGTTTGTTGAATCAAAATCATTGCAGAGGCGATTAAAGCTCCTTGTCTTACAAAATTGACAGGATCATTAGTCATTGGATCCAAAAGTACAATGGCTTCTTTTAATCCTGTACCTGCACAAGCAATTCCCAAGGCCATTGCTGCACCGTATCTAACATGTGGATTGTAACTTTCAGCTAAAAGAGATACTACACTAGGGCACTGCTCTGGGGTCCTAAACATTAAATAGGCATTTATGATAATTATCAAGATTTAAAACTAAATTAAAGATTGTTATTTTTCAATATACCTAAATAAAAGGAATCCCAGACCAGTAACTGCAGCACGTCTTACGTCATCATTCACATCTGAAACCTAATGAAAGCAAAATATTTTTAGCCATGTGAAAGTTGCAATTTATTGGAATTGAGGGCCTGGATAAACTTACTGCAACATGAAGCAATTTACGAATTGCTTGGTTGTTTCCTGTTCCGCAATACGCCATAGCTAAAGTATACATTCCACTCCTTCGAAGTATAGGATCTTTGTCAGCAGTTAGTGATGCCACCAGAGGGTCAGCTTCTTCAAGACGACCATACATAGTAAAAGCTATTCCCACTGCAAGTCCTCGTAAAATTTTTTCATGTTGAGTTTCCTGTGCGTACTAAAATCGTAATGTAACAATTAAATGACTGAACAATTAAATGACTTTAATAAATTTATGTAGAAATTATTTACCGCAACCATATCCTCAATAGCTTGAGTTGATTTAGATCCCAACATTACCATCCCCATAGCAATACCTGCCGCTTCACCAGTTACAGCATCATCTTGGTAAAGATTAAATTTCAATTGTTCATATACATCTTGTCTGTGAGATCCCATGGCAGCTAATCCTAAACCTAAGCAACCGCCATGACGCACCATCTAAATCAATTATTTATTCATTTTTAATTCAAGTTTATAAAGTTTTATTAACAATTAAAAAACACTGTTCAAGTTTAATTGAAAATTTTGTCCATTTCATCATCAATTTTGGACATTTATGCATTATTTTTTGGTCAAAATGGAAAATATTTTGAAAATTTTAAATACTTGTATATTAATAAATTTTTAACCTCAAATCTTGTAAACTTTAAAATATAATACAATTAAAGTATCTATAGATTGGACATGAAATATCAAAAACTAGAATAAAATTCAACAACAAAATGGTATAAAAATTACACTTTTAAAATTTGTATTTATTGAAATGTCTGTAATGTCTGTAATGTGACAACAGAGTGTTTAATAATTTATCAAATAATGTATCTCAAAAAGCTCTATAAAATAAAAAAAGACATGGGAGACGGAATATTTTTAAAATTATTTTCTAAAAACGTCTTTTTAAAATTTTGAAATGCGAAAATTTTTTTTTAAATATTACATACATTTATTACTACAACTTGATCTTTAAATACAGAAAATTTTTTAAATTCAAGTTTGTAGTGAATTAAGCAATACTTGAAAAAATAAAGGATTAAGAAACATAAAATTTCGTTTAAAATTTGTTTGTTTGCAGATTAAAAGTTATTGCACTATGATAATAAAATCTAATAGTGCCTTAAAACAGTTAAACTTGATGAATTAGATTCAAAGGTTAATTCCAATTCTCGTCAGTTTTTATATGTGATTTTTTTAATAAAACAATATTTCCGAGAAAAAACATGATAATTTTTGCTTTGCATTATCTCAAATTATTGAAAAGCATAAATTTTATATACTGTACCTCATTTTGAGCATCTTTTAACTGTCCCAGAAGGTAGTCTGTAATGGCTGCTCCATGATTTGCATGAATAAGACCAAGCGCATATAATCCACCGCCTTCTGAATAACCAGCTCCTGCACCAGTATCACGGGGCAGATAAGACTGCATTAGAGCCAAAGCTTCTTGCTCGTGACCTCTGTGAATTACTCCTAAAGAAGCAGTTGCAGTAAGTTTTGCCCAATTCGTAGCTCGAGCCAACCATTCCAAATTATCTCTGTAATAGTAATTCGAAATTACCTTAAACGCATTTCCAAAGAATTTGATAAAACATAATAATTTTTTACTCAGGTTCTTAAAAGAATTAAGAGTATTTAAGAGTAATTAAGAGTCTTCTACGTGTTTCAAATTAACCAAGAAATTTTGCATTATAAAAAATGAAATGTTTTTAAATTTTATAATACAAACCTAAGAAATTGATCACTTGTAGTACCAGAATGCATAAAGGCATTGGCAATTACAGTAGCAGTATGACATATTGAAACACGAATTGCATCCTTGGTATTTTTTAATATCAGCATGTCTGTATGATTACTACGAATTAAAAACTGTAAATGTAAATCAATGGACACTTCACCTCCTAAAATACTTGATAATGCATCAACTCTTTCCTGTTGTTCTCGTTCTTCTGAATTCTAAAAGTTTTTAATACAACTTTTTACATTGAGGTTTAAAAATTAAGTATATCTATATGTATAAAAATATTCTTTATAATACAACACTAACAATCATTTCCCACTTGACTAAAAGAATTTGAATTTTACGTACCAAACTGTCTATACTGCGTTGAGAAGCTTCTTCAGTCACCTTTACCTTATTTTCAACATCTAAAGAGGCGGCGGCGGAATCAGCAACTACTGGTTCGGTGGTATTGATGTTTGTTGGTTTGACAATTGGCTTAACCATAAGAGCGCCTGGAATAGGGGCAGTAGCTCTCAGTGCTTGCAAAACACGTCCAAGAAACTGTTGAGTTGCCGATTCGTAAAGATCAAATGCGATCTGATAGGCCATTAAGACACAATCTTGAGATCCTTTACTCAGTCTGTCCAAGAGTTCAGCTACTGCCAATGGATCATCAAGAAAAATCAGACATTGACACATATTAACGTAGTCAGGAGTTCCCAAATTGCGGTACAATGAAACCAAGCATCGTAAAACAGTATTTCGAAAACCACGATTTTGAATTAAACTCATCACAACTTGAAATGCATACGACAACATTCCACTGACATCATCCTATAAAATATTTACAAAATCATTTAGAAATAAAAAAGTAAAAGAAATTGACTCTTTTTAGTAAAGATAAATGTGTTCATCTTACAGATTGCATAATGGCTGCCTCAAATATATCCATCCTCCTAGTTTCAAGAGAGAGTCCCAATGCCTGGCGATATTGATTATCATCTAGACATCGTTGAAACATTCGATTAACAATTCCTTCCAATCTGGGATCTATACCTTTGTTATCTAAGGATAACTTTCCTTCAGCTTCCAATACACGTTGTTGTGTATAAAAGTCAATACATTTTGCTAAAATAGAAAAAGTCAATTTAGTACATTAGTCGGCTTCGTTTCCAATTCCACTAATACATATAATTATTTTAAAATTCACCTATTGTTGTGTCAACATATTCATTTCGAGCATTGACATCAAATAATTCCCCAGCTCCTAAAGCATACGTAAGTGAATCCTCAAAACTTCCTAGATGATAATAAACTTTACTTGCAACTAAAGCTGCAAGCTCGTGATGATTGAAATTTTTATCTTCATGAAGTATTTCACTAAAAATCAATTCAAATAAAAATTATATATATATATATATATATATAAAATAATCATAATAATCTAGAAATAAAAACTTGCATTTTTTCGATTGCTTCAGAAATTTCAGGCCAAAACTCGTCAACTATAACATCCAATTTTTTCAAGGCAAACACTTTCAACTCTGGCATCGGTTCTTCAAGAAGGGATATTATTCCCGCTGTAAATATTAATTTGCAATTCAATAAAATAGTAATTAACAAAATATTTGAATTCTTTATCAATAATAGAAACAAAGATAAATTGAACTTACAATACTGTTTTGTCAAAAATATATATTATTCTTGAAAACAATAATAATAAAATATTCCCGAGTTTATCAATATTTATTAATTAATATATTATATTATTTGTTGTTAACTAGGTTATGTTTTACACAATTTGCAAATCACTGTATGTACAGCTAAAAATGGTAAACTAAATTTACTAACAAGCAACATACAATTTATTGAAAAAACTATTTTTTCTAAGTTAAATAAGATAATAAAGTTACCAGCAGATGTAATATTCATTTTGGGTTTTTCAGCTTTTCACAATAGAAGAAAACAATTCTAAAAATTTGTAATTTAAATCAGGTTTTATCGAAATTAATAAACAGTCTGATGACACTCTCATGAGTACTGACTGTACTGCAGAGACTGCAGATAATACGATTTCAAGGCCTGAGCAAAATAATACGAAAAGTGGACGCAAAAGACCTAAGCACAATGAAACTTTAATGCTCCTGGTTACACCCCTTCGCAGGCAGGCACCCTAATGGCGCACTCACACCTTTGGTTGTCATGGTGACCACATAAGAGTAAGAGAGTCAGACAATTCAAATTATTATGTTTTCTCTCCCTTACTCTAGTTGCTCCACCAAAGCTGTGAGTGCGTCTTTAGGCTGTGTTTACATGTCTCAATGTCTGCTGCTTTCAAATAATGAGTGTAACAAGGATAAAAGTATGTGAAAATACATAATGCGCAAAAAGCTGAAACTAGGCTATGTGTGTGAGAGAGATGAAGATGTACATATGTTCGCTATATTTGCACTCAAGACCTAGTTATAAAACGCAAAGCAAAATAGTTGTTGTATATTGTGGACTCAACCTTAGATATGAAACCACTCTTAGGCTGCGGTTACTGCAGGCAGCCTGCCTGCCTGCCTGCAGGTTGTCATGGTAACGTACAAGAGTAAGAGAGTCACTGATTTCAAACTTCTCCCTTACTCTCGTTGCTCCTGCCTGCGCAGGCAGGCAGCCTGCAGAGGTGTAACCGCAGCCTTAGGGTGGAGTCACCCCCATGACAGCGTTTTGCGTTGCGTCGTAATGGGAGAGAAAAAGACGCAAATATACGTTTGCTGCATTCTCTCTCATTACAACGCAACGCAAAACGCTGCCATGGGACTGCGGCCTAAGGGTGCGATCCCATGTGAGCAGAATACGTCGACCGAAAGCAGAAAATTATGAGAGTGAAAAGAACAACAATATCTACCTATCTCTTTTCCATTCATGATTTTTTGCTTTCGGTCGACGTATTCTGCTTACATAGGATCGCACCCTTATTACAAGACAAGTTTTTGGTATGTTGAAAACTTTTGACTTTTGAAGTGTGTAAGCACCTTTACATTGTACATGCTTTCTCTTTTCTCCTCTATATTTTTCTCTGCTTTTCTCTGTGTAAATGTCAAAATGTGTAATTGAAAGGTATACTGGTATACTTCATACTTGGATGTCAGCGTAGATTGGCGTAGATTGTACAGTGCGCATAATATTATTAAACTTTAAAGCTGCAAGTGCGATGATAATTTATTTTCTAAACAAGAATATTAAGATAAATTAAAAAGTTTATTATATATTTTACAATGGATAAAGAGGAAGATGAATATTCAGTAATTGACTCAAAAGCTGATGAGAATTCGAGACTTTTTTTAAATAATTGCTTACTTGATAAACATTCTTCAAAGGTTCGTCGACGAAATGTGATAGATAAAAATAATTCTTCATTAACGGAAAATAATGACTTTAATTGCAACAAAAATATTGAGCTCTCGTTAGATGGAGAGAAAGCATGGATTCATGATATTCCTAAATTACCAGAAATTTCAAATACACCAGGTAAATATGATTATATTAAAAATATATTATTAATTAATACAAGTCTAATAAATGTTTGTTAAAAATCTAGAATTGTTTACCGAGAGAGAAAGAATGAAGATAAAAGTAATACAAGGAACTATAATTGAATCAAACCTTACTTATGGTAAACTCAAATTACTAAGTATCAGTTCTGAAGGTTTAGTTATTGGTAAATATAAAAAATAACATTATAATAAAGTGTATATAATATCTCATCAAAGGGCGTGCGAAGATTACAAAAATTTATTAAAGTAGTAATTCCTTCGATTATGACATTAAAAAAGTGGCATTATCCTAGTGAAATTCTCTTTTCTTAAAAAAATCTGTCAAGTACAAGTTAATTTTGCTCACTTAGGGTTCCGTTTACGATCTAAAAAGTCCTTTGCCGTCCCACTGCCGGGCAGCCTAGGTGTTAATTTAATTATTCAAGATGAATGTAAGCTGGTCAAGATGTGGAAACAAAATTTATTTTTCAAATATTTCGGTTAAATAAAATTTTGATTGCAAGTTTTTGGGATTTCAATAATTTCTATTTTAAAAACTAAATAAAGCAATCATACCAAAAAAGTTAACATCAATTTTCACCATTGAATTATTGATAATGGATTTGCATTGGTTTTGAATTTCCCCGACTATTCAGTCGGGAACCCATTTTTAATTTTGAAAAATTGATACACCTTCGGTGTAGAAGGAACTCTAATGGTGAGACTCGTATGTCTGACTTGGTTGCATCTTTTAATTAAAGTAAGATTCAGTACACTGGTCTGCCACTCAGGATACTTGTGTTTTTGGGAGACTAATTTGCACCTTTTAATTTTTTTCTATTATACATTTTAAATATTTAACAAGTTCCATGGAACTCAGTCCATTTGGAATTTTACAATTAAAGTGATTTGCGAATTGAAAGTCAAACTTTTGATATTAAAGGGAACAAAACTATGAAGGCACAGGAATAAACAAACATAACTTTGTAAAGGTTTTTATCTTTTTTCTGGTCAAGCACATTAAATTGTAATCAGAAAGATTTATAGTAAAAAGATAAAAACTATTTCGTTCTATTCAATTAAAACTTAAAATGATAAGATGATTTCTATAGATGATGTACGAAGAGTTCTATGGCCAGAACTACTAAGATTACCTGATAAAGAAATGCCAATTGTAACTGAATTGGGAACAATACATAAATGCATTCCTTGCGAAGTTTATCAACAAGTCTTAAAAGATGTCGCTCGAAGTGGAGGACATCTTTTTTCTAATACAACTGAAGAAGAAATTCAAATATTCCAAGAGGAAATGACGCAATTAATTTGTTGGGTATTATACAGAAATCCACATTTACAGTAAGTAGTCATATATTCAATTATTTCATGGTTATTTATGAGGCTGTTTCCATAAGAGATGACACACTTTTGGGGGAATGAATCTTTTACTAGACATACGGAAAAGAACTGAAATTTCTCTTGCAAGGAACACTGCCCAAGTGTGAAAGTGGGATCTCTACTTTTACTTTGGACCATTTTTTATAATGAATCGAAAAATATTTTATACGTATTTTTCCATTTTGGCGCACACTCACTATTTTGACGGATCAGTTCTCTATAAATAATTTAAATTCCGTACATGCTTTCCAGGCTCACCTTTTAATATCTACATAAAGAATTGTCATTGAATTTTCATATAAAGAAAAATCATTAGTCATATTGGATCCGCCATTTTGAAATTTGTAAATTAGACTTTATATTCGTAATCAATGACCTCGAAAACCCTCAAGTAACGAATTTCAAGCGAATTCGCTGAATTTAAAAAAACTGTTCCAAACTGATCTTTACACACATTTGAGGTTTTTTTTATTTCCAACTTCCATTTTCAACCCAAAAATGGCACGTCTGCCAAAATGGAAAATTATGTATCAAATACTTTTTCGATTCGACAAAAAAAAATGGTTCAAAGTAAAAGTCCATCCCATTTTCACACTAGGGTAGTGTTACTTGTTAGTGTAGAGTCTGACGGGTATACTATCAACAGGGTAGACTGTATTAGTATTACTACTGTAAAGTAAATTGTATTTTTCTAAGCCACCAATTGATCCAGCTTTCAGTCAACTTGAGTGTTTGATTGCCATAAAAAATGGCGTGCGACAAATTGAGGGCGTGGAACGGATAACTGCCTGAAACGCATGGTCGAAAGGGACTATACCCTATACCAGTCAGACATCAGTGAGAGGCCTAGAGGCGCTCTCTATTGTCTGACCATGTTTTGCAGGCAGTTATCCATTCCACGCCCTCCATTTATAAATTATAAATTTAGGAAAGTGAAAAACGAGTGGGACTAAAGTATAGACTTGAAAAAGACAATTTACATTATTAATTTAACCCATTATTTCTCAAGTTTACATGTAGATTTTGAGGTAATGTTAATATTATACTAAACAATGCTATTCTGTGACTTTTGCGGAACGTGACGCAATCTTTTAATATATTTACACTTGCTCTTGACAAGGCGCCAATAGTGGTAGTGTTTTTCTTTTTTAAAATATTTATATAATAGTAATGAAAATGAATTATTAATTCCAAATGAATTTAGCTATTATCAAGGCTATAATGATGTAGCTGCCACAATTCTTCTAACGATGGGTCTTCAAAAAGGTTTACATGTCTTGGAAAAGATTTCTCTAACTTATTTAGAAAGGTTTATGGAAAAGACAATGGAAAAAGTTAATCAAGAACTCTTTTTTATTTTTGCACTATTGGAAAGAGAACACCCAAAACTTTTAGAACATTTGGAAAAGTAAGTGTTTTTGTTTAATTAAAATTAATTACGAATTTCGTTTAACAAGTTGTACTAGTTGGGCATTTACTTTTTAATCCGATGTGTTGACAATTTTTAACTCTTTCTTATTGATGACAAGTTTGGCTTAAATAAATTATTGTTCTGTTTGAAAAATTCTAAACTTATGAAACTTTATGAATAGACGCGTCTGTTTAATACATTGAGTATTGATTTAATGGTTAAATCATTTTCACCACTATTTCCACATTATCTTATTTCTCAACACATTTATTATTTTTAAGTGAGAAATATTTCTTTCAACTGCTTTCAACTGCTTTTAACTACTACTACAGAAAATCTTTAAAGCTTTCAATATTTAAAATTTGTTAATTTTTGTTTTTTATTATTCAAAATAGTATGCACCTACATATTATTAAATTTCTATCATAAATTTTCATAAGGGTAATTGAATTCTAAAAGGGCACTTGCAGTATATATTTTTATTATCGATGCTGCGTGTGTCTGTAAAGAAATTAATAAATTTAAGTAAAATAAAAAAATTTTAAAAAATTAGTAAATTTGATAATTCAGTAAACCAATTTTACAGTGTAGAATTGTTTCCCCATTTTGCATTAGCAGAATATACGACATGGTATGCTCATAAATATGCAGAGAACAGAAAATTACTTCATAGGCTTTTCGATTATTTTCTTGGAAGCCCACCTTTCATGCCTTTATATTTGAGTACAATAATAGTTATCCATAGAGCCGATGAAATTTTTAATACTATACCAGACATGGGCCATACGCATAAAATTTTATGTTCTGTAAGTTCTATAAAGAAATTACAAATAAAAATTGCTTTAATGTCTTTATCTCACAAATTGAAAATTGCATCAAGTTTTACATTTACAGCTTCCAGACGATTTACCGATTGAAAATTTGCTTGTAAATGCCAAGAACCTTTATCATCGACATCCTCCAGGTTCGATTAATAATGATGTAAAAGATTATGATTTAAAAAGGCGGCGTAAAGAACAAGAATGGAAGACGAAAGTAGAAGCAGCTCGATTGGAAAGGGAGAATAAATTAAAAATTGTCCAACCACGACGAAGAATTCCGTATCGTATGCGAAGCTACAAAACTATAACTGTTGTGACCATTATTGCTATAGGTTTATACGCATTTTTAAAGTCATCTACTGGATTAAACTGACATTAAGAGAATTTCTCTTTCTCAGGGCCTGTTTCACAACCTTTATTGAAAGTTAATCAGTGATTAAATCTTTAACTGACTTTAATCGCTAATTGAGTTTAAATCGCAGTTGATGAAACAGACCCTTGGAAGGATACATAACTACACAGGAAAAAAAAGTCTGACTCCGTTTACACCTTAAATTCAACCTCAGAAATAGGCTGAAAGTAAGACCTTTTTTTAGTGTGTATGTGAGCATTCAAACCAAATCACTACATCTGTAGCTAATATTTGTAAATATAAAATAATTTAAACTTTATTCATTTCTTTTATATTACAAAGTTGATGAATAAAACAATAGTGCATGTATTCTTAAGTTTAAAACATAATTTTACAGCTTTGGCAATAATTCGTGATCAGTTATTGTTGAAATAAATTCTATTTAGAAATATAATATGTACAACATAAGTATATAAAGGGAATATCGTTTCTTTTGTCCAAAAAATTGTAAAACGCATTATTATAGATATTCTAAACTTTTTTGCAGAATAGTACAAAATTTTTATAATTTAAAAAAATATTTATAAATAAATACATAATATATTTTTTAAAGAAAGCATCTTAAAAATTTATTTCACCTTATTATTAATTATTATAGAATTTAATTAATAAATAAATAAATACCTAAGAAGCAAATCATTTGAAGGTTATTTATCCTTTTTAGATATTTTCATTTACAAAGAGAACCTACAATTTTTTGCTTTTTATGTACCTTTCTTCGGAGCGCGTCACATATATTATATGGGGAAATCTCACGAGATGAGGGTAAATTACTTGCCGGGATATAAATGTCCAAAAAAATTTCTTTGCAAAATCGATCCAGTATACAATACATTTTTAATACAAATCACGCACAGATAAAAAAATCAGTGAGTAATTCATTTGTCAAAACTAGAAAGCAGGTCAAGTTCTTGTGTGACTCGCATGAAATATTTACTATTTGTACTATTTGTCTGCAGAAAATAAATATTTCATACGTTTGGGAGAAACATTCTGGTTGGTAGAACATTGTGCTATTTAATATATTTTTTATAAAATCTTACTGAGTTTAATTTTATATTATGATATAAATAAATACACGAGAAAAATGTTCACCTTAAAAAATAATATAAAATTCTGATAATGTACAATTTTATATAACAAAAGTAAAAGGTGCCTTTTAAAATATGGTATATTTTTTAATTAAATATTTTTAATTTCGTGAGATTTACAAGCAGTAAATTTTATCCTAGATTAGGGCATCACTGTCTATGTGAATTAAAAATTATAACTCCTTATTTTTTTGTATAAATATAATATATATATACATATATACTGTAATCAGTTACAATTTGTCCCCTTTTTATTCTCTTAAATTGAGCCGCGCATCGAAGAGAGATCTCTCAATGAAAGTCAATAATTTCGAGAAGCCAAAATAAATAAATTTGTTTTGCCGTACACCAAAATAGACTTTTTTATTTTTTCATTATTTTCTCAGAGTCTTTAAACTTGGAAATTTGTATCATTTGCAAAGTAAAACCCCAACTATTTGGAATTTCTATCAATAAAAATTATTATTTCCAGAGTAAATTTTACTAAAATTAACAATTCGGATAAAGAATGCAGTGCGGATAGATGCCCACTTTTTGAAATCTCCAACATAAAAAAAACTATTTCAAATTATATTATTAGTTTATTGTAGGTGATTGTTTATATTAATGATAAATAGTATTATTATGGAAAAATCAAATAGCCAATTAAAAATATTAATATTTATTGAATTTACATGCAATTTACGAATTGGGGGCATTTTTCCGCATTTTATTACCTTAGTAAAATTCGTGGAATTTTAAAACAAATTTAACGTTCAAACAAAAAGTAACAAAAATTGCAGACTATGGAAAAAGAAAAAAAATATCAATAATTATTATTACACAGAAAAAAATGGAAGAAAAAATGTCTGCTTTTTGAAAGCTGCAATTAACAGGAAAAGTAAAAAATTGTTTAAATTAACTACATATATATACGTTATAATAATACAATAATACTTTACTTAATTTGGAAAATCCCTTTTTTTTAAACTTTTTTATCTTTTTAAAAAATAAAATAATTTTTTCACCTAATATTTAATGAGAAAATCACTGTGATCCCTGTAATAATTATGAAAAGTTATTATATACAGAAAAAGAGTCATACAATAGGGTTCCGTGGTTGAAACATTGCAAGTGAGTGAGATTTTCACAATACATGGTAAGTTTGTTGGTCGCAAAATAGACTGATACAAATGGTGAAACAGATATTAAAGTAATGATTGGGTGGGTTAGAAAATTGGTTTATTAATTAACGCTTTCTATATCGTGAGAGAAGTGGAAGAGCATAATAGAGTCCATCAATTATTTGGAATTTGGTATTTAAAGGAGAATTTTATAATTTAAAATTACTTTCACAGGTTTATCCCTTATTGCCGTCTATTAATATTTTCATTGACGACCCCTGCGTACAGTATTATTGTTATTATTATTATTAATGCTTCTATAAGGATCTTCAACAACAATCGAATTACAAATCAAGTCATAACCCGTTCGGTTAAATCTGAAGAAACAAAGTGAGAAACAAATGGGAAAGAGAAACGCCAAAATTAAATTTTTTACTAGTGAACGACCCAGGGCCAAGGGCAAACCAAGATCCGTTCCCGGAGAAACAAGTACTACTTCACCATCTGGTCGTTCAACGGGAATGACATTGCGACATTGCACAACTCGTAAACCCATTACTGATTTACCAGGTGTCGCACCACCAATATGCCCGTAAAGTCCTCGCTGCAGCCAAAATGCCTGAAGTAACATTTGTATTTGTTTAATTAATTATTACTCATCAAGTAAGAATAAGGAGTTTTTAATCTATATAGGGGGAAAACTATAACATAATCACGGAAAATTCTAATAGGCGCATGGGGACAGTCTTAACATTAGAGTGAAGTCTCCTTATTCTTATTTCAAGTTATCTTCATATTACCTCAAAAATGCAAACGATCACTCGATGAACTAGTTCTAATATTAAAATACTAGATGTCAGTTCGACAGCCATTTTATAATCAATTTTTAAATTTCTTTGAAGCAGATCTATATCAGATGGTTCAATATTTCTGTAAAGACATATGTACATTAAATTTACTGATAATATTTGACGCTCCACGAGATAAGGGACTTGAGAGTAAAAATTATCAAGTTGAGTTTAGTGATGGTTATACCTTAATTAAATGTTAAATTTCAATTACATACAATCAAAAAATGGGTTTTAAATGATTATTGTGGTTTTTATTAAGAATTGATTCACTTTCTGTTTTTCACTTAAGGTCCCTTTTCTAGTGTAGCGCCGTATCTGTGTGCGTTATGGTTACTCACATGAAATCAAAAACATCGACTGCAATAAAAGTAATAGCTAACTTTAATAAAAATAACATTATAGAATCAATAGACTCTGCGACAAATCTTTTCCAAATAGGAGGTATTCGATATTCAAAACCTGTGAAAATTTTTGAATTAATTCCAAGTTATATATAGTGGATACACCACAATTAATACACTGAAAGAAACAAAACGTGAATGCATAAACCCAATAGTAAACTCTAAGTAAGCATGGAACTTTTTATCAAACTTGCAGCCGGTAGCAAAAAAGTCCTTTGCATTTTGAGAAAACAGTTTTGCTACAAACTTGTAGATTACTTGCGAGAACCTCCACCAGAAAATTCTTGTTATTTATAAGTATTTCTTTCAGTGTATGATATTGTATATATATATATATATATTATTTATTTTTTAACATTGTCAGGCAATATTGAAAACATACAAAATTACTATAATTTATGTTACATAATTAATTATATGGAAACAATAGTTGTCGAAACTTTCATAAACTAGTCTTTCACTTTTACATGGGGCCCATTTTTCGTCGAATTTTACTTAACGTTTTTTAATAACTACATCGTTGAAATATTAAGAGCGACTTGTAGAATTTCTAAAATTCAGTGCGTGAATATTTGTTTCCGTATTAATTTCAAACTGTCTATAGGTCTTTAAAAGGTACATATATTTATTATAAAAGTCATTTAAACTTTAGAATATTGACAACTGAATTTTCTAAATACATACACAGAATTCATAGAAGAAATGTAAAGCGTACATTTAAAATTTTTTCTGGTTAGAAAAACATAACCAGGGTGTCTAGCGAACCGGGAATCCGGGAAAAACCGGGAAAACCCCGGGAATTTTTTTTTCCCGGGAAAAACCGGGAAACCCCCGGGAATTTTCTTTTAAATCCGGGAATTTTTTTATGAAGTACTTTATTATGTTGTTGGAAAAAATAGTTACATTTTTTCAACGCTTAACTTAATTTTTTTTCAATTTCGAATTGTATATTGATTCTCTTCGTATATTAGACAATGTTTTATTATTGTCCAATTAAGACCTAACTTATATGGGAAATGATTTTCGATGTGACAATCCAGTGGGCAAAAAACCATCATTGTTTTAAAAACGTTCCAAAAATGTTTTTAGAACGTTTCATGTCTGCCAAATAATGTTCCAAAAACGTTCCATTGCTTTTAAAACGTTTTAGAAACATATAACGTTATTGGGACGTTATTTGGCAGACATGAAACGTTCTAAAAACATTTTTGGAACGTTTTTAAAACAATGATGGTTTTTTGCCCACTGGGAAGCTTGTGCCAAATTTTTACAGTGATGCGACACCTGTTTTTGATTTTAAACATGAAATTACCGTCAAGTAAATCACAATACAATTCTTATTATAAGTTTTACAAATATTACGATTAAATTTACTGTAAAATTTTAGTTTTCAATTATCCGGGAAAATTATTTACATACCGGGAAAAAACCGGGAAAACCCCGGGAATTTTATATTTCTAAATTACTAGACACCCTGATAACTCCTTTCCACTGAGGTCATTCGTATTCTATAGGGACAAACTTGAAGAAATACGTTTACCTTGCTTGGAATGCCTATTAAAAATGTTACTACTTTGAATTTTTTTAATTACAATCAATCTTTTAATAAAAATGTTTAATAGTTTTTAGTATCTTATGGGAAATAAAGAGTTATCAATGTACCATTTTTTTTTTTTTTTTGAAAATTGACCATAATTCTAGAAATCCTTTAAATTATTTTTTAGCACGAAACGACTCTTGCGCCTATATCTAGTCTACATTGTTTCACAACAAATCATTTAGATGGCAAAATTAAAGCAAACTACCTGTTCAAGTTTGATTTTGGAATCAGAATAAAGTGTCTGTTAACGAAATTTTATACTCTACTCAATTATGTGTATTAATTAAATTATTTTACCTTCAACATTTAAAGGATGAAAAGGTTCGTTGTGAATGTTTCGCCTTCTCTCTCGTAATGACTCATTGTTTTGTTGATTTGAATGAGAAAAAACTGATGTAACGGAAATACCTATAATAATTTATATTTGTAAATTCTATATATATATATTAAAAGTATGAAATACGATTAAAAATTAATGCGAGAATGAAATGTAATCTTTGAGTTTTAGAACAATATTGAACTTGTCACTTTTATATATTTTCACTCCAAAGTTTAGTTTTGTCAAAAAAGCCAAGACCTCTTTTACTGTGTGAAACGGCACAAATATTTATTTAATTCAAAATATAAATTTAATACATAATGAACAAGTAATAATCATTTTATTGGATGAATTAAATTTTACTTAATTCAATATTGCTCAGAGCATTATTAGCTTCTGAAAGGAACTTGGTGTTTTTTTAATTATTTAATTACTTCTCATGAGAGGGCATCATAATTGTGGAAAAATTAAAGTATATTTAAATAAAATTAAAACTCTACAAGATTTTGTAATCTTTAAAGCTTTAGTTTTTATTTCATTTAATTATTATACGTCCTACCTGCAGTATTATTTAATGCTTGACTAGATGCCAAACAATGAGGAAATATGGCTATGACACTTTGCCATGAATATACTTCTTGTAGCCATGCCTCTAATTGATTAAAATAATTACTACGATCTGTTTTAGTACATTCATCCTTTACTATATTTTCCTTTAATTTGTTTAAATTATTCTCAGACATTTTTATTTTATTTTGTGTATATATATATATACATATATATTAAATGATATGTCGATAATTATTTCTTAATTAAACATTTACATATATAGATATATTTTGAAAACAACTTTTAACTAACTACAATAACTTTACAATTTTTATAACGTTAATAAAAATTTTATTTATGCTACTATGTATGTAAATATACAATGATAACAAAAAATTTCACTAGTTCTCTTTAGGTTGAGTCCACAATAGGAAAACAATGTAAACCGATCAGGGGCCGTATTCTCGAAAGCATTCGACAATTCTCGCATGCGTAAAATGTCGAATGGTTAATGTCGCATGCGACTCTGAAAGTCTATTCTCAATGACCGTTCGAGATAGGTTGTTCGAAAATTTCCGTGTGCGACATTCATACATTGTTGCCGTCGTTTCCAAATACTTATCTGCCAATCATAATTGAGGAGGAAGAGAACTTGACATATGAGAAAAATACAAATAGTTATCCGTTCATTTAAATATTTCAAAATCAATTCAATTTTGCGTTTACAATTTTTATAAACAAATTAACTTTAAGCGGTTTCAGTTTGAAATTTTATAAAATTTTAATTTTGAATGAATTTAATTTAAAATTTTGATAATTCAAATTCTTTTGAAATTAGTTATATTTGGCAATAAATATTTAATTAATTATTAAAAATAATGAATTTATAGAAGAATTTTAGTTAAAAACACTAAATACATTGAATTTTGTAGACGTACGTTACAAAATGATTACAAAAATTAAATTATTTTTAAATGTAATAAAATAATGGAAAAATAATAACAATCAAATATTTATTTAAATAGAAGTTACTGATATTATTACGAATAATTTTATAATTAAAGAAATTCGTAAATAAATGTAACAACATTTTTTTTATATTAAAGTTTTAATATTAGCATTTGTAAATTGAGAATTTTTTACAAAAATGTTAAGAAACTGGAATATGTAATATTTTTTTTTTAAAGAAAAGAATCAGTTTGTGAACAATATTGTTATTGAAAAATTAAAATTATGCATATTAAAGGGATATATCCCTTTATATTATGCATAATTTTAATTAATAAATATATATATTTCCTATTTTTGCAAAAAGAAAATTTATTTGTTAATCAAAATTTTTTATAATTTTAAATTTTATTTTATTTTAAATCTTAAAAAAGAGCATACTTTCAATTTGTAAAACAATATTTTGTAAAGAAAAAAACAAAAGCATACACAAAAACTAACTTTAAAGTGTGAACAGACAGAAAAAATGAAACGAAGATTAAAAAATTAAAAAAATTTATATTGTTTACATGATTCATTCACAAAAATAACACAAACATGTGCAATTTATCCATTATAAATTTTGCATATTATAAATTATTTACATAAACTTTTATTTCACAAGTTTACTTTTAATTCTTAAACAACACATTTAGGTTATTTTGTATATTTTTTCTACTTTAGCATGCGGTTCATGCACACTAATACTAATTTATATTATATACGTTTATTACAAGGATGACACACAACCTTATTTTTTACTAGCATTTCGTATACGACTTTGCATCTCGAATGGCCACTACCCACTCGAGATGAACCATTCGGAAATTATCGCATACGACATGAAATCTCGCATGCGACAAGCGTTCGAGAATAGCTTTTTCCATCTCGAATGGTCTGTCGCATGCGACATCTGGGGTCATCGATTCGAGAATACGGCCCCAGTAGACGGCGTAGGCGGGGGTGCATTGCTTAAAGTCCAACGCACAATAGGTTCGCGAAAGAGACGCATGAGATAGACAAGGACACAAATATATATCTTTGTCCTTTTCTAACTCATGCTTTGCGTTCGCGAATCTATTGTGCTTAGGCCTTAAGGAAAAATTTGTCTATTGTAGACTCAACCTTGAGGCCAAAGCTGCACGCACAACTGTTTCGCGAATGAAATGCATGAGTAAAGACCTTTCTTCAATAGGTTTTAAAAACTCTGCGTCTGCGTCGGTTGCTATAGCAACACATGCTAAAATCAACGCAACGCAGTCATTCGCACACTTTTTAAAACCTATTGGAGAAAGGCCTTATTGGAGAAAGGCCTTAAGGGAGCGTTCAGACCTCCGCATGCAAAACTTATGCATGCAGGTTGCCATAGTAGCGTTCAAGAGTGAGAGAGATAGAATAATTTCCTATCTCTCTCACTTTTGAAAGCTACCATGGCAACCTGCATGCATAAGTTTTGCATGAGATCGTGTGACTGTACCCTAGGGTCGTTCCAGAATGAGCTAAAACGCAACGAAGACGCGACGCGTCCCAATGCTAATCAAATGGAGACGCGTCGCGTCTTCGTTGCGTTTTGGCTCATTCTGGAACGACCCCTAAAGGTGCTTCTATACCTCCGGTGGATTGGTCAAGCAATCGGCTCGATGAATTTTCACGGTCGGAAAATGTACTTTCATGGCGGGTATTTTTGAATAAGTAAATGTTGAAAAGGTTTTTACTTGAAAATTTATTTTAAAAAATGATTTTATCATAGAAATTCTTTTGAAAGTAATGTTAAAAAACATGTTTTATTTTAAAAGTTATCAAATTTTAATTCAAAATGTTTTAATTTTCCAAAGAAGTGTAAAAAGCCTAATGTTTTTGAAATGCTAGTACAGACGGTACAGACTGTTTGTTATGAATGTACATAACCTAGCGTTGTGTTGTCTGTTCATTATTATTTAATATAATAATAATTAAATCATTAAATTTAGAATATAATAATATCACAAGCACGACAACACAACGCTAGGTTATGTACATTCATAACAAACAGTCTGTACCGTCTGTACTAGCATTTCAAAAACATTAGGCTTTTTACACTTCATTGGAAAATTAAAACATTTTGAATTAAAATTTGATAACTTTTAAAATAAAACATGTTTTTTAACATTACTTTCAAAAGAATTTCTATGATAAAATCATTTTTTAAAATAAATTTTCAAGTAAAAACCTTTTCAACATTTACTTATTCAAAAATACCCGCCATGAAAGTACATTTTCCGACCGTGAAAATTCATCGAGCCGATTGCTTGACCAATCCACCGGAGGTATAGAAGCACCTTAGGCTGGAGTCCCATGGCAGCGTTTTGCGTTGCGTTTTGTAACTAGGCCATGAGTGTGAGAGAGATGAAGATATATGTTTGCTATATTTGCACTCATAACCTAGTTACAAAACGCAACGCAAAACGCTGCCATGGGACTCCAGCCTTAGGGTGGAGTCCCATGACAGCGTTTTGCGTTGCGTCGTAATGGGAGAGAAAAAGACGCAAATATACGTTTACTGCATTCTCTCTCATTACAACGCAACGCAAAACGCTGCCATGGGACTGCGGCCTTAGAAAAGGACAGATATATTTGTGTAAAGGTATTTCTACAAATAGGTGTGAATACGATTCCGATGTTGTTTTTTGGTAAATTTTTTCCAATCAACCAAGAGCTATAAATGCACCTTTAAACTTTTGTTTTTGTTATTACACAATTACAAACACAGGTCTAAAGTGGTATACAGATACATGTATCATAAAAACTAAAAATAAATTTTTAAATATTTTTCTTTGATTATTCATTTATGTAATTTTTTTTTGCTTATAAAAAGTAAAAACAGTATACTTGAGCAGTCTAAATGTTGGGAAAGAAATTAAAGAAATTTAAACATTTTTCTGCATATTAATGGTCTTAACGTCGACAATAATATAATTTTTGATAATTACCCTCAAAGAAGATATGGAAAAAGTAGAGTGTCCAGTTTGCTCAAAAGAATTACCGGTACTGGTTATCGAAGAACACGTCAGTCGGTGCTTATTTTTGAGTGAACCGTCAAAGGTATTACAAGAATGCCAAGGTAATCAGAAAAGGCCGGCTTCAAAAGAAAAAGTAGACAACAGTTTATCTCTTCCAAAGAAATCAAAATTTGACCACAAAAAAGAAGGAAACTGGGAAAATAAATTTTCATCTTCTATTTCTCAAAATTTTGAAGAAAATATTAACAAAATGGGTATTGATATTAACGTCAGTATCACTAACATTAATATTTCAGTCCACTGTAATGATTGTTTTTTTAAATTTGTTTTTCTCATTTCAGAGTAAGAATGAAGCTCAAAAGAAAAATGTTTCAGAGAATAAGTCTCATCTTCCACTTGCTGAAAAAATGAGGCCTTCATCTCTTTCAACGTATGTCGGACAGGATCATATTCTCGGACCGCAGTGTTTATTTGAGCAATTACTGCGAAAAGCAGAAATACCTAATATTATTCTTTGGGGACCACCGGGATGTGGAAAGGTAATTGTAAAAATTGATTTCGTAAATGCTTGTTTATATATCAGAGAAGGATTTTTGAAATTATTGAAAATTGCAGACTTCTTTGGCGAATGTCATTGCTGGGATATGTAGAGATGAAAAACAAAAGCTTCGTTATGTTAAGCTATCTGCTGCTTCCTCAGGAGTAAATGATGTGAAGGAGGCAATTAGTCTTGCTGCTAATGAATTAAAGTTTGGTCGACAAACAGTAATGTTTGTAGATGAAATTCATCGATTCAATAAATTGCAACAAGACATTTTTTTACCCCATGTGGAATCTGGTAAAATAACTTTAATAGGCGCAACTACTGAAAATCCATCCTTCAGTTTGAATTCCGCTCTGCTCAGTCGCTGTCGTGTAATTGTTTTAGAAAAATTGTCAACCCAAAATGTGATATTTATTTTAGAAAATGCTGTAAAATTTTTAAAAGGCCAGATATCTGATACTATTCAAGATGCTCCAGATAATATGAACTCCAAGTTTTTTATAGATTTTGCTACCATAAAATGGTTGGCAGAAACGTGCGACGGTGATGCTAGAATAGCCCTTGGTGGCTTAGAATTAGCTTTTCAATCAAAAGTTTCCGGTTCAAGTTCAAGCCAATGTATAATAACTTTATGTGATGTGAAGGAGAGTCTAAAAAAGACACATATGCTTTATGATCGGAAAGGAGATCAACATTATGATATTATTTCTGCTTTACACAAATCGGTAAGAGCAAGCGATGAAAATGCTTCCATTTATTGGTTAGCTCGAATGATGTCTGGAGGAGAAGATCCAGTTTATATTGCAAGAAGATTGGTACGAATGGCGAGCGAAGACATCGGTTTGGAGGATCCAAATGCATTAAGTAATTCAAGATTATCTTTGTGCGACGACATTTTGTATTAAATATAAAGTATCCACTTTATTTTTTTAAAAATTGAAATTTCCATTGTCTTTCAGATGTAGCAGTTAATACTATGCACGCTTGTAAAATGCTTGGCATGCCTGAATCTGATGTGATATTGGCACAATGTGTGACATATTTAGCTAGGGCTCCCAAGTCTAGATTAATGGAAGATGCACTAAGAGCAGCTCAAAGAATCATTGCAGATCATAAAGGTCCTCAACCTTCTGTACCTTTAGTCCTGCGGAATGCTCCAACCAGGCTAATGGGAAATTTAGGTGCATATTTTGTACTCACCATATTTAAATTTAAAATTAATTTTTAATTGCATTATACTTTTTTCCAGGACATGGAGCGGGTTATAATATGAGGCACAAAGATCATTCTGGTTTGTGTTATCTACCTGATGATTTACAAGACATTAACTTTTTTAATACGAAAAAGTAAACACGGAGAAAGGAAAGTTGATAGAGAGTATAAAAACATTTTTTTACATTTTTTTACATTTTTTTACATCTTTAACAAAACTATTATATATGTAGATATAAATCTAGCCAAGTGGAAACATGTCATATAATATTTTATGTATGTGATCAATCCTTGCCTGTAGATATTTATGGTTTGGAAATTTTTATACAAAAACTAAATTATAATTTAGGTTTTTTTAAAATTTTTTCAACAAACTAATCCCTTCCATATGATGTGAAGATTAAATACTAAATCTTGAAATTATTTTTTTTTATTTTTCAATAAAAATCCTACCGAAAGAAAACCTTTTAATTTTTTATCAAGATATATAATACGTATACTTATATTAAAGAAAAGTTTAACGAACGATAAAATGTTTATTATTATTTAAAAAATTTCCAAGGTTTTTATAATAAAGGACTTTTAAATTTATATTCTGACGCAAGCGCATCTTGAGGACGAATCAAATTTCATTTTTACTGGAATGGATTTTAACATCTTGCAGTCATGCTCGACTTTATTGATATTTAGCAATTTAGGAAGAACAGTAAGAAGAATAAAAGAGTTAAAAATTAAAATATCAAAAATCTCATCTGTCAAGTAACAAATCTGTACAGTGTGATTTCATTTAATTCAGCTACTTATTAATAGAGTGATATTTTTGATGTGTATATATATGACAAAGATGAGAATATTTTGTGTACATGTGTATATTGCAGCGTAAATTGTTTTAAAAGTCAAATACTCTATCGTAAAGTGGATAAAAATTTTACTTTGCTTCTTTGAATCATTGTTATACATTAAAATATTATTCTATATAAACATTGAGTTATTTTTGATTGTTTTGAAAACAATTTGTGCATCTATAATTCTACAATTAATGTCTTGTCATGAAAAAGTGATTGTAAAAAAATACATTCTTTAAATTAAGCTTTTAAGAACAAGTTGAATAGAATAAAACAATGGACACTGAAAAGTACAAATACAGGTTTGTAAATTTGTATATATAAATTAAAAAATATCAAACTAAATAAACCTTTTCTTTTGTAAATAAAATTAAACAATAGATATTTCTAAAAGTTGAAAAATTAATTCTCAAATAAATTTTATTACAAGTTGTACATGTAAATAATAATCTTTTCACTCTTAAAAATGTTAGTAAATAATAAATTTTAAATAGTGCCTATTTATGAGAGAAAACTTTAAATAAAATTGCTGCTTTTCATTGAAGATAATAAGAAAATAAGAAAATATACTTTCAAATAAATATATTATATAGGTATGTTATATAAATATATTTTAAATATATATATTTTTTTTATATAATTTTAAATGAAATGAAATTTAAGAATAATAATACCTATAGTCGCAACTTTAAAAATCTTGTTTGTTTCAATGTAAATTTACACATTTTTTAATGAAAAGGACATCTCTGCCTGCCGAGGGACATTCAGAAGTAAATCTTTGTTCTGTTTTGTCTTTGGGAAAAGATTTAAGTAAAATAACAATGCCAGTAATATTCAATGAACCGTTGTCGTTTCTTCAACGAGTAGCTGAGTACATGGAATATTCAAATTTACTAGAAAAGGCCTCTTTGGAACCAACATCCATTGGCAGACTGCAGGTCAACTTTAAACTTTATACATATAATACAATAACGATAATTAACTCTTTTAATTGAATTTATGTGGATACAGAATAAAATAAAATTTCTTTCATCAGACTTTTTATTTAAGAATTTAATAAACATATCATTAAACTTGAGCTATTAGCTTATGATTATATTGTTTACTCTTCGCTGTGGCAGATATATAGTAAACTGTGACACTATTAATATTTTGCAGCCCACATCGAGTAGCCCAAGTTTAATAATCTGCTTGTTAAATTTTGAAATGAAAGGTTTTTCCCTGTAATGGTAAGCATTTTTGTTGAGCAATGCTACTTTTCAAACTGTAGCAGCCAACTTGTGTAGGTGTACGTACTTGATTTTATGTAAATAATAATTATAAAAAGAATTTTTACAGTATGTAGCTGCATTTGCAGTAAGTGCATTGGCTTCCAACTGGAATCGATTGGGAAAGCCGTTTAATCCATTACTGGGTGAAACATATGAATTACAGCATGATGATTTTCGGTAATACTTCATCTTTATTATACATTCGCAGTATTTATATCTAAAGAGTTTACAACTTTATCAAAGTGCAATTGTAATTTTTATGATTCTTCATAGAATATTATGTGAACAAGTTTCACATCATCCCCCAATTTCCGCTTTTCATGCGGAAAGTGAAAACTTTACATTCCATGGAAGTATAAATCCCAAATTAAAATTTTGTGGCAAATCTGTAGAGATACATCCAAAAGGCATATTAACAGTTAAATTGTTAAAGTGAGTTTAATTTAAGGATACATTTTATAATTCTTTTGTTATTACAGTATAATACCACAGTGAAACCAAAATTTACTTGATTAAAATAACCAATTATTACTTGTCTATTATCAAATAAATTATTAAATTGTATTTATACAATTCAATTGACTTGAATAAAAATTATTTGATATGATTAGTAATCATTTATTTGATTTTGAATCAAATTATTATTTTAATTCATCTTTCATTACTAGAATCTTCTTAAAAACGGTTAAAAACATTTTCAAAAAATATTACAAATTTATATCAGGTGGAATGAGACATATACCTGGCAAAATGTTAACTGTATTCTTCATAATGTTTTGGTTGGACAAATATGGATGGAACAATTGGGTGCCTTGGAAATAAAACAAAATGGAGAAAAAATGTTAACAGCCATTTTAAACTTTAAAACTGCTGGCACAAATGGAAAAGATCTTCACAGAGTAGATGGATTCATAACAGACGAAAAGTAAATGTATTGTTTTCTGTAAAAAATAGTAGTAAACACACTGTTTCTGACACACATCTACCGTACGAATAATCATTTACATAATTACATTATTATTTATTTTTTATTATTTACAAATTATTTAATTAATAAACTATTATCTTAATCCCAGACAGAGCTGGCTCATACTTAAAAATTATTTTCTCGCTATAGAATGTTTATATTTAACGCAAAATAATGTATTCATTCATCTTTTTTATTGAAATGCAATTAATTCAACTATATTTTTTGTAGTAAAAGGAAATTGCTTTATTTGTATGGCAAGTGGACTGAAGGATTACGATCTTGTGATCCGTTGTCATATGAAGATGCACATGAAAAATTAAGAAGAGAAACGAAAAGTCCTTTAGGAAATTCAGGACATAAAAGGATGTTGGCGAAATTGCATAGCTTAAAAGTGGGAGCATTTAAGCCAGTGCATCAGGTTAGTGCTCCTCGTATGTTGCGACAAATAACATTGGGAAGCAATGGAACAATTGGAAAAAATTAAAACTCAATATTATTCACAACAAAAATTAAAAGCAACCTTTTTAAACAATTATACACTGAAAAAAATTAGGCTGACAAATTCAACTACCTTTGGGTAGTTAAGTGAAAAGTAGTAAAAACAACTACTTTTTTAGTTAGTCTAACCCGGTTTGCGTAGTTAATTTAACTATTTTTATGTAGTTGATAAATAGTAGTTGATTCTACTAATATATGTAGTTAAATTTTAACAACAGGTAAGTTGTAGAATTGACTACAGTGCTGAAGTAAGAACAACTAAGATAATAGTTTACTCAACATTTCATAAGTAGTAAATTTAACAATTTTATAGTAATAAATAGAAAGTAGTAAAAGGGACTACTTTTGTAAGTAACGTAACACTTTCTTAACTAGTAAATTTTACTACTTTAATATAGTTAACACCAAATTGTTGAATTAAAGAATTTATACGGTTGAATTTGAAACAACACGTGACTTGCACAACTGACTATCGTGAAGTAGTAGAGGGAACTAATTTTTTATTAGTCAAACCTTTTTCGTGTAATAGACTTTACAACTTTTATGTAGTTATAGTAGTTGATTTGACTTCAACATTAGAGTAATAAAAATAAATGAATAATATTGTTGAAGCCTATCGAACCACTCTAAGTAGCAAAATCTACTACACAATGCAGTAGTTTTGGTGAGAAAATAATAGATAATTTTAACTTTTTGAACTTAAGTTTTACTACATTGAGTAGTAGATTGTACTACTTAAAGTAATTAGAAAGGATTGAACAGCATTTTTAAATAAAGCAAAGTTCAGAAATAAGAATTTAAAGAAGATAAAAAGAACTAGTAAAAGTAGTAAATACTACTACATTACATTGTAAAATGAACTACAGTTGTCGGTTGATCTATGTCAAGAATGTCATCAGGTTTCATGCAGACCATCGTAGCGTGCGAGCGTGGTTAGGTGGTTAGGTTATCGGTTTGCGAATGTTAGGGTCGTGCGTTCAATCCCCGGCGTTTGAGGATTTTTCTCCATTATGTACATAAGTGTTGAAAATTATAAAGTATATGTGACCAATAGGAATGCTAGAGGAGATGAAAAATGAATTTCAGTAATAATAATAATTAATAAATAATAATAAATAATTCTACTACTTTTAAGTAGTTGCTGACAAAAACAAAAAGATGTTAATTTTTACTTTATAAAACAGATCATTAACTACTTTTAATAGTTAATTCTACAACAGAAATGTCGTTAAAGCCTATCGAATTACTTTAGGTAGTAAAACCTACTACTTAAAGTAGTAGATTTAAAAACAAAATAATAGTTAATTCTACAACAAAAATGTCGTTAAAGCCTATCGAATTACTTTAGGTAGTAAAACCTACTACTTAAAGTAGTAGATTTAAAAACAAAATAATAGTTAATTCTACAACAAAAATGTCGTTAAAGCCTATCGAATTACTTTAAGTAGTAAAATCTACTACCAAAATCTTAGTTGTTATAATTACTTTAAAGTTAGTCAAATAAACTACTAAATCACATTCAACCAACTACATTCTTAGTTGTCTTAACTGCTTTTATGACAGTTAGTACAACTATTTGAATTCAGTTGAGGACCTATTGAATTACGTAGAGTAGTTAAAAAGTAGTCAAATCTACTAGTTTTTTTTTTCAGTGTAGGAATTTATCCAATTATGTATTTGACTAAACTATTTGAAATAATTTATCAATATCTATAATGCAAACATTCATTTTGGCTGTTTAAAGTAAAAAAAGAAAGCAAAACACAAAATATTACTATATATGCACATAATTTCTGTACCATCATTTAATGTTTGAAAAATTATGTACGCACGAAAAAATTACAGGATGCTGTTGATGATTCTTCAAGTTTTGAAGGCGATGAAAATTCATCGTTTCTAGACGAAATACCAGAATCGACAACTTTATGGGAGGCAACCGCAAGACCTGCTAATAGCCCAGATGTATGTATATTTTTCTGTAAATCACTTGATATAACTATTTATGAAAAGGTTTGGATATTCCATTTTTCCAACGCGAATAAAATTAATAAGAATGATAGTTATATCTATTAATGGAATTTTCAATCGCAAAAGCTTCTTTATTTTAAGCCTTTAATAATATATAAAAGACGTTTTAAATAATTTTTCATTCAATTCTGTTATTAGTTTTATCAATTCACAACATTCGCAATGTCTTTAAATGAGATGGTACCAGGAATGGAAAAATATCTTTGTCCAACTGACTCAAGACTGAGAATAGATATTCGTAAATTAGAATTTGGGGATCGAAGTGGTGCAGCAGTGGAAAAAGCGAGACTCGAAGAAAAACAACGTGATTCTAAAAAATTAAGAAAACAGAAAAAATGCCCAGATTGGTCTCCAAGGTAGTTAATTACATTAATGATTAGGATTAGCATTTTTGTAATAATTTCAAAATTACTAATTAATTATTTTAATATTATTATTTTTTTATCTGTTTAGATGGTTTCGCACTGAAATGAATCCCTACACTAATCAAGAAGATTGGATATTTCTTGGAAATTACTGGGATCGAAAATATTCAGAAATTGAAAATATTTTCTAAAGATATATCATTCGTATTTTGAAAGAGAGCAAGTTTCACAGTATAAATAGGTACATACTATGATACTTTAATTTACTTTTTGTAGCCAATTTATGTTAAATTAATATTATTCCAAGCAATTTATTCCATCTTTTTCAAAGTGCGCAATAAATGTCAGACTATTTTATTGATTGAATGGTTAAATATTATGTGTACATATATGTAGATTTAACTCTTTGAGTTAAATTAAATGAATAGAAAAATCTTAAAAAACTGTCATTTAATTCAAATCTGAAATATTTAGACTTTGAAAAAATAAGAATAATAAATGTTCGTTCTAAATATATTTATAAAAAAATTCTGTACTCTAAAAATAAAGTGCAATACGCTGTAGAATTATTTATTCAGTATCTGAATGTTTTCCTAATAATTATATATTTGTACATTTTCGAAACTGAAAAATAATTCTAAAACAGCGACATGAAAGAAATAAATAAACACAGATATATGTAAATTAGTGTGTACATTTCGTATCCTATTGAAGATAAATCTACATCAATTTTAATTCTCCAGTTATTTGCATCACATTCCTTTCTTTACATATTATTAATCCGCATTTAAACTTTCTCCATTTGCGTGTGTGAGGGTTCCTAATAATCTTGGTAGAAAAACACATTATAGGTATGTTAATTTAATCAATTTTGAGCAAATAATTGATAAAAGCAAACTTATTGTTGTACTTTAAATCAATGAATAAATTTCGCAGCGAATCGCATGTTTTTTTTATTTTTATCGTAAATTATTCAATTGGTGTGTCTATAACTGTAAATACAAAATATACCAAACTCAATTCATTGAATTTTTGAACAAATGAAATTGATTTGCAATCAAGTAATGGGGGGAAACAAGAAAAAAATAACTTGAATAACGATACAATGTCCTATTAACTGTTGTTGACAATATTTAACGTGAAATTCTCAATTAAAGTTACAACTAAAATTAAATTTTTAAATAGTTGATTCTTGAATAGTTGTTGGAAAATTATCATTTTTCTATTAGAATTAGGAAAACTAGAGGCAAAGTAAGTAACAAGAAATCTGTAATTTTTATGTTTGCAAACAAATTCCACAACACTGCTATTAAAAGTAAACTTTCTTCAAAAATCTCTACTCAAATGAACAAAGTTACAAACTCGTGCAATAATTCTTTCGAATATTTTTTGGAAAAGAAAGAAAATCACTTTGCCTTTAGTTTCCCACACCTAGTAAGAACTCGTAACACTCACTTTTAAGTTACATCATAATCATCTTCCTCCCTCTTTCTTTTAACTGAATCTGAATCACTTTTTAATTTTACCACAGATAACGTTTGTCCAGACGTTTGTTGCATTTGAGACTTAATAATTGGCGTTTTCATCGTCGGTGCTGAAGTTCCTGTTAATTAAAATAATTAAATTTATTTTGTGTTGTGTTTTAAGAAAAAGTTGGAAAAGTGAGATGCAACATTTGTAGACATACCTGCTGAAAATTTAAAAACCGGTTTAGGTATTGAAATAGTCTGCGTTCTTGCAACAGTAGTAAGAGTTCCTGGTCTCTTCACCACTGAGAGACTGGCTTTATTATTATCTAATTTCATTCTTGCTTGTCCACTAGAATTATTATTTCCAATCATGGCACTTGAAGATTTCATTGTTTTCTTAAAAGTATTTTTCAATTTGTAATTGGTCACATTCAAGCAATATCTATCAGGTGGTAATCTTAAGCCATTATTTGGCTTTACGAATGGTAAAGGAACATTATTCTTTAAGCGTGCCACATCCAACAAAACATCTCGAGGTGGTGGATTAGTGAAACTCCGCTCTAATTGCATTTTTACTGCTAACCTAACATCATCTAAATCTATAAACTTTTTCTTTGCATGATTGGCATAAATTCTACTGTCGTCCAGTATGCAAGTAACGTAGCCTATGTGACAAATAAAATACACTATCAACAATTCGGTTTATTTATTATTAAAAGTAGTGTTATTAAAAGATACGATAATTCACTTACGATACGTGAATTCAAGAAGTTGGTTTATAACTCTTGGCTCGTACTCCACTATACCCATGTCTTTCATAATGGACATAATAACTTGAGCATCTTTAGGAATATGTTTCACATGATTCAATGCTTTATTCTTCTCTGCCATTTTTTAATATTTAATAAACAATAAGACAGTTAAATTTTGTTGATATACATTGGTTACTACACAGCAGCCAACACAACACAAAACAATCTTTGAGAAATAAACCAATAGAGTGGAAAAAGGTAGGAAAGAGGGTGGTATCTTTAAAGGTGGAGTCCACAATAGACAAATTATCTTGAGCAATACATAGCCTCTGCAGAGCTCCACAATAAAGGCCAACGCAGAATAGATCTGTAACCGGAACCGCAATCGTAAGCGTAACCGTAAGAATCAGTTAAAGAAGGATAGGTATATTGTTTATCCTTCTCTAACTCATTCTTACGCTTACGCTTACGATTGCGGTTCCGGTTACAGATCTATTCTGCGTTGGCCTTTAGAATAATAGTTCACAATAGACAAATTTTCTTAAGGCCTTTCTCCAATAGGTTTTAAAAAGTGTGCGAATGACTGCGTTGCGTTGATTTTAGCATGTGTTGCTATAGCAACCAACGCAGACGCAGTCCTTCGCACACTTTTTAAAACCTATTGGAGAAAGGCCTATATCAACACATGCAAAAATCAACGCAACGCAGTCATTCGCACACTTTTTAAAACCTATTGGAGAAAGGCCTTTAGGCGGTGTTTACATGCTTGCGTTCGAACGCTGCGCTTTGCGTTGAATGAGGGAACGTTCAGATCTCCGCATGCAAAACTTATGCATGCAGGTTGCCATAGTAGCGTTCAAGAGTGAGAGAGATAGAATAATTTCCTCTCTCTCTCACTCTTGAACGCTACCATGGCAACCTGCATGCATAAGTTTTGCATGTGGAGGTCTGAACGCTCCCTAATGAGACAGAGAAGAAAGAAAGACATATACTTCTATCCTTCTTATGCTGCTTCTACATGGTAAAGGTAACGCAAGACGCAACGCGAAACGCACAAAAATACCATGCATTTCTAGCGCGTTTTGCGTTGCGTCTCGCTTTATCTTTGCCATGTCGTTGAGTCCACAATAGCACTCTTGAACGGAACGTAAACGTAATGAAACAATTAAGTAGAGTCTACAATGAGCACGATCAACGTGGACGTGGACGCGACGTGCTGACATCACCCATTTGAATAGCATGGTGTAACATGTGCAAAACTTTTTTTATCAATTAAAATTTTGTTTTAAATTTAAATATAGGAATAATAGGAATATGAATAATAAATAACAAACATTTGAGGTTAAGGTAAAGAGGGTAAACATGTCAAAATAAGTCTGCTATCATGATTATGTACACCTGATGCTTTAATGCCTTCCTTCCGCGCATCGTTTTTCTATTTATTTTCGATGCGCAGAACTCAACCGGAAGGAAGGCGCATCAGGGTGTATTTTACCTAGTTTTATACAGTTTTATACGTATAATACGTCGAAAATGTATTATACGTATAAAACCTCGAGTGACGCGTCAAAACCCATCCCTGGCCACATGTGATCGCACCCTAATAGTTCTGAACAGTGCTTTAAGCATAAGCTATTGTGCCTAACCCTACCTGACTGAAAATTTCATTCGTTAAGGTTAAGAGTAATAAATTTTTATTTTGCAGTTAATTTAATTGATTACCTAATTACTAAATATTTTGTCTTTTGAATTGTTGCAATACAAATGTTCATTATACAAAATTTGTACGTAATCAAACATTGTAATTTAGAATATACAGAATTTAGATGGAATCTTATATACCTAGCAAGGAAATATTATTTCATAGGACTTTCATTAAACAGAATATTCATTTAAACGCAAATGTTTATTACATAAATAAAAATAGAAAGAATTCTTTCTTAAGGTAATTTTTAATTCTTTGAATGTGTATCATTTTCGATTTGAGTAAAAATAATTCAGTAATTCAACAGATTTTTATATACAATAATTTTAGATGAACATTTGAAGATACAATCTATCAAAAATATTCAAAAGAGACTAGCATTTATTTATTAATATATTACTCTTTAAATTGAATAATCTCAGAATCTTTCTCCTTAATTTTGCCATTATTAATGAAAATTTGTTAATAAATTGCAAGTTTTTTTATATAAAAAAAAGATTAAGATCAAATGCTACTTTCAAGTTGAATAAGGAGAACCTTCTTTGAATGATACTTTTTATATACACATTTTCAAAAGAAAATCTCAGTTTTTTAGAAAATGAGAAGAAAAGGATGAATCAATCAACTATGATTCATAAAATATTCCGAGGATAGACTTTTTCGACTGGTTGTCTTTTTTGTAAATCGTTATAGCTTCTTAAAGTTTATGAGACAACCATAGAATACAAGTTTCTAGTTATTAGTATAATTATAAATATATTTAAATAAAGATAAAAATCGTAGGGTCTGACAGGATCCACGTATCTGACGGAGGGTTAAAGACATTTTTTTTCTGAAATAATTGGAAAATTAAGATTTATTTCTACTCTATAATAGAAATTTCAAACACTGTCGAAAATAAAAGACAAAATATTAATTAAAATAATTGTTTTATTATTTGAACTTGTTTAATACCTATCTTGTTTTTAAATTTAATACTGTGTACAAATGAAGAATTGATAAAAAGATGAAGTATAGAAAACACTTGCTGTAGAAAAAAAATTATTTAAAATAACAAAATTTTGGTTGAATGAACCAAGAAAGTGTATTGTTATACAGTTAACCAAACATTTATTTAGTTGAGCTAAAAGTTTTCTTCAGGTGACTAAATTCTTTCTTCGAGCGCAAAAATTAAACTGTACTTTCCAAGTCTAGCGAAATTTAATTTATTTTCAGCGATAAGTATGCTATTTTTATCGCTCCTACAGATTTAAACAAATATTTATTTAGATTGAACAAACTTTGTTGAAAATTACTCAAAACTAAGGTTTATATAACAAAATAGAATATTTGATTATATTATTCAAATAACCAAAATTCATAACATTTAAAAAGAGTTACACTCTAAATCTGAATCAGTGAAAATTTCACTGATTTCAATTCAGTGGCCCAGTTTTCTTTGATGAATCAGTGGAATTTCACTGACAATCAGTGGTTTTTACTGATTCTCAGTGAAATCCGACTGAAGAATTAAAGACAACTGGGCCACTGAATTGAAATCAGTGAAATTTTCACTGATTCAGATTTAGAGTGTAAACTTTCCCTCTGTTTACCGCACGGAAAAGACAGTTTATTAACATTGTCTCCTTTTGAGCTACAACAAAAATGACCTATATCATTCCATGCTTTAGAAATGCGCAAGCTTGCGAAAAGTTTGGCCATCAGCCGCCGTGTGTAAAATATCTCCCCACTCTATCGTTTCAAATTCAATTTCAAGGTATGATTTACGCACCTTTGGTCAATTCATTCAAAGAGCTTTAATTAATATCTCATGCAAGTCGGTCGAGTTTTTATATTGTATTTCCTGCAAAAGTCGAAGGTTTATATTTTGTTCCCCGAAGAAGGGGAACACGGGTTTGAAAGTTAATTGTTTAAATAATGTAATCACCTGGTATTTAAAATATTAAAATTGATTTGAGTTTAACAAATTGCATTGTTGTGGAATATTATTATAATATGTAAATTAAAGAAAAATCCTTTAAATACTGCATGAAAGTAAAGAAATAAATCATAATATTTGAATATTTTTTGCAAGTTGTTAAAGAACTTGGTACTATAATCTGATTTCCAAGTTCAAAATCAGATAAAATAGCTCATAAAAATTAAATGCCAACGACAGAAATTATTATACTTGTATAGTATTATTATTAACGTTTATTTCCGAGATGTTGTATTTTGATTAACTTTATTTAAATAAATATAGTTTAATCTGAATTCTTTAAATAGATTATTTTAATATAAAATAAGACAAAACGAAGAACAACATAAAATTATTCACTTTAAACATTAAAGTTTTAATAAAGATGAATCAAGGTTTTTATTGGTTTTTATTGAAATAGGAGGTTTTTTAAACTTGCAGTTTATATCACAGACTTTCAAGTTATCTGCTCTAATATACTGACCAGTAACTTTGTTTTTTTATAATGGGCAAGTAGAAATGTTATTTTCGAATAGAGGTTTTAATAGAGATATATGGAGATGGTTCAATGTAAACACAGGGCCTTCAAAAGTTGGAGAAAACTTTAAGTTTGTTATTTAATCATAGAATATAATTTGTGTTTATAAATTGAATAATGTAAAATTCTTTTAGTTTGTTTACATTTAATTCGTCAAAATCAGTTTTTTCTACGTATTTTTTGAAATAATTTTGTTGCATTTACTGCAGATTCCACACGGGCGCACTGTTACAAAACTTATGGAGAGAGGCAACAGCCCCTTCGACCGGCGGCAATACTGCGGCAAGATCAGTCTCAATAACAGTTGAGACAGAAGCAGCAACTGCAAAGTTCATCAAGGTCGCCTGCAAGAACAGAGCCTGCTCGCGGAACGCAAGTAATGCAAGTTAAAATTATTATTATTATTGATATAATGTTAAAGTTTTCAACATTCCTTCTAAAAAACGAAACAATAGTACATTTAATATTGGCTAATATTACTGCTGCGGCTAAGAAGGTAATATTACAACTCCCTCGAGTGCAAGAAGGTACATTTTTCTATAAAATTATTGATTATTAACAAACATTGACTCTAAAAAGTTTCCATTAGATTTGACTATACTTTTCAACTATTATCAATAATTCAGAAATAGTCCTCAACAGAATTTAAAAAGTTGTCTCGACTACCAAAAAGTAATTGAAACAACTATGAATGTAGTTGGTGCAATAAGATTTTTTTTCGCATTTTAACATTCTTTCTCAGAATATAAAATAGAGCTCGATTTATTTACTTTTATTTACTAATGCTGATGCAGCTTTTAATGTTTACTAGTTATCTGATTCTTTGATTTCTTTCCATCTTACTTTTAATTCTTATCTTTGCTCTGAATACACATAACTACCTTTCAGAGGTTCTAATAATGAGTAATGATTTTTATAATACAAAATTACAATTTCAATGAATTATTTCAAGTTTAATTTTCTAAATCATACATTGTTATAACTAGATTAAATATTATTAAAATTTAGTTTAAATTGGTAAATATATGGTAGACAATTAATAGAATGTTACAGTAGCTGTATAAACAATTCACTGTGAAAATCTTGTGGATTATAATTCAGTAATAAACCCTTGAACAATTATTCCAGGCGCTAGTTCTGTGGTAATTGGTTTTCCTTTTTTAAATATATTTTTGTCATCTTTCCAATTACTGTTTTTCCCATATTCTTCAGACATTTGAACCATTTCATTTGGACTCCATTCTAGTGAATCTTTTCTACTGAAATTGTGTTTTGCGTTAGTACTAGATGAGAAATCCTTTTCATAATTCGATGTGTTTCCAGCTAATGTGGAATTGTAACTTTCGAAAATCGGAGTTCGCTTCATTGACGCTCGTTGATGATGAGTTTTCCGTAACATTCCCTGAAAGTAAATTAATACATGAAAAAATCATTTCATTATAGGTATAATAATGGGTTAAACCCGAACTGAATTTAACGATTTCATTATTGATTTCCTTTCATTTTCACATTTACCTGAAAATTAAAAGGAGGATCGTCATCAGAGTTGTTATTGTCACCTCTTCGACCAAGCATTTGCAGTTCTTGAATTGGATTTACACTATAAAATAAAGAAAACTCTCATCATTTTAAAAAGTCACGTTTTCCGTAAGAGTCTTGGTACAATTTAAAATATAATTTTAGAATATTTATAATATGTTATAATTTCTCAAATTTCGGAATATTTTTTCTTTTGAAATTGTTGACCTACTTTATCAGAAATAATAAAAACTAGAGTGATTGCACCAGTGAAAAAATTCACACCTGTAAAAGAACAAATTTTTAATTTATCACGATATTTAATAAATTTTAATTTTTGTCACTGTGAACAAAATATTTTTTTGTTTTGTTTACAGCAAATGAATATTTATAAGTATTATATTATAGTTATTATGCAGTTAAATAATATTTCTGGGTTCGTACCTATACCTATAATCAAGACAATATGCGGATAATAGTAAGTTACAAAATTGTTTTAGAATATTTGTATTGCAGAGTTAGGGTCACATTTGGGGTAAATGAAAACTGTTGATTTTTCAGATTAATTTAAAGATTTAAATAAAGTATAAAAAGGCAATATTTTAATCTTAGCTCACCTGTAAGCGCCGAGGTTCCGAGTATTACCAATATACAATTTTACTTTGACAATAGTGACAATGCTGTACTCCAAAGATAATTGGATACTGTTAATACAAAAAAGATTGAAAATCATAGTTTCACTTTTTTATGTAGTATTTTGACTCGCACTTGCATAAAAATTAATTAAAAATTAAAATCAAAATTTATATAATTATTATAACAAAAAATTGAATTTGACCTTTGAAGTTTGACAATTTTGTTAATAAATAATAAACTTTTTACATTTACCCTAAGAATGAAAAAACTTGGGGTAAATGTAAACAGAAATTAAACCACATTAAAAAATATATACTTAATTGAATGAATTTTGTTCTATTTCACAACTACACTTCTTTGGCAATGTAAAATGACGCATGGAAAAGGCGATTGGGTCTTCTCCTTTGGGTGAAACACAGTGCAGTGTTTACATTTACCCCAAATAAACCTATGATATAATAATTTTTAATTTTCGGATACTGTATTAATATAAATTTGCTATGTTTTTTCAATGGTATATACAATACAAATTTTCCAGTATTTGATTAAAAATTTGAAATATTATGATACCTATATATTTATAAAATTTGTATCATAGACCTTGAATTCTACAGGAATTTTACTGTCCATACAAATTAAAGAATTGCATTTGAAATTAATTAATATCGAGAATATGAATTTCCTTAAATATTCTTTCACTGGCAGCATTACCCTATATTCCAATGAAATAAACTACACAGAATAGATTTTTTAACACACTTTACCGAGTAATGTTTCCAAAATTGCCATTATTTCTCTCATCCTGTTTCCAATCATTTTCCATATTACTTCTACTTCGAGAACTCGGTTCATAATTGTTGTTTATTGAGTGAAACTGACTTACAGTTGTATGATTATACGAAATCGGGGATTGTGTTGTGTTTATCTTTGAATGAGTCGACCTTGAATTGTAGGTATTCTAGAATACACGTAATATTTCAATTCTCTTAAGATGATTAAGGTAAAATGTTTTTCCAATTAACTTGTAAGTTTTCAACAAGCTTGACTGCAAAGTTACATTCTGTAGATTTAATGATGGAACGTCCAAGAACCTCCTCTTCCGGCAGACTAACTTGTCTTCCGGAAGCCTCTCTATTTGAGAAGAACTTGAATAATGCCAGGACTGGGCACAGCTAAAAAAAGTTTTCGAGTTATGGCCTTTCGCGGCGCAGGCCAAGCAAGTCTATTATTTAAATCTATTTGTAAAAAAACTGTAATTAAAAAATGTAATTTTAAAAAGTTTCGGTGCTGTGTGGGGGCCTTCTGCGGAATGCAAAAGTACAAAAGCTTCGCAAAAAACGTTCTCCTCTTATTGGACGTTCCATTATTGAAAGGACATTTTGCTGTTTGTAGCAAGTTTGCTGCAAACTTTAAGGCTAATTTGATTTACATAAAACTTTAATATTATAGTACTTACTGTGTGAGATTTTTGAACTGACAAAGATTTCGTATAGGAATGATTCTTGACTTGTGGTTGAAACTCTGTAGACATTTTATTTTGGATTGTTTCTTCTGGTGGGCAGCAAACCGGGTGTTTTGGATCCCTGGAAAATGGAATGTTGATCAAACTTTGAACACCGTTGTTTGACGAATGAGTTACGCGGTGAGGTGAATTCGTTGTTTGAACTTGAACGTCTGAAAACATAAATTACAGTATGCACTATTGTAAGTAGGGCTGTATAGATTAATATTCGGATATTATAAATATGTTTAAAGTTATATCTTTTAATTTATGTTTACGGACTCAAATGCTTTAATTTATATATTAGGTAAAAGAGAAATAATAATATTATGGTTTCAATTATAGTTTGATCAATGTTCTTTAAATTTGAATTATTGCGTAAGTTTATGATTTTACAGTATACTACTATGTTTATTGTATAAACAGTTTGCGCTCAAAATCTGATAAATTCAACTAGAGTTGTTTTTTAATAATTCGATTGAAAATCTTAGTTTTCATTTATTGGCCAAACATTGACTGCGTGACTGCGTTTCATGCTATAAAAAGTTTAAATTGCCTAAACCCAGATAGCACGCAAGCTTGCTGCAAACTTGCACTGCAAGTTTTGCAAGATTGCAGTGCAAGCTTTCTGCAAGTTTGCAGCAAGCTTGAAATGTCTGGACTGCTGCAAACTTGCACTGCAAGCTTGCAGAAAGTTTGCACAGCAAGTTTGTAGAACGCTTTCAGCAAACTTGCTGCAACCTTGCTGCAAAGTTGCAAAATTTTTTTGTATGCATAAAAAATTATGTTTTTTTTACCTTTTTCTGCAAATAATTTTAATTTTATTGAATTTTAAAAAGGTACAAAAAGCAGAATTTTTTATGAATATATAAAAAAAATTTGCAACTTTGCAGCAAGATTGCAGCAAGCTTGCTGCAAGCTTGCAGTGCAAGTTTGCAGCAGTCCAGACATTTCAAGCTTGCTGCAAACTTGCAGAAAGCTTGCACTGAAATCTTGCAAAACTTGCAGTGCAAGTTTGCTGCAAGTTTTCAGCAAGCTTGCGTGCTATCTGGGAAATTTGCCATTGTTATAGTTATCAACCAGTAGAAAAATTTGATATAAACAAATTTTTATGGTTTGTTTTTATTAATAAAGTTCTGCTAATTATGAGCACATTTAAAAAAATTTTTAAATCTCTAGACCATTGTGGGAGATTGCATCATGGCGCTATATGCCTAATCTCTCACATCTAGTTAGCGTCAAGTGTGTATGATAAGGGAATCACACTAGAAGGATAAAAAAAAGCCAAAACGATGTTTTAAAATTACTTTTTTGTATGCCAGCCCCACATAACTTTGGACTGCGAAATCCAAAGTGTCTGTGAGGACATTAGATAAAAACTAACAAAATTTAAGAAGGTATTTATCTCGTTACATAATGATGAACATGTAGATTATTTTAGACGAGATCATCATAATAATTATATGACGGTGTTGATGTTGAAATAACACGTGATATTTTCGCAGCAAATCCCTATATTTACCCTCTTTGTTCAAAATAAATACTTTAATTTATATATATAGAGAGAGTGGGGCAAGACGGGGTACCGGCCTTATTTAACAAACGAATTAACCAATCGCGATTATATTTTACATAATACTGCACCGAGACGATAGTTTCTTGTTTACAAAACCTAAAAGCCATGAGAACAAATCTTTTATCTGTTTTACTAAAAAAACTGTTTTTGACGATTTTCTTGTCATTTTTTCACTTTTTTTAGGAGGTGTTTATTACTTAATAATAACAGTTAATGAACTGTATAAATTTTTTTCTAACTGTCAAGGGTTACAGAAGAAGGGAAGCATATGTTTTTTTTCTTTGTTGAATCGTAAATTGTAGTAATTAATCGTTTTATTAAATTTCGTAGGTGAAGGCAAGATGGGGTAGGGGAGAGTGGGGCAAGACGGGGTTCACAAATTAAGCAAAAAAAAGAGAAATAAGAGAAGTTAAGAAAACTACTAAAATCAAGACTGAATAAAATAAGAGTGACCAAAAAGAAAAAAGCTTGCCAGGTTAAATCATCAATTGTGAAATTTGTCGACAGAAATAGGTTGCTTTCTTGAGTACCCCATCTTACCCGCCGGTGGGGCAAGATGGGGAGATTTGCAATTTTTTCAATATTATTAATTATAAGCTTTTTTAAGAAACAGATGACCTTTGTACGCCTTTTTTACGAAAGACTGATTCCCAAAGATGATAATTAAAAATAATAATAAAGTATATATTCGATAATTTTTGTTTTTTTGCGCTTTAAACCTTAAGTACCCCGTCTTGCCCCACTCTCCCCTATATAGATGAAAATGATAGACACCTCTCGTTTGAATGTTGCTATTTGCTCGAAGGATAGCCTGTCTTCGTAATGGCGCATCCCAAGCCTCATGTTCGTCATCAGATGTTGAAGGCGATAAGGATCTGAAGAACGTATTTTAAGATAATAAATAAAAGAGGGAAAGAAAATATTAACTTACCTTTATAATCAGCAATCATGTGCACGGAGAGACCGTTATTAGGAAAAATTACAAACAACTAGTAGAAATAAAGGTTAGTTAAAAAAACTAATATCGACTATAGTATTTTATGATGAGTTTATAGCGAGTGCTTGCATTTCTATTGGCTGCTATCTCTTTGTCAACCTTCGTATTTTACCCAAAGTGTCGCGATTAGATCCGATCCTAGACAGTGCGACTATGTTTCGTACAAAAATAAATTTCGATATTATCTATAATAATTAGATATAAAGTGTGATAAAGTAGGTTTAGAAAACAAAAATGTATTTTTTCACATTTGTTTAAAATATTTCCAATTAGTTGTTTCACCCCATTAGTCAAGAATTGACTGCAATTGACTGGAAACGGGCCTACACTCTTTCCCGTGTAGAAATTTGGCCATTGCCCTAATCGGGGCCAGATCAGGCGTCCCTATTATGGCATAAAACATTTTACCAGATGTGTCCCTGGTCAGAAAATCGTCCAAAAAATGGCTAAAATATAACAATCTCTGCACGAGTTCTTTGATCATTTACAAACGACTATAGCAATTTTTCGTACAAAATCTTTCCGAGTTTACTACAGTTGTTTGGAAATATTGTACGTAATAGGTTAGTATAAAAAATATTACCAATTCGGTGAACATTTGTTGGTGATAGTGGAAAAAATAGTAAATAATACAAAAAGCCCCTTATATTTCTCGACTTTGCAAAGTGAAAATAGTATATTCTAGTCTGATTTTATATAAATATTTCTACGCTCGGTCTCTCCGTGTGTTAATTTTAGTTTTATGATTTTGGGAAAATATGCAAATATGGTAGAAGACTTAATAATAGACTCAAATACAATTTACTAATTTACATTTTTAAAACCGAATTATAAAACAACTTACCCAGCTTTCTTTTTAATTTTTGTGGGGTCATTCATGTATGCTGTATCAAAATAAGGTAATTCTTCATGGATATCAAACGGTAATTTATAAACTTGAGGTGTCTTCAATGGACCTAAGTATGAAGATGTTTTGATACCGGGGTCAATCCTTTCTAAAGGAGTTCGCTCATTGATCATTTGTAGTTTCCCCACTGTCGCTTGATTGAACAGATGAACCTATTAATAAAAATATAAAATAATTTATTAAATTAAGAGCTGCTTCAATTTGAAGAAATAAATTCTCCGCAGTATGCTTAATTTTAACAATATAAGCGTTTTCTGAATCTACTAATAAATACTGAAATTATACTAAATTTTAGTCATTTTCATGGTCGACTTTTCCTTATTTTGATTATAGTAAAGTGTAACTATAATTACTAGTGAAAAATTGTGCATGTTTTAGTAGAATTTGACTAATTGCTGGTTTTTTGATTCGCAGAATGAAATAGTAAAACTATTTTATTGACTAAAATAAAATGGATCCAATTGTTTGTGAAATTCTACTAATAATTAATAAAATTATTATTACTAAATATTGCCGATTTTTCGTGATTTGACTATAATTTAGATTTATAGAGATTTTTTCTAATCCCGCAGATAGAACAAATTTTTGCATGTAATTTGCTCATGTTCCAAATTGTCCGAAAAACATTGCTGCAAACTTGTAGTGTAAAGTTTCACACCTGCATTGCGTAACATTCAAGTTACATTGAGGTAATGTTGACACATTATTGATATTGCGGCGTAATATTACCAAGTTTACCTCGCAATGCTGTGTGTCAAGTTCCATGCAAAAAGTTGTGCCATTTGGTACTTTTTAAAGGAATAAAGAATAAGGATTGGTATAGAGTTGTATATAAAAAGCTCGAAACTCGATCCGATTTCTTTTGGAGCATTCGAGCCTAGCCGAGTATAATTAGTGTAAATTGAAATAGAGTTTGAAATTGAAAAAGTTTTTAATTTTATTAGTTTGAAAAACAAAATAAATTTCTAAATTCTCTATAGTTGTTGATAGTTCAGGTACTAATAATTTGAAAACTTGACTTTTTCAATTTTTTGCGCATATCTCTAAAGATTGGACGTTGTGTATATATATATATATATATATTGCTAATATAGTTAGGTATTGAAGAATGTATTTACTTGCTGAGAGAAGTGGACCAGATCTTGGTATCGGGCTGCACGGTAACGTAGGAGGACTTGGAACATGCTCTTCGCTCTCCACTTTTGGCTGTAAAACATCATCAAGTCTTTCGTCTCCTGATCCATATCCCCTTTCAGAAGTGGATTCACTTCCTTCCTCACAGAGTGTCCCCTGTATGCTGTTTTAAAGTAAAAGAACAATATTCTCATAATATGTATGCACTAAAAAAACTAAATCTTTCAATCAAACATAATTGCCTTTGTTATACAGACAACCAAAAATTATTTTTTAATTAAACATACTAATTTGCATTCAACACAATTCATAATAACTTTGATTCAATAAAAATTACGGTTAAATCAGTTATAAAAAATTCAAACATATATTTTTTTGGTTGGTTTCTTATTTTTGAAATAAAAAAAAGAGTTTATCTCAGTGTGATAAAATTTTATAAATGGGATATTTTTAAATAACGCTTAAAGTTGAAAGCTTATTTCAAAAACTGTTTCACATCTTCAGTGTGAAAGTGACCAAGCAAAAAGATGTCTCAACTGTCGCTAGTTTGCATTTTGTTATCCGCAACAGTTGGATAAATTGTCTGAAAGATAGTTGCTTCTATGGACTTTATATCCGAATAATTTTCTTCGTCAACTAAAAAGTTGTATAAAAATTGATAAATTTGAAGCGTCATACAGAATAATACTCAAATCCTAGAGAGCAATGATGATTCCGCAATATATTGTAACTTGGGTTATATATAGGTGTCTATACTAACCGAGAACAAGTCGCGGCTACGAAGAAACCGACTCTCAAATGATGGACAAAAATTGTCTCAAAATTTAATAACATAAAAATTGGGTCAACTTGGAACGAAAAGCAAAATTATTTTTCAAAATTTTTTTATTAATACCCATATAACAAAAAATGTCCCAGAGATATTTAAATTTCCGTCCCGACAATTGTTAGGGTATAGTTTCACTTTATTGAGAAGAGAACAATCAAGTACATAGTGACATTTAAAAAGACAAAAAGTATCACAATTTTTTATTGCAAATGATGAGTTAATAAAAGAATAGTGTGAGGCGGTAACTATTATTAGAGGAGGAATTAACTTGTGGTGGGCTCAAAATATATGCAAAAAGTAAAATTTCCTTTAATTCAAGACTTTAAATATATATTTAAAAAACACCTTTCTCGTCGAGTTTTTAACGCAAGCCAACAAATCTTGAAGAAACATAATGATTTGTCAACTTTTTTTGTTCCAAACTCAAAAATTTGTTAAATCAATCAATTTTCTTACCTTTTTGTATCATCAAAGCCGCTTCCTCCTGTGACATCTCCAAACTCTGCTTCTTTTTTATCGATGCTTTCTTCACTGAAACAATTCCCGTTAATTTCGTTCGGCACAGAGTCTGTGAAGAAAAATCGTGATACTCAAAAATATACTTTTTCTTTACAAAGGAAGAATATTATCAAATTGATCTGTGCAAAATCAACTGATTCGAAATGATTGAATCTTAACTCTGTGTGGCAGATATGTATGAAAGGAAATCAATTTTTGATATTTAATTATTTTGAATCAAGACTGTGACTTTTATCCAATATTATAATATGATTTGCTGTTTCGTATCGAATTTTGCACAGGTTTTTGCTATTGACTCATTGTAAAAAGGTTTCCAAATAAAAAAATGTTTTTTAATAATATTATAATTGCAAGATACATACCCAGTTCCTTTTTAACTTTAGTAGATTTTGAAACCATTGTCTTTCGAGCAAGAAAAGCTCTTAGCATACATTGGACTTTGATAATTTTTTTTACTTGCGTTTCATAGAGACGTGATAAATATTCTTCATTGTAGTATTTAAGAAAAACTTTGCTTTTTCCAATGAGAAAGCCTTCCATTTTTAACCTCAATAATAATAACCGGCAATTGTCTTTTGTTATTTCAACATGCTCGTCAAAATCAAAAGCTAGAAATTGATATCTGCAATAATGAATATAATTATTAAAAGTGTCTAGTAAATAATGTAAACATATATAAGGCAGTCTACGGCAGTTGGTGCGAAGCCACTCTAAATTATTTATTATAATAAATATTTGCCTTCGTAAGAATTCTTGAAACGGTATTCTATACGGAAAACCTTGTTGCTTCGCTTTAGCTGTATCGAGAACAGCCAAGGCTCTTATTTGCTGTCTAACTACTTCTCGATAAAATCCACGAGGGTTATTTTCCAGATCTGAACGTATGCATCTGATAAAATGTGTTCCACCATTTCCGCTTCCAATTGACAAATTTTTCAAAACTTCAAGACAAGTTGAACGGAAGACTGCGGCACAAGTTCTCATTTTAGATGTTTGTGAATATTGTCCCCTAGATAAAGTGTTGTACCTCTAGTAAAAACAAGAAAAAGTAAATTAACGCCATTTTCGTTCGTGTCAAGACAACTAGGCAGGTTTTATTCATAAAACACACAAGTCAGTGGTTAAAGATAAATTGTACCTATATAGGTACACAGCACTACAAAACTCTATAGTTTTATAAACCTGAAAATTTTTCTCCGTGTTAATCTATCGGCTATTCTAATCGTAAAATATTTAAAGAATTTAGCTCAATTTGTTGAAAAGTGTAGAATATAATAAAAAGGGCATAGTGATGTGTGCAAAACATTTGATGGGTAGTTTCTTTCAATTCCTTTTCCTAATCATATTTTAGACTTTTCCACAAAATATCTACCTGATCCATTTAAAATTTTTCACGAAAAGTTGACGACGACAAGTGACAATATTTAAGAAATCATTCAATTTTGCAACAAACAAATGATAATAATTAATTGATGGGTGAGGACATAAGTTTAAGGCTTTATCTGTTTTAAAATATATTATACTAACCCTAATTTTTGTCGTTTCTTGCATAAGAGCAGCTCCCCATTTACTTTTTGGTGTTTTATTTGTAGAAGTGTTTGGATGCTCGACAATGATGGTGAGATTCCCTGAACGTGTAAGTTGGTTGAGGAACAACGATTTTATAACATTAGAAGTGGATAGTCTTAACGTTTCAATCATTTCTGGAGCTAAGAAGTCACGATTTTTTTCTACTATATCACTTGCATCATAAATTAATTTTCCCGTATAATGCGCGACTGTAAATTCATGAGTTCCCATTACTTTAAGATGTACAGTTTGCGATCTTTGTTTTAGTTTGTCAAAAATATATTGAACGTCTTGCTGTTGTCTTGAAGCATCGTCTAGTACGTGAAATAGTCCATAGTTTTTGTCTAAAAGTTGATCAAGAGCATCCTTGTTATCGTAGTAGTGGTATTTTCGTAATGGTACTTCTTCTTCTTCTTGTTCTTGCTTTAACAGATAAAAAAGTTTAACAATTATATTAAATCTCACTGCACACTTTTGTTAGCTGTCCCTATGTCAACCAAGTTCGCTGCCACAGGCTCACTAAAGAGTCGAGTAGGATTTAGTAACGTAAAACCCTAAATTCCTCTACAACCTATTCAGCTATTATATTATAAGAAACAATGCAGACTCGAAAAACAAAATTAAATCATCACATATAATTTGCCATTATAAAAGATTCTTACCATTTCCCAAACAAAAACTTGTTGATTGTAATGACATTGTAATTGCTCATTCACAGTATTTACAACAAGTTGCTCAATCCTGTTAACTGCAAAGCATTCAAATCCAAAGAGATCGAGGATACTTATACAAAATTTATCTCCACTGAAATAAAGAGTATATAATTGAATTAATAACCTAGTAATTATGTTAGCATTAATACTTTTATTTACAAATATTTAGTTATTGACACTGAGCGACGTTTCTGCAAATTTCCATAATGGATTTTTATGAATTTTAATATTACGAATATTTATATAAAAAACTTACAATAACGTACGTGAGATGGAAAATTTGTAATTAATTATATTAATAATCCAATCAACTAAGCGCTGGTAAAGAGTATTTGCTAAAACATCTCTTGCCTCTTTGGCTTCATCACATGTATGCTTTTTTCTTATCGCTGCTCCTTTTTTAATTAGACAATAATTTCCTAGTGACCATGTAAATTTCTTTTGCTCAACACCTAATAAGTCTGCAACTGTAAAAGTAAAGTGCAAGAAGAATATTATTGGCTTTCTCATGAAAAAGTTTTCAAAAATTCAAAAATTATTAAGCAACATATTTGTAAAAAGATGTCATACTTCGATTTGCAGTATCCATGTTTTCAATTTCCGCTTCACCATTGCTATCCTCAACAAATCTTATTTCACCAAGATTTAAAATTGCTGATAATATTTTCCAAATGGTATCAGAATGTTCTTCCAGTTCTAAAGATTGCATGTCTTTTACGAGACTTTCAAATTTCGAAGCATTTCCCTGGGGATCATTTCTTACTTTAAACGAACGTTTGTTCCCGGAACTTTTGTCTCCTATTCTTAAATACCGGTACTTTCTACCTGATGATAATAAGTAATCATTTAATTTCCCCGAACAATCCAGCCCATCATAAAGATAATAGAAAATGTGAAAGTTTGATTGTGTTCTGAAAAACATGAAAACATGTAACAATTTATCCCAATATGCAGTGCTACTATTGATTTAAAGTATATTATTAATTATATTACTTGTCACGAGTCGAGATGCGCCACTTTTCCAACTGATACATCCAAAATATTGCACCGGATGCTTTTCCTGTAGATCCGTATGTTGTTTGTGTTTGTAAAAGGCATCGGGTTGAATTATGATTTAAAGGCGTAGCTGCATTTGTGAATGCGTGAATAATGTTAAATGCCTTTATAAGTCTGACCCCAATATCATTCATACTCTGCAGAGTAATTACGTAAGAAATATTATAATCAATTATTGACCGGGAGATTCTTTTTGACTATACAATGTTACAGCTGTCTTTTATAGCTTGGAAGGATTGAATTTTTCACTGCATTTGCCTTATAAATACTACTAAAGTAATTCATTAAGGTTTTCATCAAGTTTTAATATGTTAAAATAATGTATTACTGTTATATTATTATAACTTTATACAGTAATACCCCAGACTTGCGCGATAGGTACGTGACCGAGGGATGACCGTGCAAGTCGAATTCGCACAAGTCGGGGTGCATGTTTGTATATATGTAGTTTTGCAGTTCTAGTAAGAAAGTTAATGCGCGGGCGGCTATAAAAAACCGCGTATCTCTGAATTTGCGTAAAACGAGAAAGTGTAAGTCGGGGTATTACTGTATTTAAATCATTGAAAAATTCCCTCCAACACGGAAAAAATTAGTCGCGGAAATTTTCCTCGACTTTGTTGAAGACTCTCGGATTTAGTGGAAAGTGTTTTAAAAATCATATTCACAGTTTTTGAAAAAATAGACTACAGTTGAAGAAACTTTCCGCGACTGTCGAGGAAAATGAAGACTCCACGTGCATGTAACCGATTCCGCCACAGTCGCGGAAAATTACAAACCTGAATTTACTCTACAGCGTTCTAATTTTTCATTGACAGTCGCGGAAATTACTTAAAATTTTATAATGTATATATTAATATCGATGCATTGAATAATAAAAATAATAATCTTGTCAATCAATTGTAATAAATTGTTAAAAAAACTGTTAAAAAAACAGTGTTTATTGGTTTTAACGCGAGCACCTTTTGTGCGCACCATTTTCCGCGACTCGTCGACGAAACCTTCTATGAAATGTTAGAATAATTCCGAGACTGTTTTCCGCTACTAGGTTTTAGAAAGTCCTCGACTTTTTTTGGAGAATTTCTGCTAAAATCGTAGAACATTTCTAAAAGTCCATGAAAGATTCTTTCATATCCGAGAGTCTTCGATTAGTCGCTGAAAAATTCTGCGACTATTTTTTTCCGTGAACGCTCGCCGGTTTAAACCTCAATTGCTCAGATTCTATTGAAATTCTAATAAGAATCGGCTGTCCCATTCAAGTCAACATAAAGTTGTTAAAATTTTGATGACCCGTGAAATCATTAAAAAATGATACAAAAAAAATAAATTGGAAGATAATGTTGAATTGTTGAACCAATGGTTTGTTGTCTACTATATACTTGTTATTTGAAATACTGGTTTCCCGTGTATTATTAACCTTATTACCTCTTAGCAACAAATACTGCAAGATGATGTGTAATGAAAACAAGAAAAATGAATGTGACGTGACTTAAATTGTTTATATACATTATAAATAAGTATTATTACCTTGCCAAGATACATAAGATGTTTAATAAGGTGAATCATATTTGTCGTCTTGCCAGAATTACTTTCTCCAGAAAATATAATATGTTGGATTTCTTCATGATGAAGTGCGTCTTGGTATGCACTATCAGCCACTGAATAAATATGTGGCGCATTATCTGATCGTGATTTACACTGATATTTGGCATGGTACTAAAGAAATAGTAAGAAAAATGTTTGTAATAACTAATTAATATCCACAGTAAAGAAAAAGTCTTATTTTAAGGCAGTCTTAAGTTAAGATGCAGCATTTTTAAGAGAGTCAATGTTAAATTTATGCAATGGATATGGGAGGATTATTCAATTGTTTTAAAAAAATGTATATGAAAAATCGTAAAACATTAAAAATAGTTATTTATGATACAAGTGTGTAAAATCGTTAATATTATACGAGTATGTGACGTTTGCATCTCGAGTCACACAAGTATAATCTCATTTACGCACAATACTAAAGCAACTAAACTTGCAGTAATATTGCCAACGTCACTGTGCGAGTTCAGGTAGTGGAAAATTAAAAAAAAATTTAAAAAAACTTTGAATTTTTTTTTAAATTTGTTGTGCTGTGTGGGGTATTGTACAGCAATGTTACCGTGTGATATTACTGTAATATTGTAAAATATTGTATTCGCTAAAACTTGGAATATTACATTGTCAGCAATTATATACTTGTCGGCGAGTTTCAGAAGTTACCCCCACAGCACCGAAACTTTCCTAAAAATTTATTAAATATTTACTTGCAATATTCATCATATTTAACTGAAAAGTTTAGTGAAAATTGTGTAAAGATTTAAATGTCCCGATCAAATAAATGTTTAGCGCGAAGCTTTCCTGAACATTTCCTGAACATGAATTACATCTTCGCATGATTATAATTATAATTATGCGAAGATTTTATTGAAATGTTCAGGAAAGCTTCGCGCTAAACATTTATTTGATCGGGACATTTAAATCTTTACACAATTTTCACTAAACTTTTCAGTTAAATATGATGAATATTGCAAGTAAATATTTAATAAATTTTTAGGAAAGTTTCAGTGATGTGGGGGTACATTTTAGCGTTGGGTTAGTTAGTAGATGCGGAAATACCTACTTGATTTAAAATTATTTTTAAATACTTACATTAGCCTCGTAAATACTCTGTTCTTCATTAGGATTAAGAATTAGTAGAATATCACCTACGAATGTATGGAAAAATCCTAATCTTAATCTTTCATGTAATTCGTTCAGAATGTTGTCTTCCGTAAGATTATCTAATGCTGACAAATCTTCTGTTAACATTGTCTCCAGTGGCTCAGTTTGATGAGTCTAGAATAATTTATAATCTATTTTTTGGTATATATGTATATGAGTTTTAATGAATGAGGGAAAACATTTTATATTTATAATGGATATCAGAACTCTTCAAATATGAATAAATTGGTAAAAGTACTTGTTGCACAATATACTATTATTAATAAATTAACTGACATTTTTAGTTAACTAATATAATTATATCTGAGTCTAAATTTGAAACCTACATTACGACTGCTAAAACTTAAATAAACCCTAATACATTTTAGGCGGAAAGTAGGATTGTAGTTCATCCAATAAATTATCAGGAGCATATTTAACTAACTAAAAATTGTCTTGGATAAAATGGTTACCCTAACTATTCTTTGCACTCAGTGTGTGAAAAGATTATTACCACTTTACTGTTAGCTTTAAATGTTCATAATATTAATAAATGTATTAAATACATATATGTGACTGTCCACGAGAAAACAGGGCTTAGCTTTCACAGGGCGATGAGTGATTGAAGTAGAAGCAGAACGAAGGAATGCATACAATATAACATCTTTAAAACGTTGTATTGTCAAAAGTAATTGACAATTTACAACTTTTGATTTTTGCATTTGAAAAAGCAATATAATATCTATCGATTAGCATAAAAACTCAAAATTGATTTTTTAGAGCTAAGCCCTGTTTTCTCGTGGACAGTCACATATAGTTATTCCTGGGTAGTAGTTTTCTATGGCATCTAAGGATTAATTAATTTTTCTTCATTTTTGTCAATAATTTTGTAAGCTTTAAAGAAGCCAACAGTGACAGGTTCTTCTACAATCACACGTCAAGTTTACCAAAATATTACGCTGTAAGCTCGCTGTATGACGGGCATTTGTAACTCACCTTAAGATTACCTGAAATCTAAAGTGTAAGCTTTTGAAATATACATCTTAACTTAATGGAAAGCTCTCAGCAAAATACGATGCTGTTTGGGTGATGTAAGTTTACAGTACTTTTACATATGTGATGCTTCGTGGTGAAAGAGATCTTACCGCGTAAGGTCCTTTACAGCGCGAAGCGTCACATATGTATCTTCAATTTAACAAGTAGGCCCATAAAAATAAATGAAGACATAACAGGTAACGAAAACAAACCTATTAAAATGATACCTTTAAGAATCCTTCATAAACAATAACTTCAGGTTTTTTATTCTTTCTGCCCATTGGACAAGCATCCATGACCAGTGCTTTTAATTCTTGAGTCAACTGTTTAATCATATAAAGAATTTAATAACAATTTACGAAGCATTTTGTCAGTTTGGTGAAAAAGCATACCATTTTGTACAACTGTTATAAAACATATACCTATTCACTAGAGGTGTGCAAAAAGCTTGAAGTCGATCGAGTATTTTCGAGCTTTTTATTTTTCGAGCCAAGCCGAAATATTCGGGTACTCAAGTGAATTCGGGTACCCGAATGTTTCGAGTATTCGAAAATTTCGAGTACTCGATACATCGAGCCCAGCTCGGGCTCGGCTCGAAAAAATTGCGGCTCGGCTATTCGAGCTTTTTGCACACCTCTACTATTCACGTAATTTTTATAAAACCATACTATTTCAATGAAGAAATTTTTTATATTTTAAATTGATAAACATACAGGCTAGTGTCTCAGTATACTAAAGGCGCTAGCACAGCTCCTACTGCCTGCCTGTCTGCCTGCAGGTTGACATGGTAACACATAAGAATAAGAAAGTCAGAAAATTCAAATTAAATGTTTTTTCTCTCTCACTCTTATGGCGCCTGCCTGCGCAGGCAGGCAGTAGAGGTGAGAGTGTACCTTAATGTTTTACATCTTCTTCTTCAATTACTTTAGGTACTGCCAACTGTCGGAACAATTCAGTAGTAAATTTGAAAAAAACTCTAGTGTGGCAAAACGTGTGTGGCCCCGTTCATTATAGTTGAGCACGCGCAGTGGTATCTCATCTTTATAGTTGTCAAATATTTATGTTTGGTTATGGTAACACTTCTTCAGTAGCATGGAAAGTGGGGTAAACTGTGCGAGAAAGTTCAATTTCCTCTCCTTTCTCGCGCACTAGTGCGTCAAAAACGGCACTTTAGTCGAGTTTTTGTCGCAAGGTGTTATAGAAAAAGATTTAAAACACCTTATGCTTTAACGAAATGGTAATTTTATAAAATACCTCGGAATTGTACGGTTCATTTATATTACGAAAATTAATATGTATGTCTTATAACCTTTGCATGAAATGGTTAGTTTTTCTACGAAGCTGACGCGATTTGAGTTGTATTCATACATATTTAATACGACAATGTGACTTACTGTATAATCATTCTCAGGTAATTCAGATAAAAATGGATGCTCCAAAATTTCTACCATAAACGGTCTGTTTTCAGGTGTTTTTTCCAAGCATCTAAAATTTTTCAGTTATATTTCTGTGATAATGTTTATAGAATAACGTTTAATTATATAAAAAATAATGTAAATATTTCTAGTGAGACATTTTTGTAAAACTGAACTTTAACATCAGTATATTTCGACTTATTAATTCGATTTATTATTGGATGAATTAACGGAAAATCCAGTAGTTTTTTCGCGTTAAGCACGAAGAAACTACTGGAATTCCCAGCAATAATTCATATAGTAATATGTAAGTACATTAATTCTTTTTCATAAAGATAATTGACAAACTACAAGAAATATTATTTATTAAAACTAACTCGTTAATAAAGTCATTAAAATTTTGAGACCAGTTAGATGGCCTGTAAAGAGATGGCGGAGGATTTCGTAAAATTTGAAAAAGTGCTCTAGTAGGGTGCATATCCTGAAAAGGTGCTTTTCCATCAGCAATCTCAATTGCTGTGATTCCAATAGCCCAAACATCTACTTTACAATTGTATCCAGAATCTTTGCAGGTAACAACTTCTGGTGCTATCCAAGATGGTGAACCAATGCAAGTATGTTGATTCTCATGTTCTCCTTTCGTTATTTTAGAAAAACTAAAATCAACAAGTTTTACTTCTCCTTCTTTAGTTAAAACAATATTACTAGCTCGTACGTCTCGGTGAATTATTTTGTTTTCATGTAAATGTATCAAAGCCTGTAAGAAAACATTAGTCTAAATATTTTACACTGAGAAAAAAGGGAAATTTAGGATAATTAAACTTATTATGAGGAATGTTAATTTAACACTCCTCGCAGGTTAAGTTCTAAACAGAAAAGTGTCAACTTTTTCAAGTTTGACACTTATCATAGTAATAAATTTGATTATTCTTTTTTCTCCGTGTACATATTAATCCATAAAAGACCGAATAAGGGTTAAAGATTACAGTTTCTTTCTTTTTCTTACAGAATATAATATCCCTTCGCTGTAAACTCTCTTAAAAAAAATGGACACAATTTTTTTAGAAAAGCAAGTAAAGTATACCTTAATAACTTCTCTTAGAATATAACCAATGTGCTCTTCTCTCATTTTTTTCCCTTGCAATACAACTCCTCTGCAAAGATCAATCACTGGACCTCCTTCACAAAGCTAGAAAAAAGTTTTAAAAAGTTAAAAGTACGTACAAATGGACATTTTCATACATAGAGAAAAAAATCACCAGTGTAGAAATTGCCCAACTATAACTAACTAACCAAGTCCACATTATTTCTTTATTGAAATCCTTTTTTCGATCGATTATTCTTAAAATGGAGAAGAGCCTAATGCAATGATCATTTGAATAAGTTAAAAAAAACTAATTTCTAAATAAAAAGTCAGTCACTGCCCACACAGCACCAAATAGGTTTCCTAAAAGTCCAAAATTAATTCTACTGCAATCTTAGGAATCTTTACTTGCGAAGCTCATGAAACTTGAAGTAATTCTTTAAATGTTAATATATTAACATTTATGTTTAACGCAAAAATTGATTGAACATTACATGTAAGTTTAAAATTTCTTTAACTCTCATGCAATGTTCAGTCAACTTTTACGCTAAACATTTAAAAAGCAGTGGACATTTGAAGAAGTACTTTAAATTTCATGAGCTTTGCAAATAAAGATTCCGAAGGTTTCAGTCAAGCTATAGTATACTTACAACTTTTAGAAAATTTCTGTGTGGGTGATTTAAATAATAATGTTTTTAGTTATCATTTAGTTAAAAATAACTGATAATTTAGTACATTTTTCAAACTGATTCAATTAGACAAGTTTAGCCAATTTTTCATTTTTTTTTAATGATAATCAGTAATTTTTTCACTAACAATAAGTTATTGATTGCAGATACTGATTGCAGAAACAAAAAGTCATTCACTGATTGTCAGTTAAACAGTGATTTTTAACTGATTCAAATTTAGAGAGTATATAATGAAGCCATCCCTGCTTCCTTTCGTTATATATGTTAATAAATTTCTTTGATGTAAATTAAAGTAAAAATATTCAAGATTCCGACTGATTCTTTTTAAGGCGTACTTGCGTTTGCGAAGGCAAAAATTAGACTCCACTTTAATGTTGTTTTTTCACAGTCATTTTATTTAAAATATTAAAGAAGATTTTTGCACCTTAAAGTACATTATAAAAACTACAAAAAGAAAAAATTGTTTTGTTTTTTAACCGTTATTTACAATTCGTAGAGGCCCCCAAAAATTGTCGATCTAAAATTTGTAATTGTTTGCGGTGCCCCCTCTAGAGGCGCTCCTGACAGTCTAAAATCAAAAAAACAGAATTTATTCTTTAGTATACATTAGGTATGTTCTCGTTGTCTGCACTTCTTACACTTTAACACCTAACCTGCACTAATATGCTGTTCTCTTTGCCGGATGTGACGTAATTTTACCATATATTTCGCTACACTTTCTGCACCTACTCTTGAGGTGGTGTAAAAGTTACACTTAGTGCAGGCAACGAAAACATACCTATTAATACCTAGTGGACTAATGTGATGAAATTAAAAAAAAGTAAAAAAAAAACAGAAAATGCGGTACTTTTAAAGTCAAAAATTCAAAAGATCAAAATCATCATTTCTTAAAAATTGACTTTAAAAGGACGCCATTTTCGTTTTTTTTCTTGTTTTTTATTTCATCACATTAGTGCACTAGGTATTAATGTATACTAAAGAATAAATTTTGTTATTTTGATTTTAGACTGTCAGAAGCGGCTCTAGAGGGGGCACCGCAAACTCTTATAAATTTTAGATCGCCATTTTTGGGGCCCTCTACGAATCGTAAATAACGGTTAAAAAACAAAACTATTCTTTCTTTTTGTAGTTTTTATAGTGTACTTTAAGGTGCAAAAATCGTTTTTAATATTTCAAATAAAATGACATTGAAAAAAAACATTAAAGTGGGGCCTATTTTTTGCCTTCGCAAACGCAAGTACGCCTTAAGCTGCGATCAATGTTTAAGGGGGGAAACCACATTAGAACGCTGTTTTTTTAGCCCTTTTTAGCCGTTTTTCGCGAATTTTTTTTTTAAGTAAGAATTTTTTTGAATGAAATAAAACATTTCCACCATATTGTTCATATATTTAACTGTAACTCATATTTTTTTTAAGCGTTTATATAAAAAATCTTCCAAATTGGGAGCTATTGCATATACAGAGCTGCTCCGCCGGAGTTCATGACTGCCGTGCAGTCCTGAGCCCACAAATTTTGTCCGAAAGCAAAAAATCAAGTTTATTCACATTTTATAAATATTTTATTATTAAGTGAACTAACTTTTAAGTGAAATTTTTTTCTCAGAAAATGCAATTCGTCAAACTTGGATTAAAAAAATTCAAAAACTTTTAAACAATCTTATCAACAGAAAAATAATTTTTAAAATATAAACATATGTTTTTATTAAATTAAGGTTTAAATTAGGATTAAATTAAGGTTTTGCTTTGTGTCAAAACGGTTCGACTTGTATCCTTCCATGATTATTTGAAATCGTGTTAAATTGCATATTTATCCTTTCTAGAAATAATCTGATAATTCCTAGAGAGGATATTAAATTAAATTTGTTCCTCTGATAATGTAAGATAAAAATTGATCTTGAATTTAGTTTAGTTCGTCGTAAGTAATAATTTTTAGCACACCATGGAGGTCCAACAGTAAATTAGTATCATGACGTTGCAGGGCTCACCTGCGTATATGAACGAGTTTAATGATTGTTTAATGGCCACGTATGTCATAAATTATCCGTATATTCGACCCTTGAAATTGCCTCCAGCCGAAAAGCAGGAAGGGTGGATGAGGCATTCTTTGTGTGGCGCGTTTGGCATTTGTTTAATCTGAATTATGTTAGTGAAAACGTAATATGTGTATGAGATTGAAATTGGCGGTATTTTTTTAGAATAAAAAAATTCAGAAAGCAAATTCAGAAACTATGATAATTTCATGATTAGAATATTTTTTAAACTCAATTATTTCAATAATATATTTCACACTGAAAGAATATATTGGCGTTGTAGCTAACTTTGCTATAGTAAGATATAACGCACCATGCTGAAAGTGTGACTGATGTTCTTCAATCGAACAGTTGATGATCCTACTTCATGAACTCTTTCGAAAGAGGCAGTTTATGCTCCTAAATCAAAAGAAACTTTGAGTAAAGCTTTCCAATGGCGATCATCCATTAGACAAAAAATTAAGTAATTGATTTCTACATAACTCAAGTATAGTTGCTGTCTAATTTCAGAACACTTTGGCGTTACTATTTCTACTGTATATGTCAACACAACTTCAGCAGCTGGTGTAGAAAGCGTTCTGATTGTAACTGAAAAATTGCGACACATCCTTACACTGTAAAAAATTTAGGGAGTTGACGGTCACTGGATTTGGGAGAGAAATTTTTCGAGTTAAAAATCAAGTGCAAAAGGGAGTTGATTATTAAATTAATTATGATTATTAAATTAACTCGTAGGTGTCCCTACGATAACTTTTGAAAAACTTATTGTGTCAACTTGCAACTTTGCATGCACAAAGTTAGTGTTAAAATACAGATCGAGCTCGTTAGCCAGCCATTTTCGTCAAAAACTACAAAAAACTACAGTGCTTTCAAAATTTTAAAAATTCAATTTTTTTAAATTTAAAAATTTTTAACATTATATTACTTTAGATTAAGAAAATACAAACAACTTTTCTCTATATATATTTCTCTTTCTCTATATTATTTCATAGAAAGTCAAATTTCTTTTTTTTTTTTGTTATAAGATATTAGGTCTGTCTAGCTCAACTGTGGGAGAAGAATTTCAATTAATTTTCTGAAATGTTAAAACTTTTATAAAAATCTGTAGTTCACAACAAAGCAAAAAAACTCTTAACCGTTTTTTGAAATTTTAAATTTTTGTTAATTTTTTTGCCTCAACACCTTTATGTTACTTGAAATACTTTAATTTGAGATATAAAATGTACTTTTAGATTTTAGAACAATAAATTACGTGTTTTTTTTATAGCCCAATTTAATATTATTCTTTTTAATTTTTTTCATGTATACCCTTTTCGTAAAGTTTTTTGTTTTTAATAAATAAAAGTAATAAAGAAATAAATACTTATTAGTTCATTAAGCTCTTTATATAAAGCACCTAAAAACTAAGGTTATTTTTCAATTTTGCAAATAATTAAGGTGGGCAAAAAAGCATTAAGATATTGTATGATTTCATCAATTTCATCAACAGTTTAATCAAAAAATTGATATTTACTATAATCACGTACATAAAGAACTTGATATTTGTATTTTAAAAATATTGTAGCTTCTTCAGCAAACCATGTTTTTGCGAAGAAAGTTAGTAATTAAAAATAATTTCACATTTTTCATCAGCAAGACCAAAAATTTACATTTAAGTCCACTTAATCTCGCAATCATCAGCAAACAAAATATGTGATGAGAATGTAATCCTTAAAGTCGTAGTAACTTTAAGAAAAAAATAGGTTTTATGAAACGTATGATAGGAAACAGGAAAAAAACGCAAATAATAGACAACCGCAGTGGAGGACCGCGAGCGAAGCGAGCTATTTGCGCGCATCAATCCTTGGAGCGCGAAGCGCGACGACTATCATTCGCGCGCCCCGAGGCGCGCTGAAATTTCACAGGAAAAAAAAGTCTGACTCCGTTTACACCTTAAATTCAGCCCATGTATTTCACATAAGTCTGTCCTTGTTTAATAGGGCTGACTCCGTTTACACCTTAAATTCAGCCTCGAAAACAGGCTGAAAGTAAAACTTTTTTTTTAGTGTGTTGCGAGCCTCCGCGCGAAACGCGGATGAGAATGTTTCCGCCCGAAGGGCAGGCAGATTTTTTTTGGTGTATTCGACTACTTCTTGAAATTTCATTTTCAAGAAAGGATACACATTACATTTTATTTGATTTTTCATTTGTTTCGTTAAGACAACTTTTTTAACTAGTTCCTAGATCTTTTACATTATGAATAATAAAATTTAAAATTATTAAATTAATTCGCTTTCAAAACTAAGAATTGAGCTTTAAAAATGGTCAATTAGGTATTAAGCCAAAATAAATTCTTAACAGGGAGTCCCCTTCGTAAGAAACATCAAAGACAGTAAAAAAAGCAACATAATTATGTGAGTCATGTATAATAGGATAAAGTGAGACAGGTGCTTTCGTATACGACTGCATGAGGCTTTTCTTACTGTATGTTTATTCTTTTCTTAGTCATTCTTACGATAGCGATTCCGTTTACATTCCCGATTAATCTACTTTGGCCTTATCACATTAATCTTACGGACTGATGAATCGCAGTTATATCACTTACTTGCATGACAAACCAAATTTGATCGTCGTCACACTTCTTGCCAGACCGCTTGCGATAAATTCCATAAAAGTCTGGAAGATTTGGATGTGATGAAAATGACCGTAGAACTTTGTATTCTTCCAGAATATGCATTTGAGTTTCAGGGACTAATTTCCGAATTTTTATCGCTACTCTTGTATTTCCTATAAAAGTATAAACGTTTTTAAATTAGCAAACCACCAATGATTATTGCAAAACATTTAAATTATTTCAACATTTTGACATCTATTTTTAAAGAACAAAACTAGAGAGAACTTTCCGTGTGTTTATTTAACAAATAAATATTTACTAGAATCAAATAATTTTCATTTAAATCAAATAAATTGTATTTAAACCAATAATTTCTGTATTTGATGAAAATACTATTTAATTTAGTTAAATTAAAATTATTTTTCCAGTCAAGTGAATATTTATTTGATCCCGTGTGGAAATTGCCCAACATCGCCTTATTTGAAGAAGGACATTGATGAGGAATTAGTTAGGCCAACCACACTAATAATATCTGGATACACTGAAAAAAATATATTGATGATACTGACATAAATATGGCCAATACTCACATATTATATTGGTGGATATGGGACAGCCATACAGTATTGCTGTTTCAGCTATACGTCCTTACTATACTCGTATCACAAAATCGACAATATCATTTTTTTCAGTGTAGGTGATAATCGGGCATTGACTAGAATGCCCTCTTTTTAAATAAGGAAATCTAGCTGGTTCTATTTAGGCCCCTATTAAATATTTGAATCAGGCCCTAACTATAGAATGCCTTTTTACTCTAAATGGGGAAATCTATCTGGAATCTATTTATGTCCCTATCAAATATTTGAATTAATTTTCAATTTCATTAACAAATCCCAATTTCTAAATAATAAACACTGAAACAAATCAGAAAATTGTTCTAAACGCATACTAAAATTCAATTTAAAATATGAAAACTAATTGAGCAAAAATATTTAAGATTTTTAAATTTCAAAATATTGCACTATTTCTCACAAGTGGTAAAGAAATGTTCTGTTTAGTATATAATGACGATGAGAAAGTAGATTCACATCGTGCGAGTTAGTGTTAGTGTTAAGATAGTGACAGGTCGATAGGTCAAAACAGTGTTATTTACATGTGTGTTTGTTCAGTGACTTGTTCAGTGTACCTGGCGCAATATTGCGTAGGTTGAAAATTTTTACTTATGGGAATTTAGAAAAACTAATGAGGCGCTAAAGAGGCCCTCTAGTTAAATCCCCACATTCTGCATTTCCTATTCAGGCAGTGAAAGGGCGATCTAGTTAGAACCTCTCTATCTGTCAACATCATCACCTGATATTTCAAGCGTGACGAAGTTAGACGGGTCCTGACTAATTTTCCTAGTTTGCGCCTCACTAAACGATAGGGCGTATATTCGGAGCCTTACTAAATCCAAATTTCAATTTCTACACGGGATAATAGACAAGTAATTATTTTAATAAAATAAATTTTTTTTCTTTGTAAAATATTTTAGTCTTCATGATATTACAATTATAGCATCGAGAATTTCCTAAAACTTTACTGGACCTCGCACATCAAAGTTAGAAATACATTGATTGGCGTAGTTTATGAAAGACTGTGGTTACTTTACACTGAAAAAAATGTAAGGAATTACGTACGGTCTCCGGTGTTGTGAGTAGAAGTTTTCTGGTTAAAAATCAACTCCAAAAGAGAGTTAATTTAATAACTCCTTATATAACTCCCTAATGGGTGCAACTTTTATAGAATCCTCCGGGAGTTGAAATCTAACTCCCTTTTTGCTTCCTCATAAAGGAAGCCTTATAGTGATGTCGATTTCCGAATTTTTTAGAACCAATTATTTTTACAAATTTTCAAGTGTAGTATATATAATTCGTCGAGAGGAACAAATGTCCGGATGTATGTGTGTGTGTGTATGTCACCGATTCTTGTGGACAAATTTTCTCTTACACGTCTTGACGGATTTTGATAAAATTTTGTAGGTGTATTACGGTCACGAATACCAAAAATCAGACAAAAGGATTTTCAAAAATATCTAAAAAAAAAATTTTTTTCAACAATTTTTTAATTTTTGAAAAAATAATTTTTGGATTTATTGAAGTAACTTTTTTCTATATTAAAATTTTTATTAATTCTTGTCAAAATTGCATTCCTGACATAAAAACGAATCGATTCATGTATATAAAGTATATATTTTATCAAAATTTATAGAATTAATAAATATTTTAAATTTTCACAAAAAATTGAAATTTTATATATTTTTAAATTGCTCTGCAATATTTATCACCGAAAAAAATGCGAAGGAGAGGAGCCAACTATAGAATCCTGGTCAAAGTAATAAGATTCAAGCATAGTTAAAGTGACCAGGAAAATTAGTCGATGTAATCAGGAAAAAATAGTCAAATTGACTAGGAGAATAATATTAGATTTACACTGTGTATCATAATTATTTGAAATTGCTAATCAAATTCTTATTATCAAATAAAAGAGAAAAACTAATTAAAAGAAAAAAGAAAAAAATTAATTATTATATTTGAACATATTTATATTTCACTTTGTATTTATATACCTTGGAATTAATTTAAACTTATGAAATAAATATTTGACGCAGGGGGGACGCGAACACCTGAACCTAACGAATACGCACTTTGAAACCCGGAACGATAACCACTACACTAAACACGACTTGGTATTTTAACTTTTTAATAGACACTAGATTTTCGAGTCAAAATACAATACTTAACCAGATGATGTTTTATACATTTCGAGTACACAATTTTATACACTTGTCAAAAACTATTTATTTTTAATTATTTATGATATTCAAATGAAAATAAATTTAAATACACAAATTATTGCAAAGGTAAATTTTCAAACACACTGCGCGATTAAAATAGTAAAAATGTTGTCACCACGTGCGTAAAAATTTCGACGATTTATATTGAAACCTAACCAAAAAAGTCTGAAAGAATTGACTAATATAAAGGCGGTTCCAGAATAGGTGCAAAAGGCAAGGTGGAAGATGGAAGTACAAGTGCAAGTGCGAACCAATGCTAAATGTATAGGAATCTCACTTGCACTTGTACTTCCACCTTGCCTTTTGCACCTATTCTGGAACCGCCTTAATTAAATAGTTTACTTTCTAAAACATGGACCATCTATATTTCCAGAGGTTCCGAGAAACCAGCAATTTTGATGTATGTAAGAACTCCATTTTATGTACAAAAAATAGACGCGAGTAATGATAAAAAATCGTTTTACGAAATCACGATAAATGACGCGAAAGATATAGAGGTAAACACTGTCAGAACAGAAGCAGACGCGTGCGCATTATGGAAATAGGCAAAATTACTAAAATCCTAGTCAATTTGACTAGGATTTGCAGGGTTGTTTTTGCCAGGCTTGAATTTGTTAAATCAACCTAGCGATACTAACCATAATGATTAGGAATCCTTATTACTTTTAGTAGATTAAGATTAACTATAGGGTCATAGTTAATAATAACCATCGAGATTTTTTTCGGTGTAGTTATTACTGACTTTTCATGTACAGGCAATATTGGCTTACACATTTGTATTGTCAGATGAGATTTTTATTATTAGATGAATATTGCATTAAATATTGTCACAATATTGACCGATTTTCAGTCAAGTTTGATATTTAATATTTCCTCACGCAGTTAAGTAACTTCGATGAGTTTTGCCACTCAATATTTCCAACCTCGTTGAGCGAGCTCCTGTCAAGTTTCAGGAAATTTTCGGTGCTATTCTGTTCAGGTAGTTTAATAAGTCGAAAGTTCATTTGTTTTAAAAGTATGTTTTCTTTCTATTATTCAAAAGGTAATTTGGATCAATATTTTCAAGTTTGAACTTGAACCTTTAATAATTTTTTATCAAGTTCTCGGTGCTTACCATTGCTTTCATCAATAGCTTCATATACATCACCACAAACTCCAGAGCCTATGCAATTCTTAAGAATAAATTTTTTACCGGGATCTTGAATGCTGTCCATACGTGAAAGATTTGTTAAATTTCCATCGCTTCTCTCTGGATAATTCCCTTCATCGTATTCATCCATTGTCGTTTATACTATAACAGATATAAAACATAAATAACTTTTACTACAGCAAGATTCTTCAATATATTTATTAATATTTGACAATGTCAACAGCAGTACATTTCATTATGCACGTCTGTACTGCTGATGTCCTGATTTAAAAACACCATACACTGTAAAAAATTTAGGGAGTTAACGGACTCGGGAGTTGGGAGTGAAACTTTTCGAGTTAAAAGTCAACTCCAAAAGAGAGTTAATTTACTAACTTCTACTAACTCCCTTCATCAACACCCGTGGGAGTTATTTTTTCCTTGGGGAGTTAGCATTTGGGTGTAAAGTTTTAACTCTCTTTATTTAACTCCCCTGGCATTAACTCCCCAATGGGTGCGACTTTTATAGAATCCCCTGGGGAGTTAAAATTTAACTCCCTTTTTTTACAGTGTATCTACATTTTGGGTTGTTTCGAGATATTTGACAAAATACGTTTTTATTTATACTTTTTTTAACATAATGTTTTTTCAAAAGGTAATGATGCTTCTTGAGTAATTCGGGTACGCTGAATTTTATTATGCAAAAAGAAATTTCAATTTTTCATTGCAAATATGCAAAACTGTAGATGTGCTAATTAATTAAGTGAAAAATCACGGCGAATCCTTACTAAAAAGCATATCTACGCAGATATGCTTTTTAACATGGAGAAACAGCTCAAGTCCATCAGGAAAGTAGCCTCTACAAAGCTCGAGTTCCTGATCTAAAAAAACCATAACTACGTAGATAGGCCTTGTTCATCAGGATTCAGGAAATCACTGGTCAAACGACCTGAAATCCTCATAAACTGTAGTTAGGCCTGTAGTTAGGCCACTTAACATCAGGATTCGTCGGAAATCGATGTAGATAGTGCTTTTTAGTAAAATTAACTCCTAATTAACTCGAAAATTAATTAAGATTAATCATTCTAATTAGCATAGAAAAATTCGTTTTTTACGAATCCAACGGTATAAAAAACTCATTTTTGATAAAAAGTGTAGATATGGTGTTTTTAAATCAGGACGGCAGTGTACAATAATGTATACGGCAGATACGCAAAAAGGGCACAGATGGCGTGCAGAACGAATGTACAAAAATAACAGCAGATTACAAGAATTTTATTTTATTTATTTATACACCTGTCTTAAGCCTACAATCTTGGCTATACAAGTGTTTCTTACAATTTTCTTACACTAATTTTAAGTCTACGAGTCTACAGAACGGCTTGAAATTAGGAGTACTCGCATTTGCCTGGGCCACTCGTCTAATGGGTTTTCTCGTCAAAGGAGAGGGAAACTGTAGAAAACCTCTCTTTTTATGGTGTGTATCGAACAATAATCGATAGTGCACATCATTATACCTTGACGTCAAACCTCCCGCTTGATATATGGTATTACGAAAGTAGTGAGAAAACACCGGTCTATAGCGAGAGTCGAAGCGCGGTCACCAAGTACTATCTCTGCGTACTCAGGTCTGCTTAACCTCGACGATTGCAAGCCACGGAGTCTCACCACCGTGTAATATACCATCGGTTGATTACAAGAAGTTATGACCACTTAATATTAGTATTCAATTTTTTGATTTAGAGAGTAAAAGATTGAATAATGTTAATATCATCTTCATCATGCTGGTAAGATTGATACAATATTGCAATATTGCTTTGCAATAAAAACTATAGCTGTTGTAATGAGTACAAATTTTAATTATACCTAAATATTAAGAGTGTGATGATTTGAAGATTATAATTTATAACATAGCTTGATAGAGCTAATCGTATAAGCTATAAAATTCTAATACTGTTTTAATAAATTCACAATTGTCTCATAGGAAAATTAATGAACAGAAGTTAGTCAGTTGGTGATGACGGTGTATGAGGAAAAGCTAGAATATAATGATACTAGAATTGTGGTAGCATCGGAGCCAAAGGCGGTCAAGTGACAAGGCACGAAGTTAAAGCTAGGTCGTTAGCCAATTCATTTATTCTTGGTGGGTCTCGACTCTTCGTCCAGCATAATCCATCGATTTGTTGGCACGACGTGTCTCTTGTAATGCAGTTTCTTGTTGGTTGTAATCGAAACGCGTCACTGACTATATGTGAGCACTGCAAGAACCCCTTTGATGCACGATCTGTGTGCTTTAACCGTTTCCTCCACAACCTCCACAGCTTTGAACTTGCTTTGTCGTTTGCTTTATTCGACGGTCGATCGTTGGGGCGCTAAATTATTGATGTCAGATCGCAAGATGCGAAAAGAAGACACGACAAGGACGACTACTGTGATTTAAGAAAAAGGTCTCTTATTCTCCATTCTTTTTCTTTGTCTCTCTTTTCTTTTAAGGTTTTATACAATCTCCTTGTTTCTCTATCATTTATTCTTTCACAAGACTTCTCTCTTTAAAAGGAGTCAGTTGAAAAACACAAGTGCATAGTATGATAAGAATACATCGTTCCCATACATGCGTTTATTTCTACACCATTCCCGAAATGGTGTAGAATAAGCTTTAATTTTAAGTTAAAAGTATATTTTATATTTATCGCATCATGAATTACACAATTATTAAAAACACTCACTGTATTTATTGGCGAACATTCGAAAAGAAAAATTAATCCATTAAAGTGTCACATGTATGTTATTTAAAGTAACAAGCAGTTTAAGGGGACTTTCTGGTCAAGGATTTCAAAAATCCATTCTTCTTTTTTTACTTTAAAACGTCCCTTATAGTATCATAAAATTACTCTCTCAAAACATTTTTAAAAAATATGCAAAAGAAAAAAGTTGTAGTATTTTTTATGATCATCTCTTAACTCACTTTAATATACGTTACAAAAACTTTAATCAAAATCTACTGAACCGATTTTAAGAAACCATAAACCATTCGATTTTTTATCTGAACAACTGGACAACAAACCTCCAACATTTCACATTTTTATATCTCCTGTTATTCTCTACTGGAGTAAATTGATCCAAAAACGCAGCATTATTTCAATGTATGAGAAAAATGTGAATAAAAAATTGTAAAACATTTAAAAAAGTAGTTTTTGAGGTTTGTGGTCTAGAAAAATTCCTTATGAAGATAATCCCGTTTGAATTTCTAATTTATGTAAAAAAAGTTTTCTAGAAAATGTCACCATGAATACAACCGCGATAATTAACTAAAAAAAAATCAAAATTTTCTTTTTAATTTTCTTCTTGTATTATGGCACAGTATCCAAAAAGAATTTTTGCAACAAATATAATGCATTTTTTGTCATACATGCACGGAGAAAAAAGTGAGTTATTTCAGTTAATTCTTAGGGATCGTCCATATATTACGTAACACTTTTTTGGGGGAGGGGGGTCAAGCTATTTGTTACGATAAGCCACAAAAATGGCGCTAATGTATGTAACAGTGTGTTTACATGGGGGAGGGGGGGGAGTCAAAATTTTCAAAAATTAGCGTTACGTAATATATGGACGGCCCCTTAGCTGTCTCAGCTAACTCAATTGCTATTATGTAGATAGTAATTATTGTTAGCTATATATCACAACTAATAATTACGTCTCACAGTAAATTTTTTTGCTGTGAAAGCTACTGGGAATGTGCTATATGTACTACAAAAGTTTCGCAGGAGCACCAAGAGCCGAATCGTATAGCAACGCGCCATCTTCTTTCTCGATGTATAAGAGTTTAAAAAAGTGTATTTTTTACCAACTCCGCACGAGAAAGTCCCCTTAAGAGTGTTAAACAGTCTATAAAATTGTTTGGACGCCCTAAAGAAACAGTTTAAATTTAAAAATACAAATTTCGAATAACTTTTCTTAGAAACATAGACATTTTTCATTCAACATCAGCGATCCTATTAAAGATCCAGGTCTTCTAAATTACAAAAGTCCGAAAGATTGTATAGATTCATGTAGAAATGCACTTACCATACATCTGCTACAGCTCTATACATGCTTCAGTCATTTGTTAATAATATATTAGACTTGACGCGTTCAATATAACTTCATGCTCCTCTTAATTTCTTGTAATTGTATTACTTTAAAATTTCTTGTTTTGTAATCGTACTTCTGCATGAATTTATAAAATCTTTCGGATTTAGAAGACCTGAATTTTTTTCATATTCGCCATTATTAGGAAAAATATCAGTGTTTCAAGAAAAACTTGGTCGAAAATGTTTGTTTCCAAATTCAAACCTCATTTTTTAAAATTTAAATTCTCATTTCGATTACCTTTTTAAAGTTTCGGCCCTAAATAAGAGAGGAAAATTAATAGACAGAGATATAAGAATAAAGCGCGCTAGCTTTTGTAATACTCGCTTGCGAGGTCACACCAACGCAGTAGAAAGATACAAGTATAGTTGTTTTCGTCCCCTCTGCTTTCCTTGTCTAGTAATTTCCGCTAATGCTCATGCGTTATTAGACAGAGAGAGAAGAAGGGACGAAAGAGCACTATCTGTCTCCTTCTATGGAGTTGATTTGCTTTCGGGCCTCTTGCGCACTCTATTCTTAATAATATAGAATAGAGTTGAAACAACTGAAAAACGGTTAAGCAACGCGTCGGCAGAAAGCATGAATCATGAAAATAATAGAACAGGGTTCATATTTTTCACTCACAAGGTTTCTGCTTTCCGCTATCGCTTTCACGCTTAAAAATGACTTAAGCTTGCGGCAATCTTACACGACAAGCTTCCTATGATTTGACAATTAGAAATTGCAAAGTTACGGTGCGAGTTTGTAAAATTTGCACGGTAAGCTTTGGCTCTATACTGCTGCAAGATTACATTTGCATGGGTACCGAACTTTTTGTAACTTTGCACTTTATTGATTTATTTATTTACAGTTTATATAAATATCTAAACAAACTTACCTGTAATTAATTTTTTTGAAATTCATTATAAATTCATTCACACAATTAATAAATCTCGTGATTTTTATACACTGAAAATAAAAGAAAATAAACAATTTTATTGACATACACGTCAGTAATTTAAGGCTTTGACGAGATTCTAAAAGATCTTTAAGAT